TGCAATCAATTGAGTTATCTCTGTTATTTTCTACTGACTACAGGAACGCCGTGTGCGATGTGTGAACGTGACTTTGGAATCTTGAAATATTTAGACAACAAACGTCACACAGAACTGGTCTGCTCCAGTGGCATTGACCTTTTAGGACCATTACGGCATAGTTTAACACAAGGCCTTATCGCTACTATTTTGTGTTTATATCGCTGTTCGCATGTATCTCATCCTACATCAAAGAAATCGTTCCCTTTCATTCTTGACAGTGTCCTTACTTTGGAAGTCATATTAGTCAAGTGTACTCAACTCTCGATGAATTATGACAGATGTTCGTTCAACCATTCTTTTCCGTCTTTTCTTTTTGATCTCTTCCATATAAATGAATACCACAGGGGCTCGGTTAAATCACTTTGAGTAATGTATGACATCAGTGAAATAACTACAATACTGAAAATTCAGTATCATTTTCATTCCAAAACTTTGTAAAAATTGGGGGTATCGACCAAGCCCCTGTGATACAGAGGATGCGGTTAGTGATGGCGTCCGTCTCTAAAGCTGGAGAGACGAGACCAGAATTTACATTTTATCATCTTCCATGTCTCCGGCAAACACAGCTTCTTTTTATCCGTGAAATCTTTAATTCCTAATATGGTACAAACGACACACAACCGGCTAAACTATCCAGTGACACCAGAAGGGCAGAATTGCCTCTCTAAGAAACGGCTGTGGTCTTTACACAGTCGCGGCAAGCCGGGACAAACTTTATTGAAGTGCTCTAAACGTATTCTTCAGTCTGTAATATATAAGAGTAAAGACGGGGAAACAGAACTTCATTTCTTCCGTACGTCTTCGGTACTTTTGTTGAAGCATGTGTCATCGTTTTGGCGCTCGATTACGTAGGTTATCTTATCCGAAACCACATAATCTACACGTACATGTATGTCATATTTCAAACCTAAGTCGGATAATGTTCCCGTGGATTTCTTTTATTTATTTAACTGGTTTTACGTCCACTATTACGGCCTTTCTGTGGACGTGCGTGGAATCTAGGACACGTTGACTGACAGCTGCAAAATCCTAAAAATGTTACATACTAGATTAAACTTCGAGTTCAGTAACACAGAAACATTGATTTAAATGGTGTTCTCTATCCCTGGATCGCTTACATGCCCTTGCATTCCTACAGAACAAGGCAAGTATGGAATTTGCCTTATGTCACTGCTATGTTGAAAAAACTACGTTACCCCAAGGACGAAAACCATTTTTAAACTTAGCAATAAGGAAAAACGCATACATGCATATCTACTCCTTCTAAAAGATTACCTTATCCATTCCATGTGTTGGAATGTGCCTAAAGTCACGCCCTTCAAAGACAATGAAATAAAAGCACCACACTTGACTTTCAGGTGATAAGAGTAAGGCTTCCCAAGCGACAGTAGACCATTATGATTTCACACTTATTTCTTGTGGCATTTCTATGCTGCGGTTGCCTTGCTGCACCTCCTGGAGTGGTCAGCAGGGGCATATTTACTCATATGGTCGGAGGCGGGGTGGACATGATGAGTGGTTTTGCAGATGGAATGATGCAGTCGATGGGGGCAGGCGTGGACACCATGTTCAAACTGTTTGGTAACTGGTTATCCTTTAACTTATCTTGATTTGTATAAAACTTTCTGTACAAAACTGGTATGAATTCTAGAGTTAAATTAAGGACGGTGTTTTGCCGTCATAGTTTTGTTCATTACATGGATAAGACATTCGATGAATAGACACATGTATACTCAAAAAACATGATGACCAACGGGTGTACATCACCCACCTGGTATTCAATGTTTTTTTTACATATTCATAGTAGGTTTATACAATCACATATTTGTATAACAGTCACTTTATTTACGACTAATGGGTTCTTTTACGGGAGATAGATTTGACCCTTGTGACCTGGAGTACAATGTACAAAGTCACTTCTTGTACTTTGTCAGACTTCATCCTTGGAGCCTACTAGTCACTTATCAGGAATTCTAGGTTTTTTTTTAGGTTAATCAGAAGTAGTTATTTAAAGTATTTATATGGATCAAGTTTTTTTTAATCCAAAAACTTTGTTGGGTTTTATCCCAGGAACCTATCAGTCGGGGAAAACCGTGGTATACCAGGTGAGAGATGCTGGCTTTTGTTTATGATGTACATTTGATGTTTTGAGTTTTGTGAAGCCAAATATAGGTCAGTACATGACATTCTTGATAAGTCGCAACACACTCCTAAAATCTTGTGATCTAAGAGTGGGTAGGAGGCTTTATTTTCGCACCATCAAACTAGTATCATGATTATCAATCTACACAACAAAATATACCCCAGTGTAGGAATCTGTTGCCAAAAAACTGAATTATGAGTAATGTCTTTTTTATGTCCATTTTCTCCCACTTAATGCCCTAGTAGATATACCATACCAACTAAGATTAAATTTATCATTGCTACAAATAAAACAAAATATACCCCCAACGCGTTATATACATGGAGGGGTGCTGAAATGTTGGACTCTAATAAAGTACCTTCAATCCTTTCCTTCCATGAAGAGCGTTTTATTCTGCAGCATCTCTGCATAAAGAAGTGAGAAAGAATATTTTGGAATGTTTTATTTTCCAGGTGATTTTTCGCCAGCCAAGTGGAATCCTCCAGATAGCAGTAAGTGTAATATTAATGCTGTGTTGGAAACACTAGAAAAAAAGGCTGTAATCCTTAATGATAATCATTCACATTTCAAGCAAATTATGTATGTAGTAGTGTCAAACTTCACTGTAATTCCACCTGTTAAATCGTCTAACCCACATACCACCATCAATTTTATCAGAACGGATTTCCCTCCACGTTAATACATCTGTTGTACTGTCAAACCTGCATACTGCCACCTGCCATACCATTCCCAAAACAAATGGTTATATGAACACTTTTTTCACTTTGTTAAAGATTGTTATTTGTTCATTGTATTTTTCCAAGTGAATGCCTGTAACCTACAAAACTGTTAATCGGTGGTATGGTATCGTACCACATGACAACGAAATGTCGGAGATAGCAGCTGAACATGAGAACCCAGATACTGATTTAAATAATTTGCTTCAAAGAGTGTAGGATGACCTTGACCTGGACCCTGACTTATGCCTCATAGTGAGACAATTTGTAGACAAGGACAAAAAACTCACACAAATTTGTTATCACAAAGACCATCTTGGACAATGAGGATGACGATGACAACACAATGACAACATGGACTTAAACATAGCCCTAAACCTTACCATTTTCAAGGCAAAGTTGGCGATAGACACGGTTTTGAGATTTTTTTAACACAAAGACTCTAGAACAGTCATATATTCAAAAATTTTCATCTTTAAAGAATAAATTAGAGACCATAAGACAACAGCTAGACAACCAAATATCAGTGATATCTTTTGTAAGATCTAACAAAATTTCATTTGATGTTTTTTGGGAATAGGAGTAAATGATCAACTTCATGTATGTTGTACATATGTATTTGATTTGTGACACTTCTGTAACAAAGTTATAGTTAAAAGGAAAGTATTCGGATGTTATTTTGAAAATACATATACACTCTAATGCAGACTGGTTAGTTAAGATGGTCACCGATTGGGTGTGAACTACTGAGGTCAAAGACTAAACCCGATATACCGCCAAAATCACAAAGCACGAAAGGTGGCATTATGACTAGGTTTGGCTGTAATTTCTTGCCATGTTGAGGAATAACAATGTAAACAAAACATTAAAAGAAACAAACATGAAGGTCTTTTCAAACTGTTTGAGGTAACTTGTAATGTGCTCCAATTAGCTAATTATTCTTTAAGCACAAATACCTGTTTTACTTTATACAGGTGCTATATTGGCCAGTATCACAACAAGTGCTGCCTTTCAGCCTTCAACAAAATCACCTGAAGTGCCAGTTAAGACCTCAACCACTACTACTACAGCCACTTTCGGGCCCAAGTGGATAATCCTGGGCAGGAAATAACTCATTCACAACATCAAACTCCTCAATTAAATAAATTTTTCTTATCTTTTTTCCTCCCTGTTCTTGTTGGATGCTTATCGAAATAATTTACAATGTTTACTAATGTATGTTCATTACTATATTGATCTACATACCTTGCCCTCTACAAGAACCTTGACATTTCTAAAACAAGAGGGCCATAAAGCCTGTACTAATCACCAGGCTTTTGCTTGGCTGAAATTGCTTCAGTAACACTAAAGGAAAAGAAATTCTAAACACACAACATATCTATTTCCCTATTGGACCACAACACTTTGTCCCCAGGGGTCAGCCATACCATTCATTCTTAAGACCAAATCATTCTAACAAGAGAAGCAGGATTTTTAAGAATTTGCCGAGATCCACTGTTTACAGAAAATGAATTCCCCATAACTTAAGAATGCTTCAGACTAAATTAGGGCAAAGTCCAATCATTCCTACAGGAGGAATAGGATTTTAAAGAATTTGCTTCATATCCGATTTCAGGCCCCATCCCTCCCACTGTAGGGGCCCAGAGACCCACCATTTATACCATATGTTTCCCTTCCCCAAGGATGCTTCTGACCAAATTTGATAAAAATCCTGTAAATTATTAATAACTAGTAGCTATTTTCGGAAAAAAATTGACGGAAGGAGACTGCATTATGCCAAAAGCTCACTTGGCCCTTCAGACAAACAATGTTTAGCAGAAGAAAGATGTAGTTTCACATTTAATTTTTAATTTCACATTAAATCCAAATCAGCAGAAAATATTTATGAAGAGAATTACCTAAAAAAAAAACTGTCAAAGTTAACTATTGCCTAAGGTGTCAGCATTGTTCATGCTGTCGGATGATTTATTTGAAAAATAAAAATCACACATATGCAAATATAATATGGGTGGTATCAGGGTACAAAAAATTATCAAATTCGCAATACAAAGGTCTAAGATGAAATTGATGATCGGTAGAGAAAACAATTACAAAATTGGTCTTTTGTTTTCAACATTTTAATGATGTAATGATGGGTAATATTTTGTTCAAACTATTTCAGCTTGAACATAATACTTCTTGAAAAACTTGTGCTGAAAGAAAATTTAACCTGAAATTTTCATGAAATATTTTTAATTTGTCACCATGAAATGTCATATATGAAATTGTAGAGAAATTACAGGTCACTTCATTATGAACTAATTAATGTCCACTGAATAATCTTTAGAGACAATAATGTGGCTCAAAGTCCCTCTTCTTCGTTTAAAAACAATGTATGTTGACCAGTTGTGTTGAGTTGACTGGTCCACCACTATTGTAGCACTATAGATTTGTGAACTATGACGGTTAATGGAGCTTGTGCACCATCTCCTCCTTTGTGATGAGATGATTTGTTTTGTTGACAAGCTGCATCAGTGTAGTGATGTTATGGGACCAGTCATTTAGAATGTCACTTGGGTCCTTCTGATGGGTAAAATTCACAATACCTTCCAGACGGTCCATCTTAGCTTGTATAGTCTTGTTCACAACAAGGTTGGACAAAAATTCTTCAGATTCCTAAAAGCAGATAAAAGGTTTTAAATGTACATGTATATGAACCCTAATTAATATGTGACACAACTACTACTACTGACCTACCCACTCAAGCCACTTCAAGAGCTTATGATGACAACTAATACAAGTTAAGAAATTACACCTTTTTCCCTCTAAATTTACAATTCAAAATTATTTCATATCAACGTAGCAGCAGTGCCGTTTACTAATATGACCAGCATAACATTCAAAAAAGAAAAATATTTTCAAACGTTGTTTGGCCAATCATGTTATAGATCTTTGTAATAGGATTTTAATCAGGAACTGATTCTCATTAAAGGATGTTTGCAGAATTAACCTTCTGTCACCAATATCTAGAGTACTAATCAATTTGATTACAGAGAATATCAATTACAAATGATGATGTCTTACCGCCTCAGTTTGGTCAAGAAGTTCAGCAATTCTCTTGGTCCTAACACGTGTGTAGTATTTGGCCATCACTCGAATATTCTGAAAACAGAACATAGATCATTATGTAATTACTTTTGATTAATAATTCATTCATTTCAAGTTTTTACACCTAAATACATAAATGGATCAGTTTTTAAATTCATCTATTTTCAGCGAAGGACATTACAAAATAAACATCACAGAAGCCAGATGATAATCATTTTTCAAGTTCTGTTCGCTGGCCATACAGACTTATTTAACTAAATTTGAGGACTATATTTCCTTATGATCAGAACTCACATGTTCAACAACTCTATTCTTAAGGTCGGCCCAGCGTTTCGCACCACCCTCTAGCTTTGTGTTAAAGACATGGGTAGCTGGACTGCTTGTGGAGCCAAACTTTAATTCGCTCTCATATGTCAGACACAGTTGCTTCCAGGTGATCAGCTCTGCTGTTGTGAAACAATTCAGTAGATCTCTGTGGAGTAAAATTAGTTATCATTAGTTATGAAGGTTATATTCTAATTATTATCAGATTGAAACATTTGTAACAGTATTAATCTTACTTGAGCAGAGATATCAAAATGACATGTACTCTTTGTAAACTTAATGGGTCGTTTTCTGACAGCACACTTACTGGTATTTAGGTATTTCTTCCAGATTTCTGTCTTCTTTCACTCTGTGTATGAAGTCGGACTGCTCATTATCATAGGGAGCCAGTATCACATACAATACTACATATCGCAAGGCCTGAAGGTCAAGGGTAAAACATATTTAGTTATTGTAAATTAGGTAATACTGAAAGGAATAACTGTTCCTTTTTATCACAGCTTTGTAAATAAAAAACATCTGATAGCCAAACAATTTGATGTTAGTAAACAATATTTGTTAAAAACCAGATGTAACTTAATCAATAATTAGTCAACAACATTTCCAAGTCTATCTTTGACATATACAATCCTGATTTCTATTTCCAATAACCATAAAATTTGAAATGATTCCCATCATGACGTTTTCATCTAGACTAGGGATACTAACCTCCCTCATTTTGTCCTTGTTTTCTTTGATCTCTGGTGTGTCATAAACAGCTTTGTAATGTTTACAGATAGCAAGGTAGGATCCCTCATGTTCATCAAGCTCAATCATCAACTGGTAATACTTCAACTTCAACTCCTGAAAGTATCCACAGTCAAATATCAATACATGCATATCATTTAAAAAGTGTATAAATGTCTAATAGCTTATACAGCTACCTTTAACTATCATCTATATAATAGTTACATCATTGTTCAACACTACAACACTATTAATATGGCCTTAACCTGACAGAGACTCGTACATTGATAAGACTTAAGCACTACATGTTGATAATACAGTCTAAAAATTAGTGTCGCAATTTATGATATAGTCTAGATCCGAGCGACACCATTTATAACAGTCTAAAGTCAATGTCTGAGATTTAAACAAGAAGTTGATCATTTGTTTTAGATCTATATGATATATATATAGACACAACATTTCAGTGTTACACATTGTTCAATTTATAGATCTTGGTGTTACACATAAATGATATAATCTAGATCAGAGTGCTTCATTGGTAACAATTCAGACAAAAGTATAACATACAGTTGTTCCTGCTTCCTCAAAGAACTTGGAGCTGATTTTTTTGCTGATGATTTGTGTCCTAATGTAGTCCTTCTTAGCCAGACACAGTCGCATCTGCTCAAGGATAAACTCCACTTTCTCTTTCTTCTCCATTGACCCAAATGTCTCCACCTTGATGAGTATTGTAAATCAATCATCAAAATGCATCATGAAAATTTTTATACATTACCCATAACCTAGATTATGAAAAATTACATTTCCTCATCAAATATATTGCTTAACCTCCTGTTTAGGTGTCTAAGATGAGATTTAAGTATATTTGTGACTAACTCTTTGATGATCTAACTATAAAAAGTTGCATTATCTCAATGATACATAAACATATGATTATTTACTTACTTATATTGAACTCATATAGCCTTTTTTTTTCAGTTTGTTGTTTTTGTTCTTGTGGATGTTGTTTTCTACTTTATATGGTCCAAAAATTAATTCATATTTTCATATGCAAATATCTAATGTAATAATAAAACAACATGATCAGCAATACAACAGTTTCGACTTGTTGATGAGCTATGAACCGTTTACTGACCTGTAGCTCCTGAAGTATGTCAGCAGCCTCTGTAACCTTGCCACTGTCCTCCTTTATCTTGGCTAGAGTTCGGGTTAGTCTTGCCCTCTCTATTTCCACATATATCTATATATATATATATAAACGTACTACCAGGTAAGTGTATTTAAAAGGTTGACTAATCATAAAGTTTTTATAAGCATATTCAGAGGAGATATCAGAATCTTATGAATGACCACAAAGAGAAACATTATTTTTATAGCATTGTTATTAGATGTATAACCCAGTAGTGAATTGGCTTTGTTAGGTAATTCAGTCGCATATTCTACTAAACCAAGAAATCAAAGGTTCTTAACCTTCCAACCAACTCCAATATGAAAATATTACATTTTTCTGTTTATACAATATCATGGAAACATTGAAACTCCTCGGACTAAAGACCAAATTAAGTAGGGAGAAGAGGCAGCTCTTAAATTCAAAAATTTACATATGGTTGAATTAGTAGAAGTCAGAAAAACAAACTTTAACATATTGATGTACAGCCCTCAGCTGCCTACCTTTCCAGCCGTTACTGTTCTCAGTGTATCAATTAACTTAAGCTTCACATCCAAGTTACCAGCTGGAGTCTTCTCTACGTAGGTATAAGCTTCCTGGATCATCTTAGTGACAGACTGAAAACAAATTGAGAGCAATCAGTATAATTTAAACAGAACCTCAGTAACAAACTGAAAACATATCAACAGCAGTCAGTACATTATTAAAACAGAATCTTTACAACAGACGAAAAACATATCAACAGCAGTCAGTATATTATTAAAACAGAATCTTTACAACAGACTGAAAACATATCGACAGCAGTCAGTATATTATTTAAACAGAATCTTTACAACAGACTAAAAACATATTCACAATATTCAGTATATTGGTAACACAATGGTAAGTGTATGAATATGTACTTGACACTAGAATCTAAAAAAACAAAGTGTTGATGGCAAAAACATGACATATCAGCTAGTACACCAACAGATAATGCAGACAAGATATTCCTAGTTAACAATGTTTAATTTTTTTTAAAAACTGCATTAATTTTAGACAATTTGAACTTACCTACTTTAATACATCATGGTATTAATAAGACAAAAATTTCAATTTTTCACAACTTGTGTATCACTCATATTTTCTATTTTCCTGTTGTATGAGACATAGGAACTTTAAAGAAAAAAAAAGAAAAGAAAAAAACAACATTAATTCTCACCTGTTTTATTTGTCCTCGTTTCTTTGTTAGCACAACAATATTTTCATTCAATGCATCCCAATTTTTATTTTCAAAACAGAGGCGAACTACAGTTACCAAGACTCGACTAGTGGAATGAGTATCAGCTCCCTACAAAATGATCAATAGAACAGGTTTAGACACAGGCACTTACAACAAGTAGCTGTTTTAAAAAAAAAAGAGTTCAAATCTTACAAGTCAGCAGAAATCACTTAGTATTAATACAATGAGAAATATTACCATTTCATCTTTTTAGATGTATCTATACACAAAATTGTACATAGGAACATAGGAAAAAGTTTCAAGTGTCAAGTTTCTCTCCTCATCATTATCAGAATGGAAATATTGATGTTGTTTGGATAACCACTAAGACTTGAGACTTCTACTCCTGAAATAACTTAAGAGAGGTTCACAAGTATTGAAGACACTTGTATGTAGGGTTATTGGTGTAATGTTTTTAAAGAGCCATGTTTCTTACTGTTCTTGTTTGCTTTTCTAATGACATCAGTATATCCAGTGCTTCAGTCAATTTCCCTTGCTGAAATGAGAAAAAATGTAGGGAAAAATAAAGCTTTTTTTACAAACGGCTATACAAGTGATAATTCCTATAATTAGAACAAATGCCCAATGGGTCTGCAGTGCTCACCTAGTATAAATATACGTCAGGTTTCATCCTGGGAACATACTAACTAATTGCCATGTCTCTAGGACCTTTAGTTCATGAAAAGAAGTTGTTAAAATGTTTTCACAAATCTGAACCCTGTAACTTTGAATATAGGTTAAAATCATTTCTTTTTGCAAACTGTTAGGCTTCTTCCTAGTAACATACCAGCCAAATATTATGCCTCTAGGCCTTTTTGTTCATGAAAAGAAAATTGTTCAAATGTTTGAACAAATTTGACCCCTGTCACTTTGAACATAAGTCAAGGTCATCTATTTTTGCAAGCTTTGTTGGGCTTCATCCTAGAAACATACTGGCCAAATATCATGCCTCTAGGCCTTTAAGTCCAGGAGAAGATGTTGTTGAAAGGTTTTATTGAATCTTAACCCTGTAACCTCGAATATAAGTCAAGGTCATTTAATTTTGCAACTTTGTTGGGCTTCATCCTAGAACATACCAGCCAAAACATTTGGTCCATTAGTTATTGAGAAGAAAATGTTTAAAGGAAAAAGTTGGTGTCTGACAATGGACGGATGCCGTGCCCCAGCATAAGCTCACTTTGCCCTTTGGGACTGGTGGGCTATTAAATGCTCAAGGATTCAATAACACTTTGGACTCAGAAATTTAAGTCCTGAGTTCATGCTTATCCTGTGGGACTAGCTCAAATTTTGAGACTCCATTATTTCTTATTATTTGTACTTATCAAAATTTTGGAAATGGTGTTCTGGACTCGCCTTATAAAATCCAACCAAAAATTACTACAGAATACAGGGTCAGTGTCTTAAAATATAAGTGGCTTGCACTTTTGTCATTCTTTAACGGTACCCTCACCAAAATACTGCAACATTTATTGAAAATTCAGACAATCAAAACAACAAAAGTTGGTTGTGCAATCTTAGTTTACTTGACGATACACTGAATTTCATTATGCATGCCAAAATAATTGTTCAATCGGAAATATTATTTTCAAACTTCAATGGATAAAATCAATTTTCACAAATAAAATTACATATCTTAACAGTTATTTGTATTTAATGGTAATATTTAAGTCATTTAGAAATAATTCTGTCAGACTAATGCACATACATCTACTAAAATGCAACTGTTTCTGTCACTGCTGGATAAATACAACTTCTTACCATTTCTAATATAACCTTCCTGCATTTTAGCTAGATCTACAATCACATTACCTGACACTAAGCTTCCTAAGGAAGAGTTATTGGATTTTTGTTATCGAAATTGAAGACTGGGTAAGTAAAATTTAATGTTAACGCACTGGTCATGTCCATTCATAAAGCATATAAATAGTGTACTGTAACACATGAAGACACCTTTCCAAATTTCTTGAAGGAAAAGCTTTGAGGAATAGTCCGTGTGATGTATTGGTAGGAAGTGTCTATAGAATAGTATACTCACTTTCCCCTTACGTTATATATGTATAAAGCTATTAATATTCTATTCTATTATGTGTTTATCTCAGAAATAGTAAATTTTATCGACATTTTTGTATAAAATGGAGTGTATCGTATAATGGAATGAACCTATATAAGTACAGCAAGTACAACTTACAAACACTTTTAGCTACTATTTAATAATACCAATTTTTTTTCCTAATATTGGTCAAATTTTTTGGCTTGTAGATTGGAGATTCCCCTTTTAGAGTGTGACTTCAATGAAACATTGAAGGGTGATATACCCCCAATACGTAGAATTTCCAATGGATGTTTCGAGTGTATTGTACAAAGAATACTGATACTGTCATGGAAAATTAACTGAACATGAACGTAGCAATACACCCCCCCCCCCTTTCCCGGCGTGTGACACAGCATATTTTGACTGATGTTAAGTCATTATTACAAAAAGCAGAAAACGTATACCAATGAGAGTGAGTAAATACGATATTATTATTTTACCTTTGCCAATTTTTCACATTTTGGTAGTTTTTCGTCTACAGTTGAACTGTAGTCAACTTCCATTTTCTGAGGAGTCGTTTCTGTGTCCGCCATTGTTGCTGCTCGCTGTCTGTTTTGGTGCGTTCGTATGGAAAGACAGGCGCGTCGTGATGTCGTAAAGATATAACATAGTAATTAAAAACTTTGATTATTTACACTTGAGATCATAGGACAAGAAAAAATGTTTAAAATTTCTTTTTGTTATTTTTGCATTAACGAATACCCTATATTTGCAAGATAAATTTCTTTCCGGAAGATATTATTCCGGTGTTTACTTTAAATTTATTTTGATCAATATAATTCGGAACACTGCGTTACTCGAAAGGTGAGAGTTATTCCGAATATCTGCGGGGAGGTAGAAGGATGACAGAGTACAAGCTGAGGGAATGATGTGGATATAGACAATTTTAGACAGCTGTTTAATTGTACAAATTCGCCGAGATAATGTTATAGATAGGGAGCCCAAATATCTACGACTATGTACTTGAAGGAATATCGTGTCTGCATGCCTTTGAGTGTGAAGGAGGTAAGTAAGCATTGAAAACATAGGATATCGATTTGTTGACAGTGTGCTTTACAAGTGAGATTGATGATCGTGTACAGGTAAACAGGTGAAAATATATAACCGGACCTGGTATCAACGTGTGTGTTATAAGATCAGGGGTGTGACAAGGTGTGATCACTTTACAAAATGACTGAATTAGAACGACTGTTATACGTTAATGTACAGTGAAGTTATTATTGATTAATTATTCTTATATATTAATGACAGCTTATAAATGTCCCTGATTTAAATGAACACAGTAATACTCATGCCAAACAGATAACTTCATGGTTACATTTTGCACATATTTTTAAAAAGAAATTACATTGTACCTGTTTGCTTACAACAGATAATTTAACATGGATTCATCTGAGAATCAGGACATAAAAAAATCTTTTAAAAAACCTATATTATGCCCAGTCAGAACTGACTTTAGAGACACTATCATAGCTAAAATATGATTACTCTGAGCAATAAAACAGATATTGCGATATCAAAAATTAAACATTATAGTTGTCTTCTTTTAAACATGAGATACATTGAGTTTGGCCTGATGGCTAAAATCAAGTGCAACTGAGGTTCATTCATAACATATGCAAATTCATTGGATGTATTTGGGGTTAAGCAACTGGTTTTTAAAAACACTGTTCTGTCAAATAAAAAGATTTAATATCACTTTATAATGAACAATTACAAAAACATTGTTTTTCATTTTCTAAAACTATTAAAACAATAAAAACAAACCTAGTCTTCTAAATGTACAGGTGATTTATTAAAACAACCAGTCACTATACTGAATGGTAGACTACCACACCGTAACTAAGGCAAAAATGCTCCAGTAAGGTCTAGGTATATGCTGTGTTACTGAAGTCGCTGTCTTTTCTAAAAGTTCACAATTTGTTGGCTCCATGAAGGTCTTTCCATAGCTTACTACATCACTCAGTATTTTCATAATGGTAAAGTTAAGATTCAGTGAGTTTCATTGTTGCTTTAGACTGTGTCATAGAGTTCATCAGATGTCACTGATTTGTATGTTTCTTTGCTAACTTCATTACTCTAGCATCCCATGTGCATGAGTTATTTCTCTGTACTGACCATCAGTATGCTTTGTGAAGTATTTGATCCTGGGGAGTAGATTTGAGCCATATGTATGTTCTAAACACTTTATACCATTGCATAATTTCCAATCCATATCTCCAAGATTTCCCACATTTGAATTGTTTTTAGTGACTCAAAAAATAAGTTCATCAATGACCCCAGATTGCTGCACAATATAACAAAATTAGGTCTACCAAGCTTTCATAGTTTATCCAACCTAAGTTCTAAATACTTATATTTGTTGGTGCATTGGATTGCCAGCTAGCCATAGAATATAAAATTGAATTTTGTAGCAAGAGTAGAGGTAAGAAGTGTATATATCACAATAGTTTTACTAAAATTAAGTGATAATCTCCATTTTAAGCACCAGTTGTTTACAGTATCCAGCATTCTCTGTAGCTTAATCCTCAGATAAGGCAAGTAACAATGATGAAATATTGAGCTCATCAATACTAATACCCAGTTGCAGGTCATTTAGGTTTTTGATTAAATCATTAATATGTAGATTGAAAAGTATCAATGACAATCTGGATGCCTGCCATTAATCTTCATACAATATTTGATATCACTATGAAGCATGTGAAAGTGGATTGTTTCACTAATTTCCTGTTATTGAGAATCATGCAAAGAGAGTAATTGTAAGCATGTCAGCTTCTCTTTTGTTAGAAAGCATTTTGCTCATCTGCTAATTTTCATTTTTTGCTGTCCATTTTGTTAAGGCCTGATTAAGTATGACACAACATATTTTACATGGTTTTGATAAGATACTATGGTTAGTGGTTCCAGAGGACTCCTACTGTTAGGTTTTACAATTAAATTAATAGCACCCAATTTGCACTGGTTCAGTGCAGTTCCACTACGAAAACATTCGCTAGTAATGTTGAACAGCAATTCCACAAAAAAATTGTTATGAAGCATTTCTGCATGAATACTGTCAATACCAGTGGTATTGCATAGCTTCATTTACCTACTTCTAAAGTCATTGGGAAGTTAAATTCCTAGTCATTATTTGGAGGGTTGTTTACATATTACTGCTGGTTAACCTCATGTGATTGTATGTATATCCAGGGTATATACCAGTAAGAACCAAATTCAACATCTTTGATAATTCCTCTGCTGTCACTTATGTGTATCATTTCACAATGAATTAGACACTTTCTGTTTTTCCCTCCAGAAATCACTTGATTTTTATTTTTAATATGATATTTCATCCTGCACAATTGTTCTGTTTGAGTCTATACTTAACTGCACTGTTGTTTTTATATTTTATCCATTCCTTCTCTGATGTACATGTTTAAGAAGGCTTATATGAGCACAACTCCTCTTTAGGAGAGTGCTTAAGGCCAAGATGATCCATGACCTTTTCTGGGAAAACTTGAAAATGGGCATATGCTAAATTAACATAATTTTTGTATTATCAAATTTTATTCTTACAAAACCTGTCCTCAAGGAAGTCTATCCACAATTTATGTATACCATATACACAATTTTGTCGATCTGAGTGTAATGTATCAGATACTCTGTGTGTTGTAGGTGTCTCAGCAGAGCACATCAAAAATGACTGTGGTGTATTTTGTTTGGTACATAACCTACTTCTTCCATGGTGATAACTTAAAACTCCTTCAATAGATTAAATTGATCATGGGGAACTAAAAGGTACTTTGCCATTTCTTTGCCCATTGGCAATATACAGGTGAAATTATCATTGCCTTTGAAGCAGAAATTTGAATCAACTCAAAATTTGATATTTGGAATAGTGTCAATGCATTGCCTAGGAGGTATATTATCTACACCTTCTGTTAAATCATGCTCTGTGGCTAGAGTCAATGCAGATACATAAAATGCCATCTTATGGACTGTGTACTTTGGTTAAAAGTTTACTGTAGTATTCTCTAAGATCAACATTCCATTTTGAATTTTCTGGTGGTAGGTAGCATGCACACAAATACAGCACTCAGATAACTTTCCTGATAGCTTGAACCAATACATATCCTCTGCATTGTCTACCATCATAAGATCAAAGATATCCAGTACTTTTTTTTTTATTAGGAACTCAATTCTAATAGAACCCCTTTTTACCTCTCTGTACAGATTATCTCTTTTGCTTCAATAAGATATATAGAGGATACTTGGCCAGTTTCTTAAAATATAGCCTGTATTTTGGCGATGGTAAAGAAAGACAAATGTGGTGAGCCACAGATTTGTTGTTCAATCTGTGTTTACCTAACATTGACGTTACGCTGAATTTTGCCTGATGACAGACCTCAAAATAATTGCACCGCACAGAAACATAGTTCCAAACTTCATCAGATATAACAGCGATTTTATGAATTTTCATTAATCAACATATTCATTCCAGCATGTAAAATTGCCTGTTTCAATAATTACTTATATTTCTAAACCTAATATTTAAGTAAATTCAGAGAGTAATTCTGTCAGATTACTGTACATGCTAAAATACAGCTGTTTTCCTTTACTGTCCACGACTGCAAAAATAAACGTGGCAGGTGTATTCTGACAACAGCAGTGCCAGTTACAGGATAAATGATTATTCATGATTATGTTCTTATCTTTTCTAAGGAAAGATTCTGCAATTGCCACAATGTCTGTTTTAAATAGATTTATTATATCTTTTCTAAAATCGTGATTGTCACTTACATCATTATACGATCTGGTCACATCCCAACAACCTACTTGTAAGTGTTCTAAGAATTTACTACTGTCCCACTATCATGTGTCCTATTAGAGAATTCACTATCTCACATGTCCCATCTGTGGTTGTAGCTCTGCCTATACTATCATCCCATCGACTGGACCATTGATTCTAATTACCAACAACACACCATGTACACAAATGAAAATATAAATTTAAACACACCATATTGTCCATTATTGTGATACACCATATAGGTATACCATCATTGCAACCACAAAACACCATGTTCTCCATTATTATAATACAAACACACCATGTTCTCCATTATTATAATACAAACACACCATGTTCTCCATTATTGTAATACAAACACACCATGTTCTCCATTATAATACAAACACACCATGTTCTCCATTATTATAATACAGACACACCATGTTCTCCATTATTATAATACAAACACACCATGTTCTCCATTATTATAATACAAACACACCATGTTCTCCATTATAATACAGACACACCATGTTCTCCATCATTATAATACAAACACACCATGTTCTCCATTATTATAATACAAACACACCATGTTCTCCATTATTATAATACAAAACACCATGTTCTCCATTATTATAATACAAACATACCATGTTTTCCATTATTATAATACAAACACACCATGTTCTCCATTATAATACAGACACACCATGTTCTCCATCATTATAATACAAACACACCATGTTCTCCATTATTATAATACAAACACACCATGTTCTCCATTATTATAATACAAAACACCATGTTCTCCATTATTATAATACAAACATACCATGTTTTCCATTATTATAATACAAACACACCATGTTCTCCATTATTATAATACAAACACACCATGTTCTCCATTATACACACACCATGTTCTCCATCATTATAATACAAACACACCATGTTCTCCATTATTATAATACAAACACACCATGTTCTCCATTATTATAATACAAAACACCATGTTCTCCATTATTATAATACAAACACACCATGTTCTCCATTATTATAATACAGACATACCATGTTCTCCATTATTGTATGACATCATACATATATTCCATCATTATAACAGCAATGTACCGTGTATTGTTTCTACCATAATGACATAAAATCATACATTTAAAGTTGATTAACATCTGCAGCAATGTAGATGTTCAATACATCAATACCGATTTTATTTTTTTGTAGTACCAGATTGGTCAGCTGTATATGATAGCTAAACACAGCCATGAACAAAGTGAGAATGGGGAAGGAGTTGAGGTTGTCACCAACGAACCATGCGAAGATGAAAAACATGGAAAAGGACAATTTACTGAAAAAAGAATCCATTTATCAAAGTGAGTCCTTTTTTGTATCTAATCATTCTACTTCAAACAGTATATATTTGCCAAGTAATGCATGATGGTTAATTTTGTAGGACAATAAAAATTTATGTCATCACAAAAAGGATCCCTAACCTGAGATCAAGACGATTGCAGTGATACATTGTAATTTTGTCTCCATTTAAACTGTGATTCAGCTTATTTATTCTCACAGTTTGTAAAAAGAAATTATATGTAAACATGTATTGTGGAAACAATGCAAAAATTGATTACAAACAATATCACAACAGTGGGAGCTTAATGCTTCAAGAGGAGTTTTAATTTACCTGCGAACAAAGAAAAACCGAAACATTACTGTGCGAGGTCACAAGGGAAGGTTTCATTTAATACCTACAACAGAAAAGTTACACCTGCCAAGAGAAGAAACCTCAAGAGTTATAATTTACCTACAACAGTCAAAATCACAACAGCAGGCTCATTTGAGCACAGGAGGAGTTTTAATTTACTTATTGCAGACAAAGTTATAAGAGTTAGGGAAGCGGACCACATGAGGAGTTTAAGTTTATCTACATTAGAAAAAAATCACAACAGTTGGGTGAGCAGACCACAAGAAAAAAATTGATTTACCTACATTAGACATAACAGGCAAGCACACCACCAGAGGAGTTTTAATTTACCTACAGCAGAAAAAATCACAACAGTAGGTGAGCAGACTACAAGAGGAGTCTTAATTAAAAGAAAAAACAAAAAAGCAGTAAGGGAAGCTGATCATAATAGTTTTGATTTACCTACAGACAACATCACAACAGTAAGGCAAGCGCACCACCAGAGGAGTTTTAATTTACCTACAGACAACATCACAACAGTAAGGCAAGCGCACCACCAGAGGAGTTTTAATTTACCTACAGACAACATCACAACAGTAAGGCAAGCGCACCACCAGAGGAGTTTTAATTTACCTACAGACAACATCACAACAGTAAGGCAAGCGCACCACCAGAGGAGTTTTAATTTACCTACAGACAACATCACAAAAGTACATGATCACACCTATTTAGAATTATGTGTTGTATACATGTAACGTTATGTACAGGTAATGCTAACATTGTTTACAGGTAACACTTAAAGTTGCCTCTAGCTAACAATGAAGATATCTATTTGTTTATACATAGGTAGATTTATTTTAAGTTATGTTCATGCATCATACACCACCTATTATGCAAAACATCTTGTTAGAAATAGGTAGTTACCAAGTCAAGATATACAACACTTTTTTAGATGGCAAAAACTGATATGTATATTAAACTTCCTACACTGAATGTTAGCATGTCTGTTTATACATATATATACATTCTTCCCAGTGCATAATTTTAAAGATTGGAGAAAGCACTGATAATTTCAATGCACAGTATTTGTCTGAAATGTATATGGTAGTAAGTCTTATTTTACTGGGACACATCAGTTTTTTCTAATTCTTTTCCATATATGTGGTCAGATGATTCTGTGTCAGGGTAGGCCTTGTGAAACAGTCTTCTTTGCTGTATGATTGATATACAGACATAAAAAATGCGAAAAAGCAGGTCTTTCTCAAATTAAAAAGGAACAATTTAAATGGGAATTGGTTAACCTGTAAGAAGGTGATACAAGAGCACTAATGTCTAAACATTGGGACTTTGGTCCTGTACGTTGATGGTTTGTTAATTTTGAATCTTTGTGATTTAGCTATATTGGATCTTACATGAACTTCCATCCTTATGAAATTAATTAAAACAAGTCTTAGAACTTTTCATTTTACCAAGCCTCTGGAGATGGAGGCAGAACAAAAATTTGGTTGACAAGTTTCATAAATCTTATATAAAATGAAGACAAATGTAAGATTCTGTTTATCACATACCATATTTTCTGGGTTATAAGCTGTATTTGTATATAAGTTGATTCTTACCGATTTTTTTTCTATTTGATCATCATATAAGCCGCACCGGAATATAAGCCATATCCTTTCCCATGATATGGTGACCACTATTGTTGATGTTTGATATACCGTTAACATATAAAAAGGCTATTGTAAAATTCAGCTATGGCTGCAAAGTAACCGCCAATATCCAGAAGATTCACATTTAAAGCTATGATTAATTAACTGTACGAGATTGTTATTTTAATTTCAATCTTCAAATCGTCCTGTATATGATTGCAAATGAAGGTTCAAGATGATCTGTTTCAGTCACAAACTTGTGGTGGGCAGATGCTCTTAAAAGATCAGCTCTGTCTCTTCTTCACCAATGTTAGAGGTTTTACATGATAAGGCACTTCTGACAGGTACCATGTAGTTGCAGTCGGTATAATAATGACAGATGATGAAACAACCGACCAGCGACTGCTTATTTTATAAGAGTATAGTAGTATACCATCTCATACTGGTATACTGGTACGCTTCCTCTCTTTTGTTTCATTCTGCCGATTTTGGTTTCGTCCCTATATAAGCAGCACCACTATATAAGCTGCACTCTTGACTCAGGAGAAGAAAAGTATGGCTTGTAATCCGGAAAATATGGTACTTCTCTACATTTTGTTAACAGCATTTTATTAGAATGAAACAAATTCTAAATTAGTGTTATTCTCACTTGTATCTCGTCAGGGTAGAACACATTTATAAAAGTGTTATTGAGTTACCATTAATGAGGAGGTGACTGGTCAGGAATGACTTCTGTACGTGTGTAAATGAGTGACTGTACAGGTATGACTGTGTTATTGAGATACCATTAATGATAGGGTGACTGTACAGGTGTGACTGTGTTATTGAGATACCATTAATGATAGGGTGACTGTACAGGTGTGACTGTGTTATTGAGATACCATTAATGATAGGGTGACTGTACAGGTATGACTGTGTTGTTGAGATACCATTAATGATAGGGTGACTATACAGGTGTGACTGTGTTGTTGAGATACCATTAATGATAGGGTGACTATACAGGTATGACTGTGTTATTGAGATACCATTAATGATAGGGTGACTGTACAGGTGTGACTGTGTTATTGAGATACCATTAATGATAGGGTGACTGTACAGGTGTGATTGTGTTGTTGAGATACCATTAATGATAGGGTGACTGTACAGGTATGACTGTGTTGTTGAGATACCATTAATGATAGGGTGACTATACAGGTGTGATTGTGTTGTTGAGATACCATTAATGATAGGGTGACTGTACAGGTGTGACTGTGTTATTGAGATACCATTAATGATAGGGTGACTGTACAGGTGTGACTGTGTTATTGAGATACCATTAATGATAGGGTGACTGTACAGGTGTGACTGTGTCATTGAGATACCATTAATGATAGGGTGACTGTACAGGTGTGACTGTGTTATTGAGATACCATTAATGATAGGGTGACTGTACAGGTGTGACTGTGTTATTGAGATACCATTAATGATAGGGTGACTGTACAGGTGTGACTGTGTTATTGAGATACCATTAATGATAGGGTGACTGTACAGGTGTGACTGTGTTATTGAGATACCATTAATGATATGGTGAGTGTACAGGTGTGACTGTGTTATTGAGATACCATTAATGATAGGGCGAGTGTACAGGTATGACTGTGTTATTGAGATACCATTAATGATAGGGCGAGTGTACAGGTGTGACTGTGTTATTGAGATACCATTAATGATAGGGTGACTATACAGGTGTGACTGTGTTATTGAGATACCATTAATGATATGGTGAGTGTACAGGTGTGACTGTGTTATTGAGATACCATTAATGATAGGGCGAGTGTACAGGTGTGACTGTGTTATTGAGATACCATTAATGATAGGGCGAGTGTACAGGTGTGACTGTGTTATTGAGATACCATTAATGATAGGGTGACTATACAGGTGTGACTGTGTTATTGAGATACCATTAATGATAGGGTGACTGTACAGGTATGACTGTGTTGTTGAGATACCATTGATGTTATGGCGAGTGTACAGGTGTGACTGTGTTATTGAGATACCATTAATGATAGGGTGACTGTACAGGTGTGACTGTGTTATTGAGATACCATTAATGATAGGGCGAGTGTTCAGGTGTGATTGTGTTATTGAGATACCATTAATGATAGGGTGACTGTACAGGTGTGACTGTGTTATTGAGATACCATTAATGATAGGGTGACTGTACAGGTGTGACTGTGTTATTGAGATACCATTAATGATAGGGTGACTGTACAGGTACTGTGTTATTGAGATACCATTAATGATATGGTGAGTGTACAGGTGTGACTGTGTTATTGAGATACCATTAATGATAGGGCGAGTGTACAGGTATGACTGTGTTATTGAGATACCATTAATGATAGGGCGAGTGTACAGGTGTGACTGTGTTATTGAGATACCATTAATGATAGGGTGACTGTACAGGTGTGACTGTGTTATTGAGATACCATTAATGATAGGGTGGTTATACAGGTGTGACTGTGTTGTTGAGATACCATTAATGATAGGGTGACTGTACAGGTATGACTGTGTTATTGAGATACCATTAATGATAGGGTGACTATACAGGTGTGACTGTGTTGTTGAGATACCATTAATGATAGGGTGACTGTACAGGTGTGACTGTGTTATTGAGATACCATTAATGATAGGGTGACTGTACAGGTGTGACTGTGTTATTGAGATACCATTAATGATAGGGTGACTGTACAGGTGTGACTGTGTTATTGAGATACCATTAATGATAGGGCGAGTGTACAGGTGTGACTGTGTTATTGAGATACCATTAATGATAGGGTGACTGTACAGGTGTGACTGTGTTATTGAGATACCATTAATGATAGGGTGACTGTACAGGTGTGACTGTGTTATTGAGATACCATTAATGATATGGCGAGTGTACAGGTGTGACTGTGTTATTGAGATACCATTAATGATAGGGTGACTGTACAGGTGTGACTGTGTTATTGAGATACCATTAATGATAGGGTGACTGTACAGGTATGACTGTGTTATTGAGATACCATTAATGATAGGGTGACTGTACAGGTGTGACTGTGTTATTGAGATACCATTAATGATAGGGTGACTGTACAGGTGTGATTGTGTTGTTGAGATACCATTAATGATATGGCGAGTGTTCAGGTATGACTGTGTTATTGAGATACCATTAATGATAGGGCGAGTGTACAGGGGTGACTGTACAGGTGTGACTGTGTTATTGAGATACCATTAATGATAGGGTGACTGTACAGGTGTGACTGTGTTATTGAGATACCATTAATGATAGGGCGAGTGTACAGGTGTGACTGTGTTATTGAGATACCATTAATGATAGGGTGACTGTACAGGTGTGACTGTGTTATTGAGATACCATTAATGATAGGGTGACTGTACAGGTGTGACTGTGTTATTGAGATACCATTAATGATAGGACGTACTGTACAGGTGTGACTGTGTTATTGAGATACCATTAATGATAGGGCGAGTGTTCAGGTGTGATTGTGTTATTGAGATACCATTAATGATAGGGTGACTGTACAGGTATGACTATGTTATTGAGATACCATTAATGATAGGGTGACTGTACAGGTGTGACTGTGTTATTGAGATACCATTAATGATATGGCGAGTGTACAGGTGTGACTGTGTTATTGAGATACCATTAATGATAGGGTGACTGTACAGGTGTGACTGTGTTATTGAGATACCATTAATGATAGGGTGACTATACAGGTATGACTGTGTTATTGAGATACCATTAATGATAGGGTGACTGTACAGGTGTGACTGTGTTATTGAGATACCATTAATGATAGGGCGAGTGTTCAGGTGTGATTGTGTTGTTGAGATACCATTAATGATATGGCGAGTGTACAGGTGTGACTGTGTTATTGAGATACCATTAATGATAGGGCGAGTGTTCAGGTGTGATTGTGTTGTTGAGATACCATTAATGATAGGGCGAGTGTACAGGTGTGACTGTGTTATTGAGATACCATTAATGATAGGGCGAGTGTTCAGGTGTGATTGTGTTGTTGAGATACCATTAATGATAGTGTGGCTGTACAGGACTGACTTTGTTAATTAGCTATCATTAATGATAGTGTTGCTGTACAGGACTAACTTTGTTAATTAGCTATCATTAATGATAGTGTGGCTGTACAGGACTGACTTTGTTAATTAGCTATCATTAATGATAGTTTTGCTGTACAGGACTAACTTTGTTAATGAATTACCAGGAAGGAGATGTTTACATAACTTTACTGAATACTTTGCCACTTTCTCCATTCAGGCACTCATTAGAAAGATTAAACATTCCTATTTTGTGGTAGGGTCTGTGGACATCTGTGTAAGATTCAATAATATGACACAGATTCTGTAGAGGATAAGCAAAATCTGTCTCATTAATTTCTCTATCAGGCAGAGAGATTTAGACTTTGGCAGTTGTTTTTTACTGCCATCATTTATTTATCATGTCACAATATTGTATAACATGTATATCCTGCAATATCTTCAAAAATTTCAGAAATGTTTCAAATTAAATACAATATATGTTATTTATACAATAACACACCACAAACAGCTGGGAGAATGATTAAGATACACGGAGATACTTTGTGGACAGGATATTAACAGGAAACGCTACATCTGAGTCTATACTTTCTGTATCAACTTCCTCAGTTGTAACAGCAAAGTCAATGGTCGTAATGTCGACTCATATATTCTGACCAAAAAAAAATCAGAACAATAGACTATTTTGTTACTATTATATAGACTGTATTTTTATTAATGGAGAGTGAGTGTATCACTCCTCATTTGAACTTTGTCCCAAGGGTCCTAAGTAGACAAAGACCTTTTTTTTCTTTTTCTTATAAGCAACACACATATAATAAGATTTGTAGTAACTTTTATATAAAATTGATGTAAACATTTATTTGATCTAGTCTTTTTGATTATGTTTTTGCCTACAATCTTTTTCTTGTTATTAAGCTTTATAAATAGATGATCATGAGACTGTCTGTGAGTTTGAAAATTGTCAAATTTCCATGGTACTTGTTCTTCTAAGTATTTTTTATGAATGTTTTGTTGAACAACTGTGTGTAATGACTGCATATTTGATTGTAAACAAATATGTCCATACTCCAAGGTTTAAATGTCAGACACACACTAATGGTAAACCATCTGTTCAGTTTGATATTTGTTCTGAACAGCAAGGATTGTCTTTCATATATGTCAGTGCTATGAATGTTAACATAAATCACATCATGATCTTGGAACTCTCCTGTGTTTTCAATACTCTTGTAAAGATAAGAAATGATATGATCACATGTTGGTTGATAACTGTATTTATTCTGAAATAAGTCTTTCGTTGGTTCTAAGTCACTTAGCCTACCATATTTGTTCTGAAATAAACTCTTGCTTGACTATAGCCAGTTAGTCTACTATAATTATCCTGAAATATGCCCTTGGTTAGCTATCAGCCAGTTTGTATACCATATTTATCCTGAAATAAGCCTTTTCTTGGCTATAAGCCAGTTAGTCTACTACATTTATCCAGAAATATGCCCTTGGTTAGCTCTCAGCCAGTTTGTATACCATATTTATCCTGAAATAAGCCTTTGCTTGACTGTAAGTCAGTCCTTGGAGGTTATAAGCCAGAAAGCGTACTGTATTTATATCAATATAAGCCCTTGCTTGGCAATAAGCCAGTTTGCCTACTATATTTATCCTGAAGGAAGTCTTTGATTTGTTTTAAGTCCATTACATTAGCCTTCCTGGTACTCAATTGCAGATTACGATCAAAGGTAATGATGCACATAAATGCTTTGTTGTTGTCCTATGATCAGGATAACCCCATCTCCATACTTTAAACCTGACTTTATAACTTGACACCTTGTTTTATCTTAGGATAAATATGGTACTTTATTACCCTTCCTGACCATAAGGTTTGCAGATTGATGTTTGCTACTTTCAAGTTAATTCTCTATTCCAAAAGCATTACTAAATGTACATGAGAAGACTATACTGTCAAAAATCTCCATCTGTAATCCAACAACATTTCAAACACCCAAAACAAATTTTGTCAGTAGCACACTGTGATCACTTGCTATTGAATATATTAATAAAACCTTGTTTGAAAATTCAGCTCCTGGTTTCTGATTAGGATCAAATATGAAAAATGCTGATTTTGGTATCAGATTTTGGCCAACTTCTTCTCAAGTTCTACAAGGTCTAGAAACTTTTTCGTAAATTAGATGACCTTGGCCCATGGTCACATGGTTTAAGTGTGTTATAATCTTTGAATGGTTACTTAACAATGATCAAGATTCATAGGGTGATGATATTTGAGTCATTAGCTCACTGTGATGAATTGCTTTGATTAATTACAATAAGAAAACATTCAAAGTCCAAAAGTGTATGAACAATAAACAAATCTTACTGCTATTATCCTTTTCTCCATAAATGGAAAAAAGAACTTGAGGTTGAAAATAGGCTTTGTTGAAATACCAAATCAGTCTTAACTGTGGAAAGGCTGCCAAATTGTTTAGTAACAATTTCCAGTTATAATATTCATTTCAGTACCTTAATTGAAAATTTGTTAAGGAATAAAATAACAGTATATTATCATGGAATTTGTGTTTAATTTTTGCAGTCGGCTACCAGTTTGGATCCGATCTCTAATCCCACGGATTTTCTATATAACAGAGAAGGCGTGGAACTATTATCCCTACACAATAACAGGTAAGCTATATATATAGGTTTTAAAGGACATTATTACATAAAATGCCATGTTGTTATACTAGAATCCACTGTTTTCTGATATTCCATGAGAAAATGTTACATCACATGGGACATTTTAATGTGACTGGCTGACTGCAATATTTAGAAATCATTATATGACTCTCAGGCTGATATCCAGCCTATATCAGCATGATGATTTGTGGTCATGTAGCTCAAACGCTTAAAAATTCCAAAAATATGTTTATTACAGGTACCAAACTGTAATTCACTGTGTTGTTTACCTGCCTTCAGACTGCCTGTGAGGTTGACAGGGCGAATATTTTTGTTTAACTTGGAAAAAGAGACAATAATATCTAGCTGGTTAGAAGAGTGTTGGCTGATTTAATCTCAGGTAAAGGTCTGAGGGGCATGGTTCGATGACTCATAAGACTGACAGTTTTTTATTCTGATGGAAAATGAGAAACAGACTGGTCTGTGCTATAGTTGTGTCCTTTGATAAAACAATTGCTGTTGGTGGCTCATGATGACTTGTGATGGCTCTCCATGTGTTGTCCAGTGAGGAAGCCATCAGCTACTACAAGGAAACCCATCCTCAAAATGACACGGCTGTTGATGGAATGACAAATGAAATCCAGAAAAAAATGAACAATCTTTCAAAACATTTTAAGCAGGATATCATGGTAAAATTACATACTGGAAAGTGTTCAGTTAGTATTTGTGAACCACAAGTTGGCTAGCTTGGTCTGAAATTACCTGATGCAGAAAGTTTTTTTTCTGGATTTTTCATCTTTTTGTAAACACATATTATTTTAATGTCTTTTCATGGTAAAGTAAACAAATATTTGCCTGTCAACCTATGGCCTTATATCACTTAATTATGTAGAACAGTGAACCGTGAACATGTGTGTCGTTCAGGACCATTGTTTTCATCACGGATTACCGACCCTGTCACCAGGTTGCGTTAAACGAAGTAAACATCATTATCGGATTAACTTGGCCTACCCGTCCGAAACCGCGTGCTAGACACGTTTTAATAGCGATCTGTTGTTTGTCAATTATATATTGATAGATCGGTAGGTATATGAACACCTTAGAAGCCCTGCATACCCAAAAGTGAATTATGTAGTCGTTTCGGCCGATATTCCTTGGCTTGCACGCGCACACATTGTCGAGGGTTTTTAACTGTTTTTGTAGCAATGTTACACTCTCGATATCGTTTGAACAATAAAAAAACGTGTATGTGTTCCAATTTTTTTACGAAAAATGAAGCGTTGAAAGACTTTATAGTGACTTCATTAAAGTTGTTACAAATACTGAGTAAATGTGTTCGTAAATTTATGTGAAATAGTTGCAAAATTAACGTTAAATTCCAATTGAACTTAAAATGGATTGTTTGTTTCCTTTTATTCAATGTTTACAATAGTAAATATATATGTATATTATGATATATAAACTAAGGAATATATACATAATTATTCTTCTGTCAATTCAGCAATTTTGTCTTCTTTGCATGCATTTCATTAAATTCAACATTTTAGTTTATTATTATTAGTTATTGTTGTTGAATAATATACATGTACATTACTTAATGATATATATACTCTTTATTTTAAACAGAGTTACGGTTCTTTGTGGTCAATCTGATCCACCTCACTATTAAGACCACCTCGCTATTAAGACCACTTTTGTCCAGTCCCCAAAGTGGTCTTAATAGCGAGGTTTCACTGTATAGGGAAAAGTTATCTTGACTCTTAGACCAACAGGTAGATAGAGTCATAAGATTGAATAAGATTTGTTCCAAAATGTCTGTGTCAGATATGTCAAATATATTCTGTTTGTAATCAATTTTCTTTCTGTAAGTTTCTATTTCATTTAAAACTGGCAAGTTTGAGGCTTATTATTTTTATTTGCTGCTAATGTGTCTGTTTCTTTAGGATTAAGGTTCCTTGAGAAAGCTATATCACTAATGTGTCTGTTTCTTTAGGATTAAGGTTCCTTGAGAAAGCTATATCACTAATGTGTCTGTTTCTTTAGGATTAAGGTTCCTTGAGAAAGCTATATCACTAATGTGTCTGTTTCTTTAGGATTAAGGTTCCTTGAGAAAGCTATATCACTAATGTGTCTGTTTCTTTAGGATTAAGGTTCCTTGAGAAAGCTATATCACTAATGTGTCTGTTTCTTTAGGATTAAGGTTCCTTGAGAAAGCTATATCACTAATGTGTCTGTTTCTTTAGGATTAAGGTTCCTTGAGAAAGCTATATCACTAATGTGTCTGTTTCTTTAGGATTAAGGTTCCTTGAGAAAGCTATATCACTAATGTGTCTGTTTCTTTAGGATTAAGGTTCCTTGAGAAAGCTATATCACTAATGTGTCTGTTTCTTTAGGATTAAGGTTCCTTGAGAAAGCTATATCAGGGCTATTTTAAACACAACCATGTATTCTGGATCCAAGCAAAAATGAAGATTTTCCTTCAGAAAAAGCATGTGTTGTACTTAGCTTGGATGATGAAGGAAGAAAACCACTTGTATCATACTTCCAGTGTGTTTGGAATGCACTTAGAATATTAATTTAAACACTACAAACCCTCTTAAACCATCACACAAATATAACTCACAAAAGTATGGAAGCAATTATCCTAGTTAAAAGCTACATCTTTTTTGTGAAGAAATATGTCTGAAATGTGGACAATAATATCTGGATTCTCTCAATAGGAACAGAATTTTTTAGCCTTTAGTAACAGTTCATGCTTCTCAGGAAAACATACTTCAAGATGGTTCATCGATACTACTGGTGGGGTTGAGTTGTGCCTCCTGGGTGCCTTATGGCCAGTGGTCAGTCTTTCTAATCAAGAGTTCTTGTTCAGACTTAATTTTTCTGCAACTTCTGTTACAAAACTTTATATTCATCAAACTCCATTTCATGATCCTCCCTAGGGGTTACTGCACACCTGCCATTTATTCTGCTCCAATTGATATAGACATGGTCTGATTTTAAGGTATTTAGTAGCTAGGGCTCCCAATCTTTCAACTTTCATTTAGTCATTTATGTAATCAGGAAGGGTCACATGACCAAAAGTGTTCTTTGATTTCTGAAATAAATTTCCATTTATTTCTTGTGAACCAAGAACTCATTCAGAATAATTATACAACCCACTACAAGTGTTAGGTCAAAGGTCAAACTAGAAACTCATAATTAGGTAGAAATGAGAGATTCTTAGTCAGAAATTTTGACAGAACACTATATTACATGTATTATGAATCAATTCTATGACCTTGAGTTATGTATTATCATGAGATATTTTTCCTTTAAAAGATCAGTTACAGGTCAACAATTGATATTGGTTAAAAGTCAAATTAAGGAAAACAAATAAATAAGTAAATAAATAACTTAAAGTGAAAGTGAAAATGAGAAAATTGAATATTACACCTTAAATTTAGCTAGACAAACTCAAATATTTTGTCCTTAATTTTGATTTTCATGTTTGAAAACTATCACAAATATCTAGTATGTTATTTTGGATATGAATTATTTATATTCATATAATATTTATTTAACATAAGAAAATGTTTTTTCAAAAGTAACTTTATATTAAAAGACTTAGCTGTGGTTTCTGTAATACCACTGAGCACATGTCAAAGCAACTATTGCTTTTCACCAATACAAAATTTACAAGAACTTTCTACCACTCTAAACCTTGTACTCCAAAATGCTGGCTGTGGGTTTCCTTTTTCATTTGGAGTAAAGATTTTCAATCTTACAAATATATTTTTCTGTGATAAAAAGAGTTAATTTTTTCAGTGGTTAATTTTGCGGAAGGGTTTGGTGGATCCCTTGGTAAATTTTATGGAAGGGGTTAGGAAATCCCATGGTAAATTTTATGGAAGGGGTTAGGAGATCCCATGGTAAATTTTATGGAAGGGGTTAGGAGATCCATGGTAAATTTTATGGAAGGGGTTAGGAGATCCCATGGTAAATTTTATGGAAGGGGTTAGGAGATCCCATGGGAAGGGGTAAATCCCATGGTAAATTTTATGGAAGGGGTTAGGAGATCCCATGGTAAATTTTATGGAAGGGGTTAGGAGATCCCATGGTAAATTTCATGCAAGATTCATTGGATAATTCCTTAATCTCATGGAAGGGGTTGGGGGATCCTAGGTAAATTTCATGGAAGGGGTTGGGGGATCCTAGGTAAATTTAATGGAAGGGGTTGGGGGATCCTAGGTAAATTTCATGGAAGGGGTTTGGGGATCCTAGGTAAATTTCATGGAAGGGGTTGGGGGATCCTAGGTAAATTTCATGGAAGGGGTTGGGGGATCCTGTGGTAAATTTCATGGAAGGGGTTGGGGGATATTTTGGTAAATTTCATGGAAGGGGTTTGGGGATCCTGTGGTAAATTTCATGGAAGGGGTTGGGGGATCCTGTGGTAAATTTCATGGAAGGGGTTTGAGGGATCCTGTGGTAAATTTCATGGAAGGGGTTGGGGGATCCTAGGTAAATTTCATGGAAGGGGTTGGGGGATCCTAGGTAAATTTCATGGAAGGGGTAGGGGGATCCTAGGTAAATTTCATGGAAGGGGTTGGGGGATCCTAGGTAAATTTCATGGAAGGGGTAGGGGGATCCTGTGGTAACTTTCATGGAAGGGGTTGGGGGATCCTTTGGTAAATTTCATGGAAGGGGTTTGGGGGATCCTGTGGTAAATTTCATGGAAGGGGTTGGGGGATCCTGTGGTAAATTTCATGGAAGGGGTTTGGGGATCCTGTGGTAAATTTCATGGAAGGGGTTTGGGGGATCCTGTGGTAAATTTCATGGAAGGGGTTGGGGGATCCTGTGGTAAATTTCATGGAAGGAGTTGGGGGATATTTTGGTAAATTTCATGGAAGGGGTTTGAGGGATCCTGTGGTAAATTTCATGGAAGGGGTTGGGGGATCCTAGGTAAATTTCATGGAAGGGGTTGGGGGATCCTAGGTAAATTTCATGGAAGGGGTTGGGGGATCCTGTGGTAAATTTCATGGAAGGGGTTGGGGGATCCTGTGGTAAATTTCATGGAAGGGGTTGGGGGATCCTGTGGTAAATTTCATGGAAGGGGTTTGGGGATCCTGTGGTAAATTTCATGGAAGGGGTTTGGGGGATCCTGTGGTAAATTTCATGGATTGGGGGATCCTGTGGTAAATTTCCCTGTGGTAAATTTCATGGAAGGGGTTGGGGGATCCTGTGGTAAATTTCATGGAAGGGGTTTGGGGATCCTGTGGTAAATTTCATGGAAGGGGTTGGGTAACTTTCATGGAAGGGGTTGGGGGATCCTGTGGTAAATTTCATGGAAGGGGTTGGGGGATCCTGTGGTAAATTTCATGGAAGGGGTTGGGGGTATTTTGGTAAATTTCATGGAAGGGGTTTGGGGATCCTGTGGTAAATTTCATGGAAAGGGTTGGGGATACTGTGGTAAATTTCATGGAAGGGGTTTGGGGGATCCTGTGGTAAATTTCATGGAAGGGGTTGGGGAATCTTTACGTAAATTCCACTGAAGAGAAATGCTTTGGTAAGTTGTAGAAGGGGTTGGGAGATCCTTTAGTAAGTTTTGCATTAGAGGTTAGGAAATCCTTTTTTTTTTTTAATTTTATGGACAGGGTTGGAGGATCAGTTGATAGATTTCACAGAAAGAGCTCAAAATACTTTGGTAAATTTCATGAAAGGCATAGGGGGATCCTTTAGTAAATTTCATGGAAGTAGTTGAGGGATCCTTTAGTAAATTTCATGGAAGGGGTTTGAAGATCCTATGGTATGTAAGCCTAAATTGTCTGCCTGCAACCTAATAGAACTGACTTTCCTTCAAATACCATGTAAAATTGTTAAAAGGAAAAATGGAATTTGTTGGTGATACATGGCTAAAGAATTACCTAGGCTTCATAACATATTACATTGTTGACTTCAATGAATAAGTCTTGAGGGATCTATCATGGTTATAGATAGATGGTGTATAAAGTACGTATAAAAATGTCAAAACTCTGTAGCAGCATTCAGGATAGTAGGGGATCAATGAATAATGTATTATGGAAAAGTTCCAGTCAGCTCCTGATGGGTCATCGGGTTTTATACGATCTTATTTCAGTACTAATTTGACTGACTTTATAAAAGACTGTTAGAATTTAGGTATAAAACGATTTGTATATACACCGATGTCCCATCAACAGGCTGGTGTACTCACGGTTCAGGATGAATAGTTTGATGTCATTACTCAGTAGTCACGTTGCAGATAAAAATCTTTTTTCCAAATTTGTACAATTCATTATTGTTACATTGTATAAAACCATCATGGCTTAAAATCTTAATTAAGTAGAAAACAACTCAATTATTCTTAATTCTTGTCTCACTGCTGTGAACAGTATGATTGTTATTGAGTCTCTGTATAAAAATTTGACTTACAAAGCTAAATCCTCTATTGTAACATTACTTTAGGTTATGGCCTTGAGTTAACTTACTATTTTACTACACATGCAATTTAATTATATGATGCTGTACTATCCTTGTTTTAAAGCCCAAAACATTATATGACATTGGTAATGGCACCAAACTGTTCTTTTGTTTAGAGAGTTTAATTATAAACGACATATTTTTGAGATAAAATATTTGAGGTCCTTACAGCATTTATGGGCAAACATATAATATTTATGGTTATATGCAGCTTTAGCTTGTCTTGTAAAGCCTGCTCAAACAATTGTAAAACAATCAACTTATTAACTTACGTTATTTTATTTTTCATGTTGTGATGAACTACCTGACCACCAGAATACACTGTGAGTATGGATTTGTTCTATTTATATGTTATTACCTTTGTTGCACTTGTCACCAGTCACTTACTGGAGGTCACACATGCATTACCTCACAGTGGTAGTCACTGACTGTTTCACATGCATGTTCTTATAGTTATGGCCAGTGGCTGTCACTCATGCATGTCATAGGTATAGTCACTGGCAGTCACTCATGCATGTCATGGTTATAGTCACTGGCTGTCACTCATGCATATCCTTACAGTTATAGTCACTGTCTGTCACTCATGCATATCCTTAAAGTTATAGTCACTGGCTGTCACTCATGCATATCCTTACAGTTATAGTCACTGTCTGTCACTCATGCATATCCCTACAGTTATAGTCACTGTCTGTCACTCCTGCATATCTTTACAGTTATAGTCCCTCCATGTCACACCTTCATACTTACACACAGTTTCAGTTGCTGGCTGTCACTCATGCATATCCTTAAAGTTATAGTCACTGTCTGTCACTCATGCATATCCTTACAGTTATAGTCCCTCCATGTCACACCTTCATACTTACACACAGTTTCAGTTGCTGGCTGTCAAGCATGCTTGTCCTCCAGTTATAGCCATTAGCTCTTAAACACTTATGCATGTCCTTACAGTCACTTTTGCGGGAACAGTTGAAATGTTTGAAGCAAATGAATCTGCATAAGAAGTATCAGGCAGAGATATTAAGAACTTGTCACTGACCATGAGATGGTTGAAAACCTTACAGTCCTGCTCACTAGCCATGAGAAGGTTGAATGTCTTACAGTCCTAATCACTAGCCATGAGAAGGTTGAATGCCTTACAGACCTGGTCACTGACCATGAGAAGGTTGAATGTCTTACAGTCCTGGTCACTGACCATGAGATGGTTGAAAACCTTACAGTCCTGGTCACTAGCCATGAGAAGGTTGAATGTCTTACAGTCCTAATCACTAGCCATGAGAAGGTTGAATGCCTTACAGACCTGATCACTGACCATGAGAAGGTTGAATGTCTTACAGTCCTGGTCACTGAACCATGAGAAGGTTGACTGTCTTACAGACCTGGTCACTAGCCATGAGAAGGTTGACTGTCTTACAGTCTTAATCACTGACCATGAGAAGGTTGAATGTCTTACAGTCCTGGTCACTGACCATGAGAAGGTTGAATGTCTTACAGACCTGGTCACTAGCCATGAGAAGGTTGACTGTCTTACAGTCTTAATCACTGACCATGAGAAGGTTGAATGTCTTACAGTCCTGGTCACTGGCCATGAGAAGGATGAATGTCTTACAGACCTGGTCACTAGCCATGAGAAGGTTGACTGTCTTACAGTCTTAATCACTGACCATGAGATGGTTGAATGTCTTACAGTGCTGGTCACTGGCCATGAAAAAGTTGACTGTCTTATAGTCCAGGTCACTAGCCATGAGAATGATGAATGTCTTACAGTCCTGGTCACTAGCCATGAGAAGGTTAAATGTCTTACAGACCTGGTCACTGACCATGAGAAGGTTGAATACCATACAGTACTGGTCACTAGCCATGAGAAGGTTGAATGGCTTACAGTCCTTATCACTGACCATGAGTTGGTTGAATGCCTTACAGTGCTGGTCACTAGCCATGAGATGGTACAGTATTGGTAAGGGGCCATGAGATGACTGTATGATTTACAGTACAAACTGATTACTCTTTCCTCTGCCCAGTAATCCTAATTTTACCTGACTAATGTAAGGTAGTACTTAGCAGCCACTTGGTTCATTATGTGGCATATCCATCTAGTTTCCTTCTAATCTTGTATGTATTGGTGTGTTAACTTACTATTTGGGTCATAAGTGCTAATGGGCCAGCCATTTCCTATGAAACTTTACAAACATTAATTTTCTGAACAGGAAAATTTGTCACTACCAGTCTAACACCAAACCCTGAACCCCACAGTTCAGTTCAGTGCAAAGAGTCAAATGCATTGTAAGGCTTGTTCAGACCAAATGTTCTATATATAACTGATCCTAGATAATTGAACAGACTTCTGTTTATCATGACTATATAATCAGTAACAGGCCTGTAGCCTAAAGGTAGTCAGATTAAAAGGTCAGATCGTTGTAATGGTTGGAAGGACCATGTCTTCTAAATAGGAAAAATTACTATTCATCAGTCTCAAGTGTCCTTAAGGTCAAAGTCAATACAAATGAGTCAAATGTCAAATAGCTATGATGTTTCATAATATTTGATATTTTTTACAAACTGCTATAGTACTCTAACAGATATTGTGATGAACATGAGTACAAGAAGAAGTGTCCTAAAGATAATACTGAATTGCATAAATTCTTAAACACTATGTCAAACTTAACAAAGGAATATTCCCAATTTTTAATTATGGGAGATTTTAATTTACCAAAGATCAACTGAAATTCCATATTGGCCACAAATGATCCTGGGAGTTTGAATTTTATTGAATGCTTGCAAGATAATTCTTAAATTTAACATTAATACAAGCTCATTTTGAAATTTTATTTCATATGTTACAATAATTATTCAAAAAGTAAGACAGTTTGTAGACTGTATATGAAAAAGAAAGGAGGTTATGAAGGAATTAGGACAGATAGTATCATTAAGGGAAGAAGTTTTAAAGGGAGAACTGAACATTATGTACTAGTCAATGGAATTTTTTCATGGCAGTATTGATATCATGTTCTACTAGGTAAAGGGCTACATCAAGGAAACCATGTCTTCCATTTAATGATCATATTAGAAGAAAGATCTGTCAAAAAAACGCAGATCATGGCAGTGCTATAGGGAATTTCACAAATATATGGAATATACACAATTGTGAAACCAAGCAAAAGGTATAACCAGAAAAATGAGACAAAAAGGATTTTGGAAATATATCAATTCTGAGTGAAAAGTGGAGATTGGAAAATCGGATTTACAAGATTTAGTGGAATGCATCAAGAAAAGCACCAGAAGACAAAGATTAAGCTGATATACTTGAAACTTTCTTCAGCAGTGTTTTTTATAAATGAACCTATCAGGGATATATCTATAATGGATATTAAACCCATTTAGGAGCTTGTATCTACAAAAAAACAAAATGTAAAAAATAACTCTTTAAATTAGACGGGAATAAATCCCAAGGACCAGATCAATACATTCAAAGGTCATATAAAAATTGCATTTCGTTATAAGTAAACCACTAACAACTACTTTAAACAGATCTTTACAGGATGGCATTGTAACATCAGCATGAAAGGAAGCCAATATCATGGCTATTTTCAGAAAGGGAGCAGAATTGAACCATGGCATGTACAGACTGATAAGTTTCACCGGCATGGTAGAAAAAACCTTGGAAAAAGTAATGCAAAATGCCAGTATTAATTATGTAGAATTAAGCAATCTGTTTAGTGAGAAGCAATTCAGATTTATAGACAAAATATCTACAGTTCTTTAGCTACTGATTGTCCTAGAAAATTAGATATTCTGGATCATGGCAATGAACTTGATGTCATATACATTGATTTCCTGAATGGGTTCAATAAACTACCTCACCACAGACTAATTGAAAATTAGTAATTAGTGAATGAGCAGGTTACCAAATTTTTGGAGTAATAGGAAACAGAGAGTTCTAGTTAACTGAATTTTTTCTAAGCATCACTGGCGCTGAGGTGAATACCTCAGGGGAGTGACCTTGGACCAATATTGTTTATCATTTATATAAATCATCTACCGAACTACATGACATGGAACAATATCCTATTCACTGACAATACCAAAATATATAGGGAAATCAGGAGCGTAGAGGACGGATAAGATACGCAGCAACATCTAGAAAATTTACTGGTTCATCAAGTGGATATTAAAATTTCATCTGCTTAACTGAAAAGTTCTCATGTTAAAGGAAGTAAGAAATTACCACATGACATGTACAGATAACAACATATCTGTAAAATATTACATCTGAAAAGGATATAGGGGAGGTGGTTGATAAGGATTTAAAGTTTTCATTACATACAGTATTGTTGGGCTCATAAGAAGATCATTTGTACACTGGGATGAAATTACATTTGAATTAATGTTTTTACAGTGTTAGTCTGCCAGCATTTTGACTATGTGGCAATTATATGGAATCCTGATGAAGGAAAAGACATCAAAACAATAGAACATGTGTAACGGAGAGCTACCAAATCATGTATAAAATAATGAACAATTCCTATGATTATAAGCCATCACAAGTCATTTAGAGCAAAATGAATCATCAACTAACAGAGGACATAGAAAATAAGGAAAAAATATTGTAAACTTGATATACAAAAATATTCATGTAAGCTAAGAACCATCCATATTTGAAACTGTCTCCAGGGAGAGGTTGTTTGGGCAAATAACATTAGAGAATTTGAAATCGCTTTGGACAACCACTCGCAAAATCTAGGACTGAAATATAACCACATGGTGAGATGGAATTGCATTGGCAGTGATATTTGAACTTATTATACTTATATAAATACATACTCAATATGGACATAAAGGCATTTTATGTCTGCGTTAATAAATTGTCCTATCAAATCCTATTAAATGTACACGCATACAAAATTTCTGCATAAAAAATCCCCTGTTTTTTCCTGTGATATAGACTGACAACTAGCTAATTTGTGGATACTTTTACAGGCAGTTATTGACACATGTTTTGGTGTTGTAGACCTAAGTTGATACTGCATTTAGACTAATCCACAGGTCAGACTAGTTTTGTACTTCTCAGTAACTTTACTAACACTCAGGGTTTAAATAGTTAAACATTTCTGCAGCATTTGTTGTTATTGATCAAAACATTATTGATTAAGGCTATTAGGAATCTTCTCTCAGCAAATCCTACATTTCAGGTGTCGTGGAAATCACCTGTTAAATGCAGCATAATTTCATCACTTAACGTTCATGATTTTGAAAAACACCTAGACAACTTCTGGAAAGATCTTGAACTGAAGTACGATCATACAGCGTCTTATATCTAGTCTAATATTATGTTTATATTAATAATACATTGTATTGATGTGAATACAGAGGCAGAAATGCCAGCGTTCACTATTATCCTATTAAAATCCTATTAAATAATTTATCACCAGTTTACTTATTGGTAAATAGGTATTTGAACAGTGTATATACAAACAACGGCTGATTGTACAATAATGATGTAACTACTTAAAAGTGTTTAAGTAATTGAAATAGATCATTGTTAATTTTTCACATCTACAGTGGTATCCATCCCTTTCAAATATTCCTTTAGAACTTTACATATGTGTTTATATATCAGGATGTTATGCTGTAATCATAATACGGTTTCACTCAGGACTGTTATTATAAGTCAAGGTCACAAGGTCATGATATATATAATGGATTAGGTGGAAAAGGGTTTGTGAGGCAGGGAGGGATATGTACCTAGTGGGATAGCTCAATTTAATATGTTTTTATTATAAATTCACATGGATTCTGGAGGAGGTTGGCGAATTGAATGGCATTATTGATTTTTAATTCCAGTCCATAAGTTTTTATATGATGTAATTATACTGAGTATGAAATCATGAACTCCGCACATGCTGGGTCCTTACAAATTTCAACTTGTGATTTGTAAAAATAAACACCATGCATACATCAAGTCAATGTCACTTATTTACAAAAATTGGTATTAAAGTTTTAAAAGTAATTGAAATATTATGAATTACACTCAAGGTAAACACAATAATTACAGGCAATTGGCTGAGCTTTAAATACTCTTAATTTTATAATTGATGGTTTGAAGTGAAATGTTTACACTGTCCTTGACAGTATTGACTAGATTGAGGTTGATGTACACTACACTGAGGTGGGTTTTGCCCAGCTACATACATTTACTGCTGTATGGTTAAACTGTGTCAGCTGTAGTATATTGCAAAACATTGTCAAAGAAGGCTGATGTTCATGTTTACAGAAAATTTACTCTATATGTAGATGTCTAAGCCTTTTGATGTTTCAGTTGATAGAAAATGTTCAACATAGGTAAATAGTGTTTGTTGTGTGACAATTCTATGTATGTCAACTCCTGCTACTATTCTTGCGTCATACAGCTTGTCATGAGAAGTAATATCTCTCCTAACATCAATGTTTTGTAAGATGTAGAGGTCAGTACAGGTCACCAATCCCTCTTGTTATTCTAGCTTTGTCATCCTCACGCTGTAAATATCTAAGTCATTGTAGTATAATTACACAAGCATCATAATTCACTAATTCATATAATTTTGTAATGCACACACAACTAATTTTAAATGACTTAAATATGAGATGAAATGCCTTGATGACAGATGTAATATATGTGAATGATCAGTGTCACTCTTTTCTCAGACAATTATCTTCATGCTCCCACAGTCATAACAGGATTTACCAACACAACCCTCAATATATAGCTAATGTTTTAGTAGCTAGGATAAAAACCACAGATTACTTGTGTATCAGGGGCTAGAATACAAACCCCAGTTTACCCCTGTATTAGGAGCCAGGATACAAATTCTTAGTTTACCTGTGTATTAGGAGCCAGGATACAAATACTTAGTTTACCTGTGTATTAGGAGCTAGGATACAAATTTTTAGTTTACCTGTGTATTAGGAGCTAGGATACAAATACTTAGTTTACCTGTGTATTAGGAGCCAGGATACAAATTCTTAGTTTACCTGTGTATTAGGAGCCAGGATACAAATTCTTAGTTTACCCCTGTGTTAGGAGCCAGGATACAAATTCTCAGTTTACCCCTGTATTAGGAGCCAGGATAAAAATTCTTAGTTTACCCCTGTGTTAGGAGCCAGGATACAAATTCTTAGTTTTCCTCTGTATTTGAATTTGGACAAAGTGTAAGGATCGCCAACTAGGAGGAATATGAGTCTTGGGGAAAAATTTTATTTTAAAATTTTTTCCTGTTAAAATTTGAACCATACAAAACCACAAACCTTTACAAAGTCATAATGCTGCCAAAAATATGATTAGGTCAACAATGGCTTTCTAAACTTGTTAGGCAAATTTGTTGGTTATGTTATAACAGAAAATAAAAATTCTGCTATCCGTACTTCTTGATAAACTTCAAATAACATGATGATTTCAATTTCCATATTGTGAATTTTCCATTTCTGGATAGCTACATCTCTGCATCCCTAATATATGGTGATTACATATCGCAGTTAATTCAATATTCAAGGGCCTGTTCCCATTATCACGATTTTGATGCAAGAAGTCATCAACTGACAGACATACTTTTAGCACTGGGTTTCCAAAGATGCAGGTTGATGAAAATTATGGGAAAATTTTATTGATCTCATTAGGAAATGTTCTATTTCTTTATGCAATATCAAGCTGGACGTGTTTGATGTTCATTAGCTTACCTGTTGGTTCCATAGTTGTATACCTGGTTCTCATTTGAGAGTGTAACATTACTTACTTGGATTGACCAGGGTTTACATAACGGGTGTTGTCAAGAAGCTTTTTCTTTTGAAACACCTGGTCTTATTATCCTTGTACTTTTTCTGGAGTCTCCATGTAAATCTTTTTTTTGCCCTTGTTGAATTTGAGATTGGATTATGATTATGCTGACATTTATTTTCTTGTTATTTTTTGAGTACTACAGTATGTATCACTGTGGGGACCCATGGTGTTCAGTTTTGTTTATGTAGATCAAAATAGGAAAGTTTAGAAATCTAGCCAATTTGACTAGTATATCAAGTCATATGCTATATATAGTCAGTTGACCAGTCCTATAGTATTGTGATTGGTTGTATTACAATCATCGATTATAATTATCATTTGTTCTTTGTTTTCAGTGCTCATTTATTCCACACTTTTCCATCTATATTGAAACAAAGTATAAAGATGACAACGGATGTACTGAAAATGTAAGTACTTAAAGAAAGTGTGTCATCTAACTGGTTAGGGACATTTTAAAATGTTTTGTATACCCTGGTAAATGTTTGGTTTCTATGGTTTGTTTACCTGTAATTACCATTGTCTGGTTTCTTTATCTTTGATAACTAGTGTAGTAAGTTTGTTTACCTGTGATAACCAGTGTCTGGTTTGTTTACCTGTGATTACCTTTGTTGTAGGTTTGTTTACCTGTGATTTCCTTTGTCGTAGGTTTGTTTACCTGTGATTACCTTTGTTGTAGGTTTGTTTACCTGTGATTTCCTATGTAGTAGGTTTGTTTACCTGTGATTACCTTTGTCGTAGGTTTATTTCCCTGTGATTACCTTTGTCTTAGATTTGATTATCTGTGGTTACCTTTGTCGTAGGTTTGTTTACCTTTAGTTACCTTTGTCATAAATTTGTTTACCTGTGGTTACCTTTGTCGTTGGTTTGTTTACCTGTGGTTACCTTTGTAGTAGGTTTGTTTACCTGTGATTACCTTTGTAGTAGATATGTTTACCTATCGTTACCTTTGTCGTTGGTTTGTTTACCTGTGGTTACCATTGTCATAGGTTTGTTTACCTGTGATTACTTTTGTCGTAGGTTTGTTTACCTGTTATTTCCTTTGTAGTAGGTTTGTTTACCTGTGATTACCTTTGTAGTAGGTTTGTTTACCTATGGTTACCTTTGTCGTTGGTTTGTTTACCTGTGGTTACCTTTGTCATAGGTTTGTTTACCTGTGATTACTTTTGTCGTAGGTTTGTTTACCTGTTATTTCTGTTGTAGTAGGTTTGTTTACCTGTGATTACCTTTGTAGTAGGTTTGTTTACCTGTGATTACCTTTGTAGTAGGTTTGTTTACCTGTGATTACCTTTGTAGTAGGTTTGTTTACCTGTGATTACCTTTGTCATAGGTTTGTTTATCTGTGATTACATTTGTCGTAGGTTTGTTTACCTGTGATTACCTTTGTCGTAGGTTTGTTTACCTGTTATTTCCTTTGTAGTAGGTTTGTTTACCTGTGATTACCTTTGTAGTAGGTTTGTTTACCTGTGATTACCTTTGTCGTAGGTTTGTTTACCTGTGATTACCTTTGTCGTAGGTTTGTTTACCTGTTATTACCTTTGTAGTAGTTTTGTTTACCTGTGGTTACCTTTGTCGTAGGTTTGTTTGCCAGAGTTCTGCTTTAGGTAAGTATCACTACATTTTGAGATGTTTTGGCCTGTTTTGTATAACACCTGTTATCAATGTTATACAGGTTCTTAGTCTCAGTGAAGAAGACCTGGAGGTGCGTGAAATAGAGCATATTGACATCGCCCATGATAATATAGCTGAAAAACATTACAAAGAATCAGAGGTTTGTAAATTTTACCTGTAAATATCAGGTATCTAATGTTCACCAAAACAATACCTGTTAGAATAGAATAAAAAGTACATGATATATCTTAACTGTTAGTGACATTTCATCCTTTGTTTATGCAAGAGCAGTATTGTGCAGGCAAATTAGCTGAAAAAAAGTAAATTGCATTAAGGTTTAAATTTTTGTTCTATCATATTGTTCTACCAAAATAGATTTTGCTGGAGGCTGTGTCTTCCTTGCATGAAAAGTGTGACATCATTTTGATGTGTTCATTACTTGACATACTGGTGCTATTCTGATTACAGCATTGATTTCTTTAGTGCCAGACTACCAGCTTCATTTCTAGATTGGTGTCTGTTTTATATATGCTCATAAATGGAAATAGTCTACCATATGCCTTACCTTTAAGCAGTGTGAATTTTAAACTGAATTTTCATTTCTAGGATCCAACACTATTCCTATCAAAAAAGACAGGGAGAGGGAAGCTGATGAAGGAGTGGAAGGTAGGCTGATTTGTGTGCTGGATTGATAGAACATATTTCATTATATGTGATAAGGAAGTTAGGCTGGTGCTTGTAAGAGGATATTAGGCTGATATTTGAAGGGAAATGCTGGCGGGTATGTCAGACAGTTGGGATGGTATTTCTAAGGAATGCATGGTTAGGTGTATACCTTTGTGTGATGTGTGTGATTACCTGTCTATTACTGTGTGTTATGTACCTGTATGATTGTGTGTGATTACTTGTCTATTACTGTGTGTTGTGTACCTGTATGATTGTGTGTGATTACCTGTCTATTACTGTGTGTTATGTACCTGTTATGATTGTGTGTGATTACCTGTCTATTACTGTGTGGTATATACCTGTATAATTGTGTGTGATTACCTGTCTATTACTGTGTGTTATGTACCTGTATGATTGTGTGTGATTACCTGTCTATTGATTACTTTGTGTTATGTACCTGTATGATTGTGTGTGATTACCTGTCTATTACTGTGTGTTGTGTACCTGTATGATTGTGTGTGATTACTTGTCTTTTACTGTGTGTTGTGTACCTGTATGATTGTGTGTGATTACTTGTCTATTACTTTGTGTTATGTACCTGTATGATTGTGTGTGATTACCTGTCTATTACTGTGTGTTGTGTACCTGTATGATTGTGTGTGATTACCTGTCTATTACTTTGTGTTATGTACCTGTATGATTGTGTGTGATTACTTGTCTATTACTGTGTGTTGTGTACCTGTATGATTGTGTGTGATTACCTGTCTATTACTGTGTGTTGTGTACCTGTATGATTGTGTGTGATTACCTGTCTATTACTGTGTGTTATGTACCTGTATGTTGTGTGTGATAACCTGTCTATTACTGTGTGTTATGTACCTGTATGATTGTGTGTGATTACCTGTCTATTACTGTGTGTTATGTACCTGTATGATTGTGTGTGATTACCTGTCTATTACTGTGTGTTGTGTACCTGTATGATTGTGTGTGATTACCTGTCTATTACTGTGTGTTGTGTACCTGTATGATTGTGTGTGATTACCTGTCTGTTGATTACTGTGTGTTATGTACCTGTATGATTGTGTGTGATTACCTGTCTATTACTGTGTGTTATGTACCTGTATGATTGTGTGTGATTACTTGTCTATTACTGTGTGTTATGTACCTGTATGATTGTGTGTGATTACCTATTACTGTGTGTTGTGTACCTGTTTTGTGTGTGATTACTGTGTGTGTTATGTACCTGTATTACTTGTCTATTACTGTGTGTTATGTGTGTGTGATTACCTGTCTATTACTGTGTGTTGTGTACCTGTATGATTGTGTGTGATTACCTGTCTATAAATTACTGTGTGTTGTGTACCTGTATTATTGTGTGTGATTATCTGTCTATTACTGTGTGTTGTGTACCTGTATGATTGTGTGTCATTACTTGTGTGTTAATCTCTTTGTGTTGTTTACCTCCAGGACCAGGTTGAGCCAATTATGTGCTCCTACAAAGCTGTTAAGGTCAAGTTTGAGGTGTGGGGCCTACAAACGAAGGTGGAATCCTTTACACACAAGGTGAAGATTTTTCATTATTTCTCATGTGTCTGAATGAGTGTCTCATATATTTTCCTTGTCACCATTAATTGTGCTCACGTGAACAAGTGTGTATATACTGAGCTATATACTCATCACTACAGACATGTACAGGTGTTATATACCTAAGTTATATTCTCATAACAACTTTCAGTATCATTGTTATCAGCAGTCATCATGTACAGATGTTTATAAACCTGGACTGTACAGTCATCACCAGATATGTGTACAGGTGTTTATAAACCTTGACTATATAGTCATCACCACACGTGTGTACAGGTGTAATATACCTTGACTATACCGTCATCACCACACATGTGTACAGGTGTTATATACCTTGACTATATAGTCATCACCACACCTGTGTACAGGTGTTATATACCTTGACTATATAGCCATCACCACACATGTGTACAGGTGTTATATTCCTTGACTATACCGTCATCACCACACATGTGTACAGGTGTTATATACCTTGACTATATAGTCATCACCACACCTGTGTACAGGTGTTATATACCTTGACTAAACAGTCATCACTACACATGTGTACAGGTGTTATATACCTTGACTAAACAGTCATCACTACACATGTGTACAGGTGTTATATACCTTAACTATACAGTCATCACCACACATGTGTACAGGTGTTATATACCTTAACTCTACAGTCATCACCACACATGTGTACAGTTGTTATATACCTTGACTAAACAGTCATCACCACACATGTGTACAGGTGTTATATACCTTGACTATATAGCCATCACCACACATGTGTACAGGTGTTATATACCTTAACTATACAGTCATCACCACACATGTGTACAGGTGTTATATACCTTGACTATATAGCCATCACCACACATGTGTACAGGTGTTATATACCTTAACTATACAGTCATCACCACACATGTGTACAGGTGTTATATACCTTGACTATATAGCCATCACCACACATGTGTACAGGTGTAATATACCTTAACTATACAGTCATCACCACACATGTGTACAGTTGTTATATACCTTGACTATACAGTCATCACCACACATGTGTACAGGTGTTATATACCTTGACTATACAGTCATCACCACACATGTGTACAGGTGTTATATACCTTGACTATATAGCCATCACCACACATGTGTACAGGTGTAATATACCTTAACTATACAGTCATCACCACACATGTGTACAGGTGTTATATACCTTGACTATACAGTCATCACCACACATGTGTACAGTTGTTATATACCTTGACTATACAGTCATCACCACACATGTGTACAGGTGTTATATACCTTGACTATACAGTCACCACTACACATGTACAGATGTGTATAAACTTATACTCCTAAACTTTGTAGGATTATTTATATCCCAAGAACATTTTCAGCAGAACAGTTTTCATAGAATGCTTTCTAGTTGTCGGTGATATTCATCAGATATATTTATAAAAACAATGAGATATGTTTCAGTCTGTGAGGGACATTCTGTTGCTGGGACACAGACAAGCCTTCTGTTGGATTGATGAATGGATAGGTAGGTTCCATCATACACTGTCTAATACATTGATAATGATTATCCTCGTAAGATTATCTTGGTTATGTGAGACAACAGAAATGGAGCCTGTGTGGGATTTGTTAATTTAGTTATGGAAACATAGGAGGACCGAACTTCCTGCTGAACACTTAGGATTTGAGTTATGTATAATTTCTCCAGCAGTATCTCCCTAGTCATCTCTGGTTAATTCAATATCAGTATTACATCAATAGGTAGAATATCATACAAACAGGTTCTGTTACTTTAGCAAGATGATTTGTTAAGAGGATATGTCTTCATATCACCCTAACTATTGTTACAGACAGTATATCACCCTAACTATTGTTACAGACTGTATATCCCCCTAACTATTGTTACAGACTGTATATCACCCTAACTATTGTTACAGACAGTATATCACCCTAACTATTGTTACAGACTGTATATCCCCCTAACTATTGTTACAGACAGTATATCCCCCTAACTATTGTTACAGACAGTATATCCCCCTAACTATTGTTACAGACAGTATATCCCCCTAACTATTGTTACAGACAGTATATCACCCTAACTATTGTTACAGACAGTATATCACCCTAACTATTGTTACAGACAGTATATCACCCTAACTATTGTTACAGACAGTATATCCCCCTAACTATTGTTACAGACAGTATATCCCCCTAACTATTGTTACAGACAGTATATCCCCCTAACTATTGTTACAGACAGTATATCCCCCTAACTATTGTTACAGACAGTATATTCCCCTAACTATTGTTTTAGACAATATATCACCCTAACTATTGTTACAGACAGTATATCACCCTAACTATTGTTTCTGACAGTATATCCCCCTAACTATTGTTACAGACAGTATATCCCCCTAACTATTGTTACAGACAGTATATCCCCCTAACTATTGTTACAGACAGTATATCCCCCTAACTATTGTTACAGACAGTATATCCCCCTAACTATTGTTACAGACAGTATATCACCCTAACTATTGTTACAGACAGTATATCACCCTAACTATTGTTACAGACAGTATATCCCCCTAACTATTGTTACAGACAGTATATCCCCCTAACTATTGTTACAGACAGTATATCACCCTAACTATTGTTACAGACAGTATATCCCCCTAACTATTGTTACAGACAGTATATCCCCCTAACTATTGTTACAGACAGTATATCCCCCTAACTATTGTTACAGACATTATATCCCCCTAACTATTGTTACAGACAGTATATCCCCCTAACTATTGTTACAGACAGTATATTCCCCTAACTATTGTTACAGACAGTATATCCCCCTAACTATTGTTACAGACAGTATATCCCCCTAACTATTGTTACAGACTGTATATTCCCCTAACCATTGTTACAGACAGTATATCCCCCTAACTATTGTTACAGACAGTATATTCCCCTAAATATTGTTTCAGACAGTATATCCCCCTAACCATTGTTACAGACAGTATATCACCCTAACTATTGTTACAGACAGTATATCCCCCTAAATATTGTTACAGACAGTATATCCCCCTAACTATTGTTACAGACAGTATATTCCCCTAACTATTGTTACAGACAGTATATCCCCCTAACTATTGTTACAGACAGTATATCCCCCTAACTATTGTTACAGACAGTATATCCCCCTAACTATTGTTACAGACAGTATATCCCCCTAACTATTGTTACAGACAGTATATCCCCCTAACTATTGTTACAGACAGTATATCCCCCTAACTATTGTTACAGACAGTATATCCCCCTATTGTTACATATCCCCCTAACTATTGTTACAGACAGTATATCCCCCTAACTATTGTTACAGACAGTATATCCCCCTAACTATTGTTACAGACAGTATATCCCCCTAACTATTGTTACAGACAGTATATCCCCCTAAATATTGTTACAGACAGTATATCCCCCTAACTATTGTTACAGACAGTATATCCCCCTCAATATTGTTACAGACAGTATATCCCCCTAACTATTGTTACAGACAGTATATCCCCCTAACTATTGTTACAGACAGTATATCACCCTAACTATTGTTACAGACAGTATATCCCCCTAACTATTGTTACAGACAGTATATCCCCCTAACTATTGTTACAGACAGTATATCCCCCTAACTATTGTTACAGACAATATATCACCCTAACTATTGTTACAGACAGTATATCACCCTAACTATTGTTACAGACAGTATATCCCCCTAACTATTGTTACAGACAGTATATCACCCTAACTATTGTTACAGACAGTATATCCCCCTAAATATTGTTACAGACAGTATATCCCCCTAACTATTGTTACAGACAGTAGATCACCCTAACTTTTAGCAATATTGCTTGATGTGATTACATAATATCTACCTGTGCCATAATCATATATAGTATTGCTAGACATCAAAAGACAAATACAATCATGATGTTAGAATAGTTACTGGTGTTTGGCCCATCCCCTTGGGACTTCGGTTTCTTGGTTATATCTTTGGAACAGTTGGGATCCACACCTCTAAACCATATATAGTATTGATTAGAATCAAAAGACAAACACAAACATTTTGTTACAGAATTTGCCCTGGGCTCTGACCTCACCCCTTGGGACTTAGTATCTTTGTTATATCTTTGAAACAGTTGAGACTAATTTGTGTAGAATCAAGCATAGGAAATAGGCTTTCAAAACTGTAGAAATTTTCTTAACCAATAAAGCCTTCTGTTTGAACTTCAGAACAGGTGAGTGGTTCAGGCCCATTAAGCTTCTTTTCATTTGCTTGCCATAGTAACCAAAAGAAGACCTGTGATTGGGTTAATCTTGCTCCTGGAACTGCAATTTAAGATGGATGTTCATGTTATAAGAATCTTGAGTTCAATGTCACTTTTACTGTTTATAAAAGTATTATATATATGTTACAGATATGAATGTTGAAGACCTTCGAGAATATGAAAAATCAATCAACACAGAAACTAATAAAAAGGTATTACAGAACAGCTGAGAGTAGGAAAGACTTTACATCGACATTAGATGAGGCTGTTACAGAACAGCTGAGAGTAGGAAAGACTTTACATCGACATTAGATGAGGCTGTTACAGAACAGCAGAGGACAGGAAAAATATTGATTGTCATAACTTTTGGATATGAGTGTGATCTCGGACCTGGGGATGTGGCTTGTTTCTTCCGTTGGTATGTTTTTTAAATCCCAGGCCATGACTTACAGCTGTCAGAAGTAAAGACTTGAGGATCCAGAAATGCTTTTTTACCAGGTTCCAGCGAGAGATTTACCTTGGCCTGATTCAACATGGAGGTGATTTGACACAGAATAGCAAGGATGGAGGTGATTGGACACAGAATAGCAAGGATGGAGGTGATTGGACACAGAATAGCAAGGATGGTGGCTTCGAACAATTTGAGAACTAGATCTAGACTGCACAGTCCTTCATATGGCAACGTTTTAAGTACATTGTTTGATGTTGTTAGTATTTTTCAAGGCAGATCATATTTTGTTGTGATTTTTGTAATACATTTGATATCCTAAATCCTGGTAGTAAAGGTTACCTAATGCAAAGGTTACCTGGTGGCAAAGGCTACCTGAAAGTAAAGGTTACCTGGTAACCTTTGTTACCAGGTGGCAAAGGTTACCTAATGCAAAGGTTACCTAGTAGTAACGGTTACCTAATGCAAAGGTTACCTGGTGGCAAAGGTTACCTGAAAGTAAAGGTTTAAAGCTTGTCACAGAGTGATCAGTGGTTAATCTACTCTTCATCTTCTGTCTCTGTGTAGATGATTGAGGAGGAAGTTACCTAAGATAAATATCTGAGGGAGCTATCTCTGAAACTGGCAGTGTTAATGGTAACTACTGCTGTTGTTAATGGTACCACCTATTTTTTTTTTACCCTGCTTTTCAACCAGAAACAGGCTGTTTTCTTTTGCTATAAAGTGTTATTTTCCAAATTATGGAGAAATTAAAGAACAGGCAATATATTCCCAATCAAAAAGGAAATGTCACTGTATTTTTTAAATGATAGCAGACACAGGTTGCATTAAAAATGAAGGCATAAAAATCCTTGACTTTTGATGGTTGGACCAGGTACGGAAATAATAACATTATGGATTGTAAGTGTCACTCTAATTGTTATCAAAGATTTACTAGTCCTCTGTTACTGTAATGTCTCCCCTCAAACATGGTTTATATATTATCGGTATGCCAATGGAATATTGTTGGTATGTCACTTGTAGATAATTGGTATGCCAATGGAATATTGTTGGTATGTCAATTGTAGATGATTGGTATGTCAATGGAATATTGTTGGAATGTCAGTTGTAGATGATTGGTATGTCAATGGAATATTGTTGGAATGTCAGTTGTAGATGATTGGTATGTCAATGGAATATTGTTGGTATGTCAGTTGTAGATGATTGGTATGTCATTAGAAGATAACTGGTATGTCAGTGATGGATCTAAGACATGTTATAGTACATACAACTGTCACATATACCAATATTAGATACTCAAAGTGTCAATTAAGTATCACCTCTGCCATATTAGATACTCGAGGAGTCAATAAGGTGTCATTAGTAGATACTGCTGGTGCCAAAACTGGAGATATTTGTGATGCCTCAGGTAGATGCAGACCATGTTTGTAGCTTGACTGGACAGGACATGTACTTATTACCTCATATTTTTTACAATATTTTAACCTGCCATAATTGAACATTAAATCCTGTACATACACATTAAGTATATTAATCAGAGTTTTTTACAAATTGTTATCTGTTTTTGCTTCTTTCAAAATATCATGTAATCCATTTTCATATTTGTTCGACACAAAGTATATTTTATTTAGTTTGGTTTGATTTGAGAAATTTTATTTTGTTATGCAATGCCTTTGCATTTGGTTACCAGTGCTCAAAGTGTTTTAATGAAACAATCACAGATATATTGCATAACTAAAGTACAGCTATTAAAAAATGTTAATAACACATCCTAGTGGGTATTATATATATAGAAGGTAACATTTTATTCCTTAAAACACTGACTTTTCCAATGTATATACAGAGAAGGTAACAATCTGACCCCTACAGCACTGACAAGTCGGTAGTATATAGAGAGTCAGTAGTAAATATAGAGAAGGGCACAATCTGACCCCTACAGCACTGACAAGTCAGTAGTATATAGAGAGTCAGTAGTAAATATAGAGAAGGGCACAATCTGCCCCCTACAGCACTGACAAGTCAGCAGTAAATATAGAGAAGGGTACAATCTGTCCCCTACAGCACTGACAAGTCAGTAGTATATATAGAGAAGGTTACAATCTGCCCCATACAGCACTGACAAGTCAGTAGTATATTTAGAGAAGGTTACAATCTGCCCCCTACAGCACTGACAAGTCAGTAGTATATTTAGAGAAGGTTACAATCTGTCCCCTACAATACTGATAAGTCAGTAGTATATATAGAGTCAGTAGTATATACAGAGAAGGTTACAATCTGCCCCATACAGCACTGACAAGTCAGTAGTATATATAGAGAAGGTTACAATTTGACCCATACAGCACTGACAAGTCAGTAGTAAATATAGAGAAGGGCACAATCTGTCCCCTACAGCACTGACAAGTCAGTAGTATATATAGAGAAGGGTACAATCTGCCCCCTACAGCACTGACAAGTTAGTAGTATATATAGAGAAGGTTACAATCTGCCCCCTACAGCACTGACAAGTTAGTAGTATATATAGAGAAAGTTACAATTTGACCCATACAGCACTGACAAGTCAGTAGTATATATAGAGAAGGGTACAATCTGTCCCCTACAGCACTGACAAGTCAGTAGTATATACAGAGAAGGTTACAATCTGCCCCATACAGCACTGACAAGTCAGTAGTATATTTAGAGAAGGTTACAATCTGTCCCCTACAATACTGATAAGTCAGTAGTATATATAGAGTTAGTAGTATATATAGAGAAGGGTACAGTCTGCTCCCTACAGCACTGACAAGTCAGTAGTATATATAGGGTCAGTAGTATATATAGAGAAGGGTACAATCTTTCTCTCATTTCACAGACTAGTAGTGCAAACGAATGAATAATGGCTAGTCTTGTTTCAGTGTTCAAGTGTGTTATGTAAAAATGAAAATGTTTAGATTCCTCATTCCATTTTGCTTTGTAGTTGAATTGGTGTTTCATTTGTTTTGAGTATATATACATATATTTACATATTTTTTGCAAGCTGATTGATGCTTGAATAGTGTTAATATTATCAACTTACAAAGTTTATTGATATAAATGAAATTTTGAGGACAATGTGGTGTCAGTGAAGAAGTTATGGGTACATGGTCTCCTTACAAGTCACAACTACAGAGAAATTGTGTTGAATTTCGTTGTGGAGTTTATACCTAGAGAGAGAAGTGTCACTAAATTTGAACTGCATGGATGACGGGACTTTTTCCATTACTCCTTTGTATTACAACTGGAGGGACATGTTTTGTGTCATGTAATACTGTGGTTGTTTGACTGTGCAAATTTGATGGTGTTTAGGACTTTGTATGTGTGTGTGATCGGTGACTTGTACTACAACTTGTTTGGGACTTTGTATGTGTGTGTGATCGGTGACTTGTACTACAACTTGTTTAGGACTTTGTATGTATGTGTTATCGGTGACTTGTACTACAACTTGTTTAGGACTTTGTATGTGTGTGTTATCGGTGACTTGTACTACAACTTGTTTAGGACTTTGTATGTGTGTGTGATCGGTGACTTGTACTACAACTTGTTTAGGACTTTGTATGTGTGTGTTATCGGTGACTTGTATCTACTTGTTTAGGACTTTGTATGTGTGTGTTATCGGTGACTTGTACTACAACTTGTTTAGGACTTTGTGTGTGCGATCGGTGACTTGTACTACAACTTGTTTAGGACTTTGTATGTGTGTGTGATCGGTGACTTGTACTACAACTTGTTTAGGACTTTGTATGTGTGTGTTATCGGTGACTTGTACTACAACTTGTTTGGGACTTTGTATGTGTGTGTTATCGGTGACTTGTACTACAACTTGTTTTGGACTTTGTATGTGTGTGTGATCGGTGACTTGTACTACAACTTGTTCAGGACTTTGTATGTGTGTGTGATCGGTGACTTGTACTACAACTTGTTTAGGACTTTGTATGTGTGTGTTATCGGTGACTTGTACTACAACTTGTTTAGGACTTTGTATGTGTGTGTTATCGGTGACTTGTACTACAACTTGTTTAGGACTTTGTGTGTGTGTGATCGGTGACTTGTACTACAACTTGTTTAGGACTTTGTATGTGTGTGTTATCGGTGACTTGTACTACAACTTGTTTAGGACTTTGTATGTGTGTGTTATCGGTGACTTGTACTACAACTTGTTTAGGACTTTGTGTGTGTGTGATCGGTGACTTGTACTACAACTTGTTTAGGACTTTGTATGTGTGTGTGATCGGTGACTTGTACTACAACTTGTTTAGGACTTTGTATGTGTGTGTTATCGGTGACTTGTACTACAACTTGTTTGGGACTTTGTATGTGTGTGTTATCGGTGACTTGTACTACAACTTGTTTAGGACTTTGTATGTGTGTGTGATCGGTGACTTGTACTACAACTTGTTTAGGACTTTGTATGTGTGTGTTATCGGTGACTTGTACTACAACTTGTTTAGGACTTTGTGTGTGTGTGTGATCGGTGACTTGTACTACAACTTGTTTAGGACTTTGTATGTGTGTGTTATCGGTGACTTGTACTACAACTTGTTTAGGACTTTGTATGTGTGTGTGATCGGTGACTTGTACTACAACTTGTTTAGGACTTTGTATGTGTGTGTGGTTGGTGATTTTGTACATCTGATGTTGAGAACTTTGTGATCTTGTATCATCCAGTTTTTCTGTAATCCAAACTTTTGTTCTGTCTTATTTGTCAGATAACATCAACATACATGCAATATTGTTTTGGTCCTGTTTTGCATACACTGCATTTGTAACAAAAATTCCTGTATTTTTCTAATGAATTTAGGTACTGAAAAAAAAACAAAAACAAAACAAAAGTTGACTGACAAAACTAAGCATTTAGTATATCAGCTGGGGACACAGAATAATTCAATTTTTACTGTGCTTAGTTTGTTATGTGAGAGAATTTTCATTTCCGTGGAAGTAGAGCTTGAATAGGGTTTGTTTTGGTAGCCATTTTATCTTAAATTGTATAAAATTAACGTAACCTATCTAGTTTTAAAAACAATTTTTGTTAAAGAAACTTTCATACTTTGTGTGTAAGAAATTTTTGATTTTGTGAATCAAAAAGAAAAGATAAATCAAATGTTGTGTATAAGAATCTTCATTATGACTGATGTGACTACACTATTGTCCATTGTGTGTTCAGTTATGATGGTTTTTGATATTTGTGTTATATGAAGGTCAGATTTATTAGCTTGTATGTAACAAATATTTCTTCTTTTCCAGTAATTTAGTTTTGTCAGGATCTTTCTTAAATCCCATAAACCTTTGAAATGATTACGCAATCAGAGCTGTGTCATATTCATGACGTGTGTGAGGGTGTGTCTTTGTGGAATCTACAAAAGAATTTTTTTTTGTTCATGTGTGTGGGGTTTTTTTTTTTGAAAATAACTACCTTTTTATGTGGTGCTCAATGTTTATAGACTTCGGTTTTGAAATATTTTATTCAAGCAAGAGAACAAATTAGTTTTAAGAGTACAAACTATTTTAAGGATTTGGTCAGTGTAGTTATTTCACATGTCTATTGTGTAAGGTATACGTATTGGCAGTTAAAGTTTGACCTGTACTTATCCATTTGTCTTGTATTGACGGTTTGATGCTTTTGTCAAGAATTTCATAGTATATTATAGACTTATCTGCTATTCCCATAAAGAATATTATACCGAGAGTCAGTCCTTGACCCACTAGAATAGATTTTATCAAAACGAAAAACGTCCTCATTAGATATCATGATAAAATCAAAAGATTTTACGATCAAATTTATGATTTGTTCAGTTGACAATGATTAACATTTTTTATAAAGACTACAAAAGAAAAATATATTCAGAGAACTGTTACATTTACTGATTTAATTAAAAAAAAATGCACAAGGCAACATTGATATGAACATCACATTAAGGAGGAACTGATTGTTTATAGACTTCAGACAAGGAAAATAATGAAAATCCTATTTCATGGAGTCATGATGGCTGAAACATCATACAATTATCAGTGTAATAGGTAGATCTTCAATTTTCAGCATTGAAAACATTACAAGGTTGCCCAAAAATGTATTTCATATGTTGGAAATTCAATACATGTGCCTATTAATGTCCATTTTAATGTGAAGAAAGCTACAATCAGTTGATAGAAAATTAAATATAGATATTTATTCAAATACACAATTTATCCTTTAATGAAAATTATTGTATATTTTAATTATATTTTCAATGGACAGTTTTCAGTCTCAAATTATAATACACAAACTTGAAAAAGTACAATCTTTAACTATTGATGATGATTTTCAATAGATTCTTTCTACAACTTATTCTTGCCTTTTTCATCACTCGTACAAATGTAAATACTGATACCTTTATAATAGTAGATACAGTTTCACTCTACATATACACCAAACAGTGAAGTTTAAAACAATTGTTTCCATCCAATATATAAAGTGAGATTGCAATTTTTTCAGGGCAGGCTATTTTGATTATAATACTGGACTTCAAATTGATGAACAAAATATCTAATGTTTTTCATTTGTTGGATGACATGGCATTTAAATGAAATAAATAATGGAAGACATTATCAGTTTCTGACTTAACGTCTCTGATAGAGAAAGTCTTCTACTACTTTGTTTTTGTAATTGTCGTGTTAAGCTTTATAAAGAATTTCTCAATTGAAAGATTTGTTAAATGTTGTTAATCCAACTACTAGAAATTGTTACATTAAAGAAGACAAAAATGATACTAAGTTTTTGTTTTATTTATACATTAGACTGTTTAATTTTGAATTTCATTCTATAAGTAAGTATACTGACACAATAAAAGCTCTTAGTTTATTATCTCAAGGATATGCCATCCTTCTCAGTTTAGCACCTAGTGGATTTTACATATCTTCTTAAAATGCCTGGTATTGGGTTTTAAAGCTTTATCTTGGTATTGTATTAATAAATATTTAGCTGAAAGGATAGGAGTATCAACACTATACCATTTGTATACATAATGCTGCAGTTTATAACCAAAAGGACCAGAGGACCTGTACCATTTAATCACCAGATATTTAAATTTGCAAATCTACAAGCAAAATTTTACAGGTATAGGCATTTAAAGAATTATGTGACTCTAAATAGTGTTGATAGTTATTTATTCCATCAAGTTACATAATTTTATGACTGGCATATATATCGGTAATATGATCCTTGATTGAATTTTTCAGTGAATCTGTTCAGTATAATGTAAACTTTCTGTATTTGGGTACCACTGCACCAACCATTTACATTTAGGTCAGTAAACAAGTTGGAATAAATGATATATGCCACTTTGTCATTCTCAACCCTATGATATTCAGACTTATCTGCTGAAGGAGACGGCGCAGTATTGACGATATCTTCTTGTATACACTAACCCTTCAGTACAGAAAACCTTGTTAAGTCTGGGATGGGCATGGCTAGAATAAATGAAGTATCAGCTTGGTGAATTTAGAACAAATAAATTTTCAGTCATCAGACAATGAACTATTCAGGTTTCCCTAGATCTTGACAAGTACAAGATGGATCTTTCTTAAAAGTTAATATGTAGGTGCCAACTAATCCATTGTTGTGCCTGGGTTTTTTTTGGAGCTGATGAGAATAACCAATTTCATTTGTATTTTATCAAAATTTGGAATGGCATCACTGCTGGCCAATAGGATATCTATAGCAACCCTCTTTAAAAACTTCTTCTGTAGGAATGATAGAGGATGTTGTTCTAATTTGATCAGAAGCATCTTTTTTATATAGGACTCAATTTTGTCTAAACGGTGGGTCTGAGCCACTTGGCAGCACCACTGGGACCCGATAGGGTACCTATAGCAAATTCTTTAAAATACTTCTTCCAAAGGAATGACGGGATTTTGTCCCTATTCCTCAAAAACAAACAAACATTTCATCAAAACAATATTTATTTCATAAATATATATTGATATACCAGTAGTTATAACAATTAAATTTAAATTAAATCAAATAATGCAACACCTAATTACACGTAACTTTCTTACTAATTATAGTTCAACATAAATCTTCTGGTATGTTATTTACATAAAAATAATGTGATTGTTTCTACACTAACATCAGTGGATATCACTACCTTAAGTACCAGTCACTCATCTGTAAATTATAATATAGCAACTAAATGAAGACACGATATTAATTGATTAATCACTTAAAGGTACAATCAAGAAAATCAACAATTTGGTTCTTTTAATGAACACAATAAGTATAACAGCATGTATGTACAGTCATGGTTCTATGACTAATATAATGATAAGTAGTATGTAAGTTCATGGTTCTAAACTGCTGTCCTTTTAAAATGAAATTATATTCTCAATTATCATAAAACGATTTCTAGCTAACAAGAATCACTCTTGTTCACCAAAATGGAAAGTTACAGGAAGTAAACATGGATGGAGCCTAAGCAGCTGAATACCTGGACTAAACAGCAGATGTGGTGAAGTTGGTAACCCCGACCAGTGTATCATTTAGAGCACACAAATCTAATTTCTTGGGACACTTCTGGTGGTTTATCACCTTTTTATATCTCTGGAAAAGATTTCTATCTACAATGCGAATCTGAGCCAGCATAAGACGGATATTTTTAAAATGTTATATGGTGACTACAACCATACATAAATTCATACGAAATTCAATCTAAAAACAGTTGTAGGATTCTTTATTTCCATTTTATGAATTTTATAAATGTTTTCCATGACTGTTCTAGGACATCACATATTCATTCTGTAATATATGCCATTTCCTCCATTCATTAAACATAACAAATTCCATACTCTCTCAAGTCAAAATACAGACCTGACCTCACCTGGGACAGAGGATGCCACACGCGGCGTGTTTCCTGTGCCATGACTTTAGGATAAATCCCTAGTCATGTGACTGAACACCACTAAGCCTGTCTCCATCAGTAGGGCTGATCCAGTCTGCTGGATAGCAGGTGAAAGCTACCTATGAGTTAATTTATACTATTTAGAAAAGTACTTTCTTTAAAATAAATTTTCTTTCAATGAAATTCAATACTGCACACATGTTGTAATTTATGTTTTTCATCCAAACGTATAACATGATTGTATTACCATTTTTAAATTCCAATTAGAAAATTGCCAAACACTAAAAATCAAAGATAAAATGATACATAATGAATTAAAGACACTTCTTCAATTTTTTCATTTGTTTTCTGTAAAGCACTTCAGTATGAAACAGATTGAGAACTTGGATGTACCACAAGAAAACTAAATACTGACATAATCATTTATATAAGAAATCCTATAGTACACAAGGATAAAATTTGTATACTGTACATCTAGAAAGTTTCACCATGTCAATGTTCTCAATATCAATTAAAAGTATCACAGTTTCACAGACATTTAAAAAAAAAAATACAGAACACAGCACACAATACATATAATCCATGTACCAATAAGTCATTTCCACATGATATGTATGCAGGTATGTATATATGATATCATTTTGTATGTATGATGTCATGTACAGTCAATAAATGTACAGTTTTATTTTGTATGTACAATGTCAGTTTGTATGTACAATGTCAGTTTGTATGTGTAAGGTCATTTTGTATGCATGATGTCATTTTTTATGTACAATGTCAGTTACAGTCAATGTATGTAGTTTCATTTTGTATGCACGATATCATTTTGTATGCATGATGTCATTTACGGTCAAAAAATGCTAATGTCTTTTTGTATGATGTTTTAAATAGTAAAATATATTCATGATGCCATATAGGTAGTCATTCTGTATGTATGATAGCATTTATTGTCAAAAATATGCATGATGTCAATTACAGTACAAGGGGCCCACAGGGCCTGTATCACTCACATTACTATATCTGTGCATATGTTCCACGTTTAACACATTTGACCCCTGTGACCTTGTTGGCCAAGGTCATTTCTTTTACTTTCTTGGACTTCATAAAAGGAACATACTGGCCAAATATAATGATTCTAGGCTTTTGGATATTTCAGAGGAAATTGTTTAAATGTTTTAACACATTTGACCTCTGTGACCTTGAATATGGGTCAAGGTTATTATTATTTTTTTTTTTTGCAAACTTTGTTGGGCTTCATCAAACGAACTTTCCAGCCATATATAATGATTCTAAGTATTCTTGTATTTTGGAAGAAGTTGCTTAAATGTTTTAACACATTTTACCTCTGTGACCTTGAATATGGGTCAAGGTCATTTCTTTTAGCACACTTTGTAGGACACCATAAGTGGAACATAGTAGCATAATATAATGATTCTAGGCCTTCCGGTATTTTGAAAGAAGTCGCTTAAAGTTTTTATACATTTGACCTCTGTGACCTTGAATATGGGTCAAGGTTATTTATTTTTTTTTGCAAACTTTGTTGGGCTTCATCAAAGGAACCTACCAGCCATATATAACGATTCTAGGTATTCTTGTATTTTGAAAGAAGTCGCTTAAATGTTTTAACACATTTTACCTCTGTGACCTTGAATATGGGTCAAGGTCATTTCTTTTAGCACAATTTGTAGGACACCATAAGTGGAACATAGTAGCATAATATAATGATTCTAGGCCTTCCGGTATTTTGAAAGAAGTCGCTTAAAGTTTTTATACATTTGACCTCTGTGACCTTGAATATAGGTCAAGGTTATTTTTTTCACAAAATTTGTTGGGCTTCATCAAAGGAACCTTCCAGCCAAATACGATAACTCTACGCCTTTCGGTATTTCAGAAGTTGTTTAAATGAAAAGTTGATGGACGCTGGATGGACGGACAACAGATGCAGCGCTATGGCATAAGCTCACTTGGCCCTTTGGGCTAGGTGAGCTAAAAATGTATGTATAATGTCATTTTATACATGTCATTTATAGTCAGGTGTATGCATGATGCCATTTATAGTAAAATTATGATATGGAATGTCAATAAAGTGTTCTGGTATAGATCAAATAACCATTATATGCTTTATATATTATCTGTCCAATAGTGGAAGATTTCCTGAAAAATCATCTCGATCACATCTTTGTATTTTTGTGTCTTTATATAAGCTTTCTGATATCTATACTGTTATACTCCACAGCTTTGGTGCATCAAGTTGTAGCGGTAGTAGTTCCAAGTGACTACATACTGGACACGGCCATATCTTGCTGTGTTTCACTATAAAAAGAATACAGAATTTTTTTAGACACTCAAACTGTAATTATCAGTCAGTGGACTACACTATCACTAGGTATAAGTCAGTAGATCATGTGATAATCAATTATAAGTCACTAGGAAATAAATCAGCTGACTGTGTTATCACTAGTAAAAGTCAATAGACAGTGATGTCACTAGTAAAAGTCAATAGACAGTGACATCACTAGTAAAAGTCAATAGACTGTGATATCACTAGTAAAAGTCAATAGACGGTGATGTCACTAGTAAAAGTCAATAGACGGTGATGTCACTAGTAAAAGTCAATAGACTGTGATATCACTAGTAAAAGTCAATAGACAGTGACATCACTAGTAAAAGTCAGTAGACAGTGATATCACTAGTAAAAGTCAATAGACAGTGACATCACTAGTAAAAGTCAATAGACAGTGACGTCACTAGTAAAAGTCAATAGATTGTGATATCACTATTAAAAGTCAATAGACTGTGACGTCACTAGTAAAAGTCAGTAGACAGTGACATCACTAGTAAAAGTCAATAGACAGTGACGTCACTAGTAAAAGTCAATAGACTGTGATATCAGTAGTGAAAGTCAATAGACTGTGTTATCACCTGATATAAATCAGCTGACAATGTTATCACTTGTTGTAGGTCAATATACCTTTGCCAACTCAATTTGGCAAAAAAATTAATGGTCTGTCATGGTGTTTCTAGCTATTTACATGAAATATGATAGAAATTAAGGAAACTTCTTCAATTAATTTTAAAGAACTGTAAACATAATTCAATCCACAGCAACATGATTAGGTTAAAGGTCATCAGATTCAGCAGTATCATCATTAAACAGAACCCAAAGGTATAAAGTAATATTTAAGAAAGATGTTTTGACCTGCCCCCAGTTCTATATCATTATTTACTAACAATGACACTGCTGTAGCAATAATGTGTTGAACAGCAAAGTAGTACAGGGAGGAGGTTTTTGTGAGGATGGTAATTGAAATAAGTGCTAATTCAAGTGTCATGGTGTATCTTTAAATGGTTTACAAAAACAATGGCAGTGACAGATAAAAATTGGATGGAAAACTTGGCATCAGGCAGTTATCTTAAACATAAAACAGAACAGGATTTGTCTTGATTTTTAAATCTGTGCAAAGTTTAGGATTCTCAATAATGACGTTAAATAATCTTTGCACAAAAAGTGTGGTGAAAATGTTTAAAAACTATTACAACATAACATACTTATCAGCAAGAAATGAATCACATTTACAAAATCATGTTGTACAGTTCGAACTCATTTCAAATGGGACTATACATCACTGTATGGTTGTATACACCTTTTTTTGACACTGAATTCACGTAAGCAAAGAAATCAGATTCATCCCATCAACTGTTAGATAGAACAGTCCATGTGTATAAAACTGTTCACAAAGTGAAGGAAGCACATTGTCTTGTATAAGTAAGATAGCTTACAAACGATCGTTTTTTAATACATATATCAATCATGATACAAACAAATGGATCTTTAAAGAGATCATTGTAGAAATACCCCCTTCAGGTCCCCAGTAACAATGTTATATCAAAATGCAATAACAAAATAAAAGCTAGACTACAGTAGTGAATAACCAGTACTTCTTGTACTGATGTTGGGAACAGTTCAATTTACACAAAGTATGAATTTCAAATAATGAAAGATTTAATTTGTAACTAGAAAAACAAGATACAAGTATAAACTTCAATTTTAAATACATATTTATCATATATTTAACATACACAGGGGATATCCGTTTTCTATTAAAAGCTGTTTTTGATTATCTGAAAATATATATAACATTTAGAGTCAAAAAGAAGCACTTCTCAACATAATCCTTGATTAAACATTAAAATATGTTCACAACTACAGCCAATATTCAAAGCAAAACATGCAAGACACTGATCATTTTCTAAGGCAACAGTAAATCTTAGAATATCAGATGCTTTCTCTAAATGAGTCCACTAGCAAATCAACTAATGTTCTACATATACTGTGTCTGATCTAAACTGTATTTCTGTTGAAGACAAGTTTGCCTTATTTTTGTACATTAAATGTTATATAGGAACAGCTCAGGTCTAGGAAACAAGAAACATTACCCAAGTTCACATGTATAAGCAATGAGAGGTTGCTTATAAGAGAACAATTTACCACGGCAGTCATATTACTGAGCACAATATGTTTAACTCGGTGTAATCCATACTTTGAAATGGAGCTAGTTCTTCAAGGAGTTTTCATTATTCTAGCTTTAAGGTTATAACGGAGGCAATATATTATTGTATTTTATCTCCAACATGCTGCCCATAATGAATGTTCTAGAAATATACAGAATTCTCGCCACTCAGCTCTAAGCCTCCATCCTTCCTAACTCTACACTTATTTCTAATTTCTTAAGGAAAAGCCATGGTGCCCCCATCCTTCCTCACTCTACACTTATTTCTAATTTCTTTCTAATTTCTTAAGGAAAAGCCATGGAGCCCCCATCCTTCCTCACTCTACACTTAATTCTCATTTAGTGTCGAAAAGCCATGGAGCCCCCATCCTTCCTCACTCTACACTTATTTCTAATTTCTTAGGAAAAGCCATGGTGCTCGCATCCTTCCTCACTCTACACTTATTTCTAATTTCTTAGGAAAAGCCATTAAGCCCCCATCCTTCCTCACTCTACACTTATTTCTAATTTCTTAGGAAAAGCCATTAAGCCCCTATCCTTCCTCACTCTACACTTATTTCTAATTTCTTAGGAAAAGCCATGGAGCCCCCATCCTTCCTCACTCTACACTTATTTCTAATTTCTTAGGAAAAGCCATTAAGCCCCTATCCTTCCTCACTCTACACTTATTTCTAATTTCTTAAGGAAAAGCCATGGAGCCTGCATCCTTCCTCACTCTACACTTATTTCTAATTTCTTAGGAAAAGTCATTAAGCCCCCATCCTTCCTCACTCTACACTTATTTCTAATTTCTTAGGAAAAGCCATGGAGCCCCCATCCTTCCTCACTCTACACTTATTTCTAATTTCTTAAGAAAAGCCATGGAGCCCCCATCCTTCCTCACTCTACACTTATTTCTAATTTCTTAGGAAAAGCCATTAAGCCCCTATCCTTCCTCACTCTACACTTATTTCTAATTTCTTAAGAAAAGCCATGGAGCCCCCATCCTTCCTCACTCTACACTTATTTCTAATTTCTTAGGAAAAGCCATTAAGCCCCTATCCTTCCTCACTCTACACTTATTTCTAATTTCTTAGGAAAAGCCATTAAGCCCCTATCCTTCCTCATTCTTCGCTTTTTTCAAATTTCTTGGGAAAAGCCAATGACATGAAATAAATTTAAAACACCATATCAACTTCTACTACTTATCAACATTATATTACCAGTATAGGACTAAAAGATAAAATATTATAATGTAAACATGATATACATAAAATCTATTAAAAGTTTATGAGATACCCTAATTATAATCTTCTTCACTTCAAAGAAGGTAAAAGTTGATGCCAAAACTTTGATCGATAACCACTTAATGCATTAAGGAGTTTAATTTTGCTGTTACATGACTTCTACTTTGGCATAGATAGCTGCATTGATATCTTGTGCTTAAACTTTTCACTTTGAAGAGCCACACACACTTGCAAACTATTACGTAAGATTCATCCTCTATTAGTGGTAATTAAAACAATCAGCGCTTAGTATGTGAAAGCAGCACACTGGTTTAGGTATAGGAAAACATTTCCATGTAAGTTCATAGCTCAAGCGTTAAGCGTGACTTTACAAGTAGGTCATGTTGCTGTTGTTGCTATTCTGAACACCAGTGGTTCCCACCAACACTTCAGGAACAGATCCATTGGCCTCTGGTTCCTCGGATGCATTTTCATCAAGCTGTTGTTTGGCAAATTGCAGGAACACCTGGATGAAAGAAAACAAACACCAATCATGAATGCAGTCAACATTTTGTATCATTTGGTGAATTACTTTATCATATCACTGTGATAGCACATTACCATTGTATCATTATATCACCTTGTAACATCACTATTGTATTTTATCACCCTTTGTCACATCAGTAATGTATCATATTACCTTTGTAACATAACTGTTGTATTATATCACCCTTGTCACATATAACTTCAGTGTAAAAACACTCTTTTAACTCATTATTATCGTATCATATCATCCTGGCATAATCATAATTTGTAAAGATTTTTATATCAACTTCAAGCTCTTGTAGCACATGGAGCATAAGAGAGTATAACCTATGCATTAAATGTATATCATGTAACAATGGCCCTGTTTTTTCATCCTTTGGAGTTCCTCTATAAAATAGTGCTGCAGAAATGAGAAGTATTACCTGTTCTAATGTAGACTGGCTAAAGCTATATTCTTCAAGGCTGTGTTTGGCTTTGGCTGTGTAACATAATAAACATTTATTACTAACAAAACAAAATGTCATGAGAAATGCCCTATTTTATGTTTATATTACTGCTAATTGTACTATTATGTATCATCCTGCTGCGGCTACATTAGCTCTTAATACCCAGGTATCCTGATTGCTGGATTAATCTGTATAAGTACGAAAAAGCTGTACAATACGAGACCCAAAGTGGATCTTGACAACCAAGAGTGAATGATCCTTATTGCTTCAATAGAAAATTGATCTTTCTCTGCTTTACTTTTCTTTCTCCTTTTCATCTTAAGCATTTCATAACATCGGAATCCTTCATATGAAGTCAAAGAAAGATTTAACAAACTTGTGTCGCCTGCATAAAGTGTCACGGTCACCCAGAAACTGAACTGGATGTGCAACGATCAACCATAAAGTTGTAAAACCAAATTTCATTTCTATAACTTGAAGCATAAAGGGAAAACTGCGCAAAGCAATATTCCTGAGAAATTTTCTAAGTTGAAAGGGGCATAACTCCTCGAACTTAATCTGCACCCTTGCAACAAGAAGCCATATACCAAATTTCATTTCGATAACTCATAAGCCAAATGTAAGTCTGGTTTACATGTACATGATGGGTACTGACCTTGTTCTAAAGCAGTGAAAGTTGTGGCTAGAGACTTTACGTTGGCCTTCGGAATACTGTATTGGGCCCTCTCAGCAAACTTCTCCTGACAAACAGCATCAGGAAATAGATTTTTCATATCATCCTCAAGGGCCTCCATCCTGGCCTCTAGATCGCCTGACAGACGGAGTTTGACCTCCAACATGTAGCCACTTCCATACCTATTCTTCAGGCGCTGTGTTTCACCTATACACCTACAACAAAGTTCATGTATTAAAAGATCTCTTTACATAACACTATACACTTACAAACAACATACATTGCTATGATAGATAATTTTACACTGCATTTCTGTGGATATAGTGACTTCTGATATTAGCACCAAAGTATTTGTCGAAAGTGTTAACCGTTAAAAGAATACCATGTAGGTATCTGGCCGTCTCCTACTGTATCACATTATTGCCATTTCTTCCAAGATGCACTTTATCTCTACAACACTCCTGGAAAATCATAAAGGTGACATTACATACTTCATATTTCTTAATATTTAAGAGACATTTGAAGAATCTTTTCTATAAGTTACTGGGTCTAAATAAATCAACTTCAGTAGCATGAACTCTACTTACTGAAGTTTTCCATTGACCATGATAGCTACTCTGGAACACAGAGCATCTGCCTCTTCCATGTAATGAGTTGTCAGGATAGCTCCTCGTTCTGAGCCCTCAAAACAACTGCTGATCGTGTCCCTGTAACCAATCATAGGTCAGAAGAAGAACATAAATAGTGTCCCTGTAACCAATCATGTCACATAGATGTCATCAATAGTGTCCCAGTAACCAATCATGTCACATATACGTCATAAATAGTGTCCCAGTAACCAATCATGTCACATAGACGTCATCAATAGTGTCCCAGTAACCAATCATGTCACATAGACGTCATAAATAGTGTCCCAGTAACCAATCATGTAACATAGACGTCATAAATAGTGTCCCAGTAACCAATCATGTCACATATACATCATAAACAGTGTCCCAGTAACCAATCATGTAACATAGACGTCATAAATAGTGTCCCAGTAACCAATCATGTCACATAGACGTCATAAACAGTGTCCCAGTAACCAATCATGTAACATAGACGTCATAAATAGTGTCCCAGTAACCAATCATGTCACATAGACGTCATCAATAGTGTCCCAGTAACCAATCATGTCACATAGACGTCATCAATAGTGTCCCAGTAACCAATCATGTAACATAGATGTCATAAATAGTGTCCCAGTAACCAATCATGTCACATAGACGTCATAAATAGTGTCCCAGTAACCAATCATGTCACATAGACGTCATAAACAGTGTCCCTGTAACCAATCATGTCACATAGACGTCATAAACAGTGTCCCAGTAACCAATCATGTCACATAGACGTCATAAATAGTGTCCCTGTAACCAATCATGTCACATAGACGTCATAAACAGTGTCCCTGTCACATAGACGTCATAAACAGTGTCCCTGTAACCAATCATGTCACATAGACTTCATAAATAGTGTCCCAGTAACCAATCATGTCACATAGACGTCATCAATAGTGTCCCAGTAACCAATCATGTCACATATACATCATAAATAGTGTTCCTGTTACCAATCATGTCACATAGACCAATCATGTCACATAGACGTCATAAATAGTGTCCCAGTAACCAATCATGTCACATAGATGTCATAAATAGTGTCCCAGTAACCAATCATGTCACATAGACGTCATAAATAGTGTCCCAGTAACCAATCATGTCACATAGACGTCATAAATTGTGTCCCTGTAACCAATCATGTCACATAGACGTCATAAATAGTGTCCCTGTAACCAATCATGTCACATAGATGTCATAAATAGTGTCCCAGTAACCAATCATGTCACATAGATGTCATAAATAGTGTCCCAGTAACCAATCATGTCACATAGACGTCATAAATAGTGTCCCAGTAACCAATCATGTCACATAGACGTCATAAATTGTGTCCCTGTAACCAATCATGTCACATAGACGTCATAAATAGTGTCCCTGTAACCAATCATGTCACATAGATGTCATAAATAGTGTCCCAGTAACCAATCATGTAACATAGACGTCATAAATAGTGTCCCAGTAACCAATCATGTCACATAGACGTCATAAATAGTGTCCCAGTAACCAATCATGTCACATAGATGTCATAAACAGTATTCCTGTAACTACAGAAAGGTCATGTGTATAATATAATGGTGCCTATTCTAACAACAGAAAGATCATGCATTAGTGTCATGTTTACCAGTATCACAACAGAAAAGATCATGCATTAGTGTCATGTTTACCAGTATCACAACAGAAAAGATCATGCATTAGTGTCATGGTTACCAGTATCACAACAGAAAAGATCATGCATTAGTGTCATGGTTACCAATCACATATCAGAGAAATCATGTATGTAGTGTCAAAAGTGGCTAGTCACACACCAGAATGGTCATATGTATATATAGAGTGTCATGGTTACTTGTTCAAGCAGAAAGGACAAATCAGTAGACACGGTAGCCAATCGTTAAATTCAGCAATGTGATAGTGTAAGCATCTGCTGGGGAAGGGCTGTCACAGATGGAAAATAAGGCAGTAGGATATACATGGAACCGCCAAAGGATATATCAAAGCATATCAATGTCCAGCGATTATATTTCTAAACTTTAGTCCGTCTGTGTCTGTCGAAATAAGGAGAAACAATACCTGATAATGTTTTGTAAATTATCTGGGCACTGATTTCCTGTAGAAAATAAACTTGAGATTTATAAAATGTTTCAATGTTGATAATGGCTGCCTCAATATCACAATATGTATAAAGAGTATATACATGTAGATAAAGCACTGACCAGAGGAAGCGTTTGGACTGAGGATCCATTCCAGTAGATGGTTCATCTAGGAGGACTATCTTTGGTCTTCCCAGGATACTCAGGATGTAGCTCAGCTGATCAAGAAACAATGCAGAACATTAAGATATTTTAATGTTTCACAAAAAAGTAAATTATGTTAAGGATACAAAACATTTGTAATCAAAATTGACAAATAACAATGATTAAATACTGAATTCAATCAAAAGAATTTGGCAATTCCTTATAGTGTACATTTATAGTTTTAGACTAGTGATCAATCTACACACAGTCCCGAGTCCTGTACTCATAAAAGTGTGATAGGACTGACTCAGACTTGTACAATTTCTGGAAATTCTTAAATTTTACATTGTGGGACCCATTATTTTTAGCAATAAAGTTTAAAAAGATCCATGTTAATAAAATAAAGATTGATCACTATATACTTGTAAAGATATCTCACTGTATGTGTAGAGAACCTAGTGTACTGCAGATTTTGTTTACAAAAATTTGAGGTCGAAGAAATAGCAATATAATTTAACAAAGGAACAAACAGGTACTTCATAAAATGCAAGCATCCAGAATAAAGGTTATTTAATTAAACTTATTTCATCTTGATTTCTACCTTTGGGCTCCATCTTCCAGCCTTTTGGGTGCAACCATAATGATAAATAAAATGTTGTATTCTATTGCTAAATTGATAACAAGGGACCTTGACACTGAGCATCGTTCATTAATTTTCATCACGTTTTTCTAGATAGACTAAAATTTTGTTCTTTTCCAATTTTTTCCACTTTATTTTCTATTTTTCATCAATTATTGTACATCTGTTCCTAACAGTTTCATGTACCAATGTCAAATTTTCCAGTATGGTAGTCAAAAAAAGAAGTCAGTATTTTTGTCTTCAATTCAACCTACAGACTAAAAAAATGTTTTTAAAATAGAAATGAAAAACATACACATGTGAAATTAACTCCATCTGGAGAGCTAAAAATGATCTTCACTGAAAAAAATAGATTAAAAAAATCATGAGAATGTTTTCCAAATAAATAAAATAAAAAATGTGGCTCCTATTTTCTTACATGTAATATGTACACGATTACTTTAAAACTGAACATGTGTTATAATGGTTATTCTAAATAAAAAAAATTATTGTAATGCTATCTCCCCTGACAGACCACTTTTACCTTTCTCTTGGTTCCACCAGATAACTTCTTGGATTGCTTGTTCTTATGTTCATCTAATTTCATATTATCTATAAAACTGTCAAATAAAAGAAAGAGGGCCATGGCCCTTAATGGTAATATGACAATCAATGAATGGATGGACCAACCACAGAATTCACTGATGGTGGTCTGACAAATCTGATGAAAATAAATGTTGAATATTCCTTGAAAGTATCAGAAATTCATTAATGGTAAGTTCTGTTCCTAAAACAGTTTGCACAATCATGTAATGTTTGATTTTGGACTAAAATTTGAAAACAAGGGCTGTCAGAGACAAGTTATGCTCCCCGAATGGGACAAAATTTAAGTATGAAAAATATATAAAGGGCAATAAGAGTTATGATTCTTGTGCATTGCCCTCCTTCTCCTTCTACCTATGAAGTTTTATGTTGATATCTCTTATAAATTTTGTGTTAAGCTATGGAAAAAATTATGACCGACGAATGGACGGACGGACAAAGTGGTGACTATATGCTCTCCCATTTGGTCAGGACAATCTCACAATCACATATGCATATCTGATATCATTGCCACTCCCTAATAATGTTTCAGGCCAAGTTTGGTTGAAATTTACCCAGACATTAAGAAGGAGTAGCGTTTTGGAACAAAATATTGTCTAACTTCCACTTTTGGGGCCCTGCCGCAAAGTCTCTAAAACCATTAAAGCCTTAAGGAAAAGTAGCATTTTGAAGCAAATTCTTGATTAATTTTCCCATTTAGGGCCCCACCCCAAGTCCCTAGGGGTTGAATCAACTTCCCACATTTAAGAAATATTGGCCAACTCTTACTGATGTTACAGACAAAATATGAATGTAAGCCATTCAATCATTAAGGAAGAGTAATGTTTTGAATCAAAGTATTGTCTAACAACCCTTTTGGGGCCCCCATCGCCAGGTCCCTCTGAATTTTAGAAATGATTCCTTCAGGCCAAATGACCTAAAAAAGGTATATATCAGTGAAGTAAGGGACATTTATCTTCAAACATAAACTGTTGAGTAGCAACAGTTGAAATCTATTACTCCACTTGGAAGGGATTTACAGATTGTTTTCAGATTCAGCTGAGTTTATCAATTAACTCCGTGAAATATTTCAAGATATTACTGTCCTACTTGAATGAGACAGTTGTTTAAAATGATTCTATGTAGGCAGGAAGTTTCAAAAAGTAATAAGGAAACACAGTTTGTAACATAATAACAAATTGAGGAACTTACAAATTAGCCAAAGGACTTATCTTTTCTTTAGGTACTCCTCGAAGATTCGCATAGCACTCAATGTGCTCCTTCAGTGTGATAACGTCCCACAGTGCATCATGCTGAGGACAAAACCCTAAGCCCTCAAATGCCTCTGACATACAGGAATGGATATCATATCCCCCAATCACAACCTACAATATTAAGATTAATATTGTTAACATACATACATTGAAAACATCTTCTTCCATACATTCTATTACTAGGAAATACATGTATATGTCAATGTCATGCTATCTGATCTCGGGAATGGGCTTTCCTTCTTAATGGCAAGACAGGACAATTATTCAACACATTCTGAGACTGATGTTCAACTGTTACCTAAACAATGTACTTTTCAACAACTCAATCAACAAAACATGACAGTAAAACATCAGCAAAGGTTCCGTAATATTAAATCCAGATCATGTTGTTTTTCAATTTTCTTCAAACACCAGACCTAAACTATTATCAGGAATTAAGCAACAACCTTTTATGATCAACAGAATGAGACCATACGAAACCTGTGGATAAACTGCTACAACTTACATTTATATGATCTCCCTAAAATCACATTTCACTTTGACCTCATGGATTACAGGTGATGAGACCTATGATTACTACCTCCATAACCATGGTGACAACAATATTACAGAGAGGATCCGAGATCCTCAATATCACAGGCAGATCTACAGTGAACAATAACTACAGCCAACACAAATGGCATAAAATTGGACTCTAAGTATGTTTGCTGGGTTTATTTCCCTGTGAACAGCCAAGGTCATATTGAGGCAGGCTCTACTTTTGCAACTTGTGACTGCCTCACTGAACAACATCAGTCGCATGAGCAACTAGGGTAAAGTGTCATGCTCGAGGACACAATATGTCAGCACAGACCAGTCCTGTGCTGTGCTCAGTAATAGAGTGGCCTATATTCCTATATCACAGATAGAGTGAGCTATGAAATGACCTATGACTTACAGTCTTACAGCCAAGGAGAAATCAAGTTCACTTGATATTAAAAGTAGAAACCATTTTGAAGAATTTGTTAATAGAATATCAGACATTACAGGGTAAGTTTAACTTGGCCCTTCAGACCAGGACAAGCTAAAATATTTGATGACATAATGAAGTTCCATACAACATACCTCTCCTTTAGTAGGACCAACTTCAGCAATCATCATATTTAATGTAGTAGATTTTCCTGCACCATTGGGTCCCAGGAGTCCAAGGATCTCTCCTGTATCTACAGCATAAGTTGTGTTACGGACCACCGCCTTGATTTTTTCCTTTTTGGTTTTTCTTTTAAAGCAACCACCAGAGTCATCTTTCTTAAACTCCTTCCTCAAGTTCTCCACATATGCTGCAACATTTTCCTATATCAGAAAACACAAACCCTTCCTGTAGTAGGATAATACTCTGACATAAGAAACACACTGTTGATTTCTGAAGCTACAAACTAGGTAACCTTTACTCTGATGACTTTGTTGTGACCAATTACTTACCCGGTTAAATTTGATGCTTTTTACTCTCTCCCTCTCACTTGTCACATCCTCATCCTCATCATCAATAGCATCATCATTCTTGTGAGGTATAACTTGACTGTTTCTCTGCTTTTTCAGACAGGGCAAAGCATCTCGAACATCTCCACCAGTGTTCTTGATGTCCAGCATCCGTAGCAAGAAGAAACCCAATACACAGTGGATTAAAGGCTAAAATGAATCAAGTTGAATGTAATTAATTTTTCTTTCTCAGCAAAATCACCATCATATCAAATATAGAAGAAGCTGTGACTGTAATGTTCTAATAAATGACTCAAATAGTTATTATTTGTTACATTTCAATTGACTTTCCCTGATTCAATATTTCTAACATTTTAGTGAACAGTTCCACTTATTTTCCACTTTTTAGTTGAGACTTGTCACTTATTTTCCACTTTTTAGTTAAGACTTGTCACTTATTTTCCACTTTTTAGTTGAGACTTGTCACTTATTTTCCACTTTTTAGTTGAGACTTGTCACTTATTTTCCACTTTTTAGTTGAGACTTGTCACTTATTTTCCACTTTTTAGTTGAGACTTGTCACTTATTTTCCACTTTTTAGTTGAGACTTGTCACTTATTTTCCACTTTTTAGTTGAGACTTGTCACTTATTTTCCACTTTTTAGTTGAGACTTGTCACTTATTTTCCACTTTTTAGTTGAGACTTGTCACTTATTTTCCACTTTTTAGTTGAGACTTGTCACTTATTTTCCACTTTTTAGTTGAGACTTGTCACTTATTTTCCACTTTTTAGTTGAGACTTGTCACTTATTTTCCACTTTTTAGTTGAGACTTGTCACTTATTTTCCACTTTTTAGTTGAGACTTGTCACTTATTTTCCACTTTTTAGTTGAGACTTGTCACTTATTTTCCACTTTTTAGTTGAGACTTGTCACTTATTTTCCACTTTTTAGTTGAGACTTGTCACTTATTTTCCACTTTTTAGTTGAGACTTGTCACTTATTTTCCACTTTTTAGTTAAGACTTGTCACTTATTTTCCACTTTTTAGTTAAGACTTGTCACTTATTTTCCACTTTTTAGTTAAGACTTGTCACTTATTTTCCACTTTTTAGTTAAGACTTGTCACTTATTTTCCGTTCAATAATCAAAATCTTTTTACTGAACATTTCCAGTACTTTTCTCTTCAGGAATCAACGTTCTTTAAATTTTATAGTGAACACTTCTACTTTTTTTCCCTTCAAGAATCAATATTTTTTACATTTGTGATAAACATTTCCAGTAATTTTCCTTCATAAACCAATATTCCCTATATCTTTTATGATCATTTCCAATAATATTCCCTTCAAGAATCAATATTCCTAAAACTTTTAGCTAATAAGAAGCACTTACCATAACAAATGACATTATAAACTCAGGTTCAAAGTAGGCACTGACAGGGATGTCTGCATTAGGATTGCCAGAGTACAAGTGGACTCTGTAGACCTGAAAAACAGCAACAGTTGTAAGCCACAATTTTACTTATATAACAAAGAATCAAATATTGTTGAGAGTGCTTCATACAGTCAGATTTTGGTGGTTTTAGTCGTTAATATGTTGATGTACTTTGATCTCTCACACAACATTTTCTTAAAAAACCTTGAGTCAAGAAGGAAAAAAAATCAACTTGCCAATTTCTTGCAAGACATGGATGTTCATCAACTCATCAACTTAAGTATCATGATGTCAAAAAAGTTTCATTAATTTTCATTAGTTTAATTTAGACAATTTGTCAACATTGTGAACTATTAGCTAGCCTGCCTGATGCAGCTTTCCCATTATTGATAATCCTCTTATATTCCTCTTTAGCCCTCTCCATCCTTACCAAATAAATTCTTTTCTGTTGTGAATGATGATACTTGCATTCCTCTAAGTAATGTAACTTGTCTACATTACTGCCACAGACAAATGTATATATTATTGTATATATATTGAGTTACTTTAAAGGGTCATTACTGATTACACACGTATACTTATATAAGTTTTCTAATTATATCGAAGATCATTGTCCGTATTTTGACAGTAAAGAATAACAGTAAGATTAATAGGCGGTGATATACAGTTGATGTTTGGCCAGCAAATATTTGCAGTGACTCTGATAATATCTAAGTGTGATTACAGTAATTGGCATATAGCACTGTAACAGTAGTTCTAAATAACACACAGCACTGTAATTACAGTAAATCCATGACACACAACATCATAAGTACTGTAATTCCATATGACATGCAGCACTGTAATTACAGTAAATTCACATAACACACAGCTTTGTAATTACAGTAAATTCACATAACACAAAGCCCTGTAATTACAGTAAATTCACATAACACACAGCTTTGTAATTACAGTAAATTCACATAACACAAAGCCCTGTAATTACAGTAAATTCACATAACACACAGCTATGTAATTACAGTAAATTCACATAACACACAGCTTTGTAATTACAGTAAATTCACATAACACAAAGCCCTGTAATTACAGTAAATTCACATAATACACAGCACTGTAATTACAGTAAATTCACATAATACACAGCACTGTAATTACAGTAAATTCACATAACACAAAGCCCTGTAATTACAGTAAATTCACATAATACACAGCACTGTAATTACAGTAAATTCACATAACACACAGCTTTGTAATTACAGTAAATTCACATAACACAAAGCCCTGTAATTACAGTAAATTCACATAATACACAGCACTGTAATTACAGTAAATTCACATAACAAACAGCTATGTAATTACAGTAAATTCACATAACACAAAGCCCTGTAATTACAGTAAATTCACATAATACACAGCACTGTAATTACAGTAAATTCACATAACACACAGCTTTGTAATTACAGTAAATTCACATAACACAAAGCCCTGTAATTACAGTAAATTCACATAACACACAGCATGTAATTACAGTAAATTCACATAACAAACAGCTATGTAATTACAGTAAATTCACATAACACACAGCTTTGTAATTACATAATACAAAGCCCTGTAATTACAGTAAATTCACATAACACACAGCTATGTAATTACAGTAAATTCACATAACACACAGCTTTGTAATTACAGTAAATTCACATAACACACAGCTATGTAATTACAGTAAATTCACATAATACAAAGCCCTGTAATTACAGTAAATTCACATAACAAACAGCTATGTAATTACAGTAAATTCACATAACACACAGCTCTGTAATTACAGTAAATTCACATAACACACAGCTTTGTAATTACAGTAAATTCACATAACACAAAGCCCTGTAATTACAGTAAATTCACAAAATACACAGCACTGTAATTACAGTAAATTCACATAACACACAGCTTTGTAATTACAGTAAATTCACATAACACAAAGCCCTGTAATTACAGTAAATTCACATAACACAAAGCCCTGTAATTACAGTAAATTCACATAACACACAGCTTTGTAATTACAGTAAATTCACATAACACACAGCTTTGTAATTACAGTAAATTCACATAACACAAAGCCCTGTAATTACAGTAAATTCACATAACACAAGCCCTGTAATTACAGTAAATTCACATAACACACAGCTTTGTAATTACAGTAAATTCACATAACACAAAGCCCTGTAATTACAGTAAATTCACATAATACACAGCACTGTAATTACAGTAAATTCACATAACACACAGCTATGTAATTACAGTAAATTCACATAACACAAAGCCCTGTAATTACAGTAAATTCACATAACACACAGTTATGTATAATAGTAATTCCACGAAACATATAACAATGTTTGTGCTAGTTATAAAGATATTTCCTTTCTTACCTACTACTGGTACCAAATATGAATTACTTACTCTGTCTATATAGTAGAACCCTCCAAACACAGCATATGGAGGGTCAATAGCCAGGAAGATGTAGTGGAGGATGGATGCTACATTGTTCCTGAGTAGCATGTCTAACAGTGAGACAATAATGTAAGGGATAAAGGAAATCTGTAAAACACAAAAACAATGTATTTATTTCTATATACACATACTGGTATATAAACACTCAGGTGTACAGTGTACATCTCTATATACACATACTGGTATATAGACACTCAGGTGTACAGTGTACATCTCTATATACACATACTGGTATATAGACACTCAGGTGTACAGTGTACATCTCTATATACACATACTGGTATATAGACACTCAGGTATATAAACACTCAGTACAGTGTACATCTCTATATACACATACTGGTATATAAACACTCAGGTCTACAGTGTACATCTCTATATACACATACTGGTATATAAACACTCAGGTCTACAGTGTACATCTCTATATACACATACTGGTATATAAACACTCAGGTGTACAGTGTACATCTCTATATACACATACTGGTATATAAACACTCAGGTGTACAGTGTACAGCTCTATATACACATACTGGTATATAGACACTCAGGTGTACAGTGTACATCTCTATATACACATACTGGTATATAGACACTCAGGTCTATAGTGTACATCTCTATATACACATACTGGTATATAGACACTCAGGTGTACAGTGTACAGCTCTATATACACATACTGGTATATAGACACTCAGGTGTACAGTGTACATCTCTATATACACATACTGGTATATAGACACTCAGGTGTACAGTGTACATCTCTATATACACATACTGGTATATAAACACTCAGGTCTACAGTGTACATCTCTATATACACATACTGGTATATTGTTGACATCAGTGTTAACACTGACACAGGTATATTGTCTACATCACAGTGTTAACATTGACACAGGTATACTGTCTACATCACAGTGTTAACACTGATGCAGGTATACTGTCTACATCACAGTATTAACACTGACACAGGTATATAGTTTACATCACAGTGTTAACACTGACACAGGTATATAGTCTACATCACAGTTAACACTGTAACAGGTATACTGTCTACATCACAGTGTTAACATTGACACAGGTATATTGTCTACATCACAGTGTTAACACTGACACAGGTATATAGTCTACATTACAGTGTTAACACTGACACAGGTATACTGTCTAGTACAGTGTACATCATGATATATATATATATTGGAGTACATGTCAGCATAGTATAACACAATGGTGTATTTGATTAAGGATAATCTACATTCTTTTGTACATTCTAGTACTTTATCAAGCAATACAGATAGTTTGTACATATAATAGTTAAACATTGTTATAAATTAATGTTATTGATTTAATTAATTTGCTTGAGACAAACATAAATATTACTCTACTTACAAAGAAGAACATGGTTACTCCTGCTGCTTGAGCACTTTCAAACTTGGTGAAAAGGTATGATATGACATAGGCAAACAGGGTGTTGCCAGGCACGAAGCATATAAAGAGGAGAAACATAGCCAACACTGCTCCACTGTAAGTTAGACTAGCCGGCTGATAAAACAAAAGTACAAATTAGTACATTTATAGTGCTCATTTTGGGGTTACAAAATAACGGAGTATATCAACTGTGAATTAAAAAAAAAATCAATTATGAAAACAAGAGGCCTAGCAGCTTTAATGGTCACCTGAGATAAGCAATATTTATTATAAAGATTAAAGGGTAAGTAGCTTTCAAGTGTCATGAAAAAGAAAGTGTGACATTGATTATAGAAAGCCAGTGTAAATACCTGCATACATTAAAACTGTCATCCTATCCTAGTAATTCTTACAAAGTTATTTCCAGTGGGAAGTAAACAACATTCTGCTCAAAAATGCATTTTTTCTGTAGAAATTACAGTCACTGATAAGAAGATTTTGAAATCGGAGTCAATTTGACCCCTTTGGGCCCCACCTATCAGCCTCTGGGCGTCAGCCAGGATCAATATGGGAATATCATCAGGTCGTCATCCTTCGCTCATAATTCTAACCAAGTTTGAAATGTTTTTAATTGAATTTAAACAAATTATGCTTAAAAAATCTATTTTTCCTATATACCCCAGCAAACTATAGAAAACTTTATCCCCTTCCAATAGGGAAATGTGAGAGGTGGGAACCATATAATTCACCATTTTGGTTCATCTTAGGCCAAGGAAGATTTCTGTAAAATTTCATTGAAATCAGTTCTGGAGTTTCTGATGAGTCGAAAATGTTAAATTGTTTTCACCAAAGGTGATCTTAATAGGTCACCATGTGACTTAGTCTTAGATGACCTAAAATTAATGACAGCAATCTTGAAAATATGTTCAAACTGTTCAAATGTGTATTACTAATGTCTCAGTTATTATAAAGAATTTCCAGCAAACCTGAGAAAATTTGATGTCAGGTTACATATAAAAAAATTAATTCTTGAAAAAGGAAATGATGAGTAAATAATGATCTACTAATAATGTTCCAGTGTATACACAAGATGATTGTACTAAACATATGCCCTCTCACAGCTGAAGAAGCTAAAATGAAGTGCATGACTTACCTGAAATGCTAGAGCGAAAATAATGGACAATGTAGCTGGTATCAGGTACTGTAGAATATCTACAAAAAAGGTGGTCGCCCAGTACATGCCAAATGTTACACCTGTGACCCTCATCTGACTCCTGATCTTGAACTGCAATACAATCATTTCAGATATGAACATCACAAGAGTTCCAAAAAGCTTAAATATTTAAGAAACCTTTACCAAATACTTTCAATATCTACGAAATGGTAAGGATCTCTTGCAAATAAGTTGACAATTTATAAATGTTGATACTCATGGTGACCATGACCTGAAACAAAAAATTTCATCTCCAGTTGAATCAACATAAAATCCCTGAAGAAATGAAGTCTCTTCCTTGATGTCATCAGTTCAGACATGGTTGGTATAAGGGTGCACAGGTGGCAGTAATAGGAACAAAAGTATTATTTTAGTGAGCTTAAGGAAAGTAACCATTGTGACAAGTACCAATAAAACATTTGCATAAATCATTCTTTTCCATGTCAACCTGAAGTCTTCTTAGCTCTATATCTATGGTCTCCTTTAGGACATAGTAGTGTGAACTTTGAGAGGGAGTCAACTTATGTGAGGCAGACTGTTCCATGTCTCTTAAGTAATTTATCATTAGTCTGGTACTGAAATCTAAAACACTATAAACTGATATACTGTATAGTTGGTAATGTTCATGAATAATTTAATTTCATTAATACCTCTCACTCTCTATAAGAAATTTAATACCCAGTCAACATTTCTGCAGTGAATGAAAAACTGAGATAATATCTTATGCCTTTATAAATGGACATCAGTTCATAAACATGAACAAAAACCTAACACCCATGAACTAGACTAAACCAGGTCAATCACAAATTATTAGACCCGTGAAGTTATACAACTAAACAGTGCATTAATGTTGACAGAATTTTGCTGTACAATTGACACAAACTGTTAACTACAAACCTGTCTATCTTTGACAAGTTGGACAGCAAATGATGGTGGCACTGTCACAAATGCCATGGCAACTAATATAGTTGATGAGAAAGCTCCCTGGTCATAAGTACGTTCGCTGGCTCCTTTTGGCCAAGGCAGGTTGACTACAGACAGAAGAGTTGTGAGGTTTAGAGTACTCTGTAGCTTGCTTGTCATCAGGCTGATTGCTGCTGGCATGGAGTGGATGGCACTGTCATTGTAAATTGCTGTGAAACCCTGGGTAATCATCTGTAATACAAATCTACAACTGTAAAAGGTGACAGAAATGATACACGATAAGGCCTTCCTAAAAGTAGGTAGAGGTGAAGAGAGAAGTGACAAATACCTTCAATATACACAATAAGTATGAGACCATTACAATAAATGTGGTGAGTAAAAGAGCGTTGTGATAAGCATGTGATGTACTACTCACTGACCCAGTGACTTGGTATTGTATTCACTAACCTAGTTAGCAGGCACTGTACTCACTGACCCAGTACCCATGTATTGTATTCACTGACCCGGTTAGCAGGCACTGTACTCACTGACCCAGTACCCATGTATTGTAATCACTTACCTAGTGTTGGTGCAATGGTTCTGGATGTTATACTCACCGACCCAGTGACAGTGTATTTGTCCAGTTGCACCCCCATTTGGTGATAGCCAGGCAATAGATCACTAACATTAGCAAAGGTTTCAGTGAAAAAGGCAGAACTGATCGTATTCATGAAGGCTATTGAATCTGCAGAACCTGGTGAAGGAAGACATCAATTTGTTATTTTGTAGTTTCATCTTTACAGAAGTACACCTGTATTTTGTGATGTTTACAAGAAAAATATTACATACAGAGTGTGTTCATTACTGACTTCATTCTGTTTCTGGCTTACAGAATAACTGGTGCAGTCATTACCATTTTGGAAAATGATTCTTCTTTAAGTATCAAAAGTATGAAATGCTTAGCAGTTATATAGTTTCATCCAAACAGACTACAAGTACTACAGCAGCAGAAGTATGTAATATGAACAATAAAGTGAAAATAAGCTGTCACCCTTATACAGTAAACCCTTATATGTCAAAACTCCTTTGGGTCATGTCAATAGTTCAAGGAATACAGGGTATTTGAGGAGTAAGTTGGTCATAGTCCATCAAACAGTGATTATCCACGAACACCAAGAGTCTATGAATGACATATTCAATATTATATTCTTTGACCACCCCTATTGATGATTGTATCTTGACCAACCAGTATATTGTGACCCATCCAAAAATGGATGCATGTATAACTGATTAGTCTAGAGGCATTTAACATTTATTATAATGAATAACACTGATTGATAAACTAATGAATCATAATGTTATTAAAATAACTCATTCTAATAAGAAATTGACCATAAGATTCAGAGAAGCATTTTTTGAACAAACTTTAGTCCACAGATGGGACATACAACATGATATCAGAAAACTCCTCCTAACTTTGTTTCATAGTTAATTATTTTGATAACACATTATATCATTTCGGACAAACCCATTTTATCTAAGTGATTGAGTTGGAAATACTAGTGATGAAAAAGTAAAACTTACCCACAACATTATTGACAGCAAGTGTAGGGGTACCTGCAGCTGCACTTGTTTCTCTAGCATATTGTGTTATAGCATTGTTAATGTACAAGGGTACTGGAGTAGTATCTGTCGAAGGTGACTGTACATACTTATTCACCAACATACCAGCCAAAACAAATATGGCGGGAAAGATCAATGCAAAAATGACTGCCCCTGGATCTCGTAACAGTCTGAAAAAACGAACTTTGCAAAGAGCCCAAAACTGTTGTGATCTCAGTTTGGACCGATCTACACATGAGGTGGACATAGCAGTATCCATTGTCATGGCTTCTGTGTTTGTGTGTTTGTCAAAATTTTGCATAGTTCCATATGATTTCTTTGATGGAGACATCGTGATATCCTTCAAGTCAAATGAACTGTCGTCTTCCTCTGGAAATAAATAATATTTGTTACTTGCCCCCTTTATCCAGTATTGTACATCACTACTCTGAGTGAATCTGTATTTGGAATGTCTATCAAAAAGTCTTTATACTTACATACACAATTGAAGATTAAAGAATAAGTTTATAGAACATCATTATTGATAATAATTTCAGCATTCTTGATTCCTTACAGGCTTATCTTATGTCTAAAGGGCAATACTAAGACTCTTTGATATAAAGTTTACCTAATTTGAGAAAGACTTCTTCCAGAGATGTCATGGAAACGCCATAATTTTTTATTCCAAGTGAGTCCGCCATAGTGGAAAGAGAGGTGTTTGGTTTTTCAAGCGTTGAGAATAAAACTGAAATGACAAAAAAATGATATGTTGATCATTTAAAGCAGAATTTACTGTATGACAGTTCTACAAAATAGTCCTTCATGTGGGTGAATGAATACTTTTGTTCATTCATTAATAATAAGAGGATCAAGGAACTCAATACTCATCATTGTTTAGAATGAACATGTATTAGCAAAGAACGTTTGTAACTTGTGCTGAGAAAGTACAAATTCTTAAACTAGGAAATTCCGTAACATGTTAAACAAAAATATGTATGCTGCTAGGTCCCTACCTGCAAAGTTCTGTAACTCTTGCAGTGGAAGTGTGTAAGCCAATTCCTTGCCATGAGTCCTCTGTAACTCTCCACCTGCCACACAGTTCTTGACAAGCTGTGTCACCTGATCTACATCACATCCAGGGTCTACAACCATGCTGTATTCCAAATATCAAGAGTCATATTTTTTCTTCATTTTTAACTATACTATAGAACTGCTGTTACATTTCTGAGATCAATGATCATGACAATCCCTAAAAATCATATTCAAAATGAGGTTGACAATGTTTTCATGGAATATGAGTTGTTTGCTAGGGTTATCCCCTCCTAAGCAGGCTGATATAAAGTTACATACAAGAGGCCCATGGGCCTTAACGGTTACCTGAGTTACAATGTTTCTTGTAACATGTCTTAAAAATGATCTTTCCTAAAAAATGTTACATAACTTTAACTACATTGTACACATAATGCAAATGTAAACTTTGCATAACATTAACTGCTGTTCCATGCTAAGGCTTCTAACCAAGTTTGAACAAGATAAGGCAAAGCGTGACATTATCTCCCACACTCTGCTGTTTAAAAGACACACAATCATATATAACATGTTAACATTACAACACAAGTGTAATTTCTACTTGTTATTTTTAATTGTTTCATACAAAGTATTAATATGAAGAACTTCTAATAGAGTACTAGTTTGATGCCTGTACAAAGTTTTGAGTATCATGTAATTACCTTGAACAGTTTAAGAGAACTGGACTGAAAAAACTAAACTTATAAAAAAAAATTTGATTAGGCCACTAAACTAATATATACAGAAAATTTTGTGGAGTTGAGTGGAATGTAATTTTGTATTTTTTTATTCATGTTTCCATGGTAACAGAAAAAAAATATGAAAGATGAAATGTCTGCAATAGGCACAACTACACCACTAATCTAATATATATAAAAAGTTTTGTGAAGCTGAATTCAATGGTTTTGAAGTTATAGCCCAGAAAAGCCCTTGGATGGATGCACGGATGCTCATATAGATGGAGCCCAAAATAATATCTTCCCCAAATGTGTTTTGGGGAGTATGATTAAAAGAAATTACTCTAAAAAATTTAATTTTCCTATATAAACTTTCCCATCCATGAAAAATTAGAACATCTTTGAAATTTCAGTCAATTTAACCCATTTTTGGCTCCGCCCAAAAGCCCCTGGGAGTCTGTCACGGTCAATATGTCATTTCATCATACTGTCAGCTTAAAAAAATAATTCTAACCATGTTTGAACTATTTCTGAAAGATAATAACACAAATTATGCTAAAAAATATAATTTTCCTGCATAAACTAAAGTAAATTTTACCCCCTCCCCATGTGGAAATGTGAGACCCTTGGGTCATGAAATTTACAATTTTGGTAAAACATCGTAAGACACTTTCACACATGAAGAATATTTGGTTCTATATTATCTGGGTATTGAGAATTTTTTTTTTTTCAATTTAAGACAATATGACCCATTTTTTTTTTGTCCCTGTCCAACAGCCCTAGGGGGTCAGCTGAGCTCAATATCTGCATCTCAACAAACTGTCATTGTATACTAATAATTCTAACAAAGTTTGAATATTTCCAAAAGAAAGTAAACAAATTATGTTAAAAAATGTGATTTTCATTTATAAACTGTAGTAAAATTTATCCCCTTCCTAGGAGAAGTGTGAGACTCTGGGGTCATAAAATTTTCAATTTTGGTAAAACATCTAAAGGCCTTTCTATCCATGAAGAGTATTTGATTGCATCATATCTAGGATTTGAGTAGAAGATTTTTCAAATTTCAATCACTTTGACCATTTTGACCCCACCCTCAGGTCCCTGGGAGTTGGAGACTATGTAAGAAGAAAAGGGGGATCACACCAGGTAACTCAGAGACTTTGTGTCAGGTGACCTAAAAAGTCACAGATTAGTACCTTGACCTTTACCTGTTTAACATTTGAAAATAAATTAATTCCTACTGATCACCAAATTGGTCAATTAAGAACTAATTCAATTTTTAGCAGACAAGAGACAAGGTATTGTTAGGATAATACACACTTAATAGTTGACTTACTTCAGGTGATATCCAATGCCAAATTTACTTTTCAGGAACAAAGATGAACCACAGCATCTCAATCGACCTTTACTGATAATGGCCTTCCGGTCTGTTGTTAACAGAAATATTGTTAGAACGCAGTTGGAGACAAAGGTCAGAAAGGACTTTCCAGTAATATGACAATCATCACTTCATACGTAATGACAAGAAAATGAATCACTTTTCACAAACCAATTCTACAACATAATCTGTCCAAACCAAATGCCTCTAAAAGTTATATATCTTTTCGAAATAAGAAGATTCCCTGATTACAGATTTGACTGAAATGTACCAGGGATTAACTTTAGACAAATTTCAGAAAAGGGTCGAATTCAGATAGTGGTATGTTTTGTGACTTTAAACATAAACAAATTCCCCATCAAAAAAAATATACTGAAAACATCAGAAAATTTCTCCAAACTAGGACAAATTTTCCTGAAGCACATTTCAAATCATGTAATCATGAAAAAGAAAAATCGATCTAATCATCATATTGTCATGTTTTATTTCTGTGATCTTCATGTAAGTCACCCACTTATACTCTATCCCTACTTTGAATTCTGACCAAAAGAGCTTCCATAATTTCTCAAAAAAAAAAAAACCAGAAGGCCAAAAGAACTCCTTTTTCACAATAGGTAGTATTCCCTATATTCTAGACTAACCGTTGTTTACAGTGAGAGATATAAGATTGCTCATTAGACGTTCAATTGTCAGAGAAATGTAGAACAAGATAAATTTGATGGCTTTTCAGTCAATACCACTTTTTATGGGACTTTAAAATGGAATATTATAATTGGCAACCTGCAAGAATGTCAGCTTCATCCATGAAATGTGTGGTGAGAAGGATAACTCTTCCTTCCTTTTTCTCTTTAAGAACTGACCAAAGATGGCGTCGAGAGTAGGGATCCATTCCAGCAGTTGGCTCATCAAGGAAAATTATCTGAAAAGCAAATCCGGAGTGTATCAAATGGAATTGTGGCATTACATTGCAAGCTCATGCTTATGAGCAGCATGCCTCCTATAACATACAGATGTGGTAGGTTGTACTACTTTATCTGGAAGTGGCTGTCCATGATGTACACTAATTCAAATTATCAACCACACAAGTGGCCCATGGGCCTTAACTGTCATCTGACAACCAAACTTTTTTATTTACTGTCCTTTAAAACGAAATTTTAGCAAATACTAGCAATGGAAATATCAACATAAAACTTTAATGCAAATCTCAATCTAAATATTTCATGAACACCCAGTCTGTCAATTTGGTAAGATTTTAGTACATTTAGAGAATGTATGCATGACACTGTTTTGAAAGATGGCGGCATTGTTTATATCATATGACTGCCACCAAGGGTCACTAATAATCCATAATATTAAATTTCCACCAATCAGAAAGCTTGGTAGTAACAGCTAATTCTAAATGCTGTGAGAATAGGCAGAAACCTTACTGTGTTACATTTAGCCTTAAAAACCTCTTATAGATAGATTTAACATGTATACAATAGTTTCAATCTGTCCGCTGTTACCTTGGGGTTGCCAATAAGGGCAATGGCTACACAGAGCTTTCTCTTCTGTCCCCCACTTAGGTTCTTGGCAAATGTGTTCCTCTCTTTGTACAGATCAACATTCTTCAGAGATGTCTCTGTCTATTTACGGAAAAAAATTCACAAGCTCAAGATCATATCTCAATTCATGATAAATATTTTACTATGTACTAACTGAAAGTTGGTGTAAAAGTATAAAAATCCAGGACTGGTGTAACTTAAAAAAATCCTTAATATGTATATGTCTGAGTGCTTATAATAAGCCACTACTGATTATGATGTCCATCTAGATAACTTTCCAATTAGTACCTCTGATTGAAGAAGATGGTCAGGGACACCTTTGATAGCACCATATAAGTGTATGTGTTCTACACAGGACATATCATCAAATATGATATTGTGTTGGGGACAAACACCAGTCATAGAACGGATCTTCTGCATATCAAGTCCATTGGCAATGTTCTGAAATCAGGATATTGAACAAAATCAATCTATCTACTATACAATTCAGAAATATTTATATTACAACAAAAAATGTACTGTACAGTTGTTTAATTTCACAGGGCTAATATTCATAGTTGTCCCGATTTTGGCTCATTCATTGGTACATGTGTTTAATTTCACAGATATCTATGAACAGGTGTCCGTGTATACAGGCATTACAAATATTTTCTGACATTTTCATTCACAGTCGAAATGTTCGTCTGATATTTCATACTGCGTTATCATCATTGACTATGAACATAGTGTAATAAAGTAAATCCCACACAAACATTACCCATTATACATTGTGAAATTTATCTACAAACTATGCATTTTTGAAAAGGCTATATAAAAGAGGAATAAAAGAAATATGTGAAACTCAAGAATCCTTACCAAACCTAGTATAGAGGCTGTTCCCTTGGTTGGTGGCATTAAACCTGTTAACATATTGACGAGTGTTGTCTTTCCGGCACCATTGTGACCTAGTAGACATGTGACTTGACCTTCATAGATGTCCAGTGACAAGCCTTAAGAAGATAAACATTGACTAGCATAATAGATGTGATTCCTGTATCAGTGATGTTTCTGTTATAGGTTTATAAAGTACTAACTTATTCAGCTGACTTTATTGTTAACATTATAAGCATTATTGTAAAGCAAATATATGTACCAACAAGTAAAATTACAAGTAACATTCATTGGGCAACATACCACTAGATTGGTAAAATGGCTCAGTGGATAATGTCATTGTCTTTTATCATGTCGACCACAATTTGATCTCCCAAACAAATGTGTAAAGCTTTGGGTACTATGGTTGTCCATGACAGAAATACACCCAGCATGCGTCCATCCATTAAAATAAGCTAATATAAATTATTCCATAATTATTGAAAATTTTTAATTGTTGCAATAAACCTGACACTGACAGAGAACCCTGACGTACACCTATAATAAAAGAAACTTCAATTTATCAGAAGTCTTAATAGTGCAGTCATTTTAGTGACAATATCCTATCAATTTATCTTAGAGAATGTCATATATATATATCATTTCCACCAATTCTCATCTTGATATAATGAATAAAACAAAAGTTACAAGTGAAAAGTATTAGCCAATCAGGACAAAAAAAATGGCAGCTACCTTGATGAATAAAAAATATGCATCTACAGGCGATCCCCATTAATCTCAAAACGTTTGGTGACGATCCAACTTATGGTTTTGAGGAAAAGTGTTGGGAGCCTTATGGCTGGAAAGAAGAATAACTAAAGGATCAGCAAGTCTCTAAACCAATGGGGGAATTAATTACACCCTTTATAACCACAGGTAACCTACCTTAAAAATACAATAAACAGGTTTTAGCTGGGTCCTTATAGAAGCTGGTAGCTACCTCAATGTAAAACAACACTGCTGTTAAATGCCGTAAAAGGTTACTACTGACTTACCATCAACAGCTGGGATCATCTCTTTAGTCTCCTTTGACTTGAACTCTTTGTGAATATCTAGAATTCTGCAACCCCAATAATGATAAAATTCACAAAATAATGGAGATTATAATGATGCCACACATTTTCAATGTGTACACTTAAAAATCACAACTGGCACTAGATTAAAGACACTACAAGAGCTTTCAAATATCTTCATCATCCTACAGTACAAAACTGTATTAAACTTCCTTTGTTGCTGAGAGCTTAGATAGGGTTAATCTGATAACACAGATATCATTTTATTGGCATTTGTGTATCAAATAAAACATGAATAACTCAGCTGATGTTTCCATCTTACGGTGAAAATAGTATTTAGCAAATCAAAAGTTTCCATACACTGTACGAAGTAAAATAACAAGAAATTAATATATCATTAACAAAGGAGAGCTCTGTGACCTGACATTGACAAGAAACATTCAAATAAGTGCTAGCTACATCAGACATTAATGATCTACCAACTGAAGACGAGTGATAATCAATCAAATGAGAGCTGAGACACCTGAAAATGACAATCTACCAAAAGGAACTGGGTCGCCAGACAGTGATAATCTACCAGTTAATGCTGAGTTCGCTGACACTGACAAACAATCTACCACTGAGATCTGAGCAACAATGCCTGATTGATAAGTTGTGAGCATCATATTTATGGGTTTTACTTTTTGCAGACATTATTTTCTAACATAATCCCATTCAGTATCGATACACATTTGCCATCGATGTTTAAGGGCCTCAATGCCACTTTTAAAGAAATCCTCTTCTTGACCATTCAGGAAGTCCTCCACTACTTGTATGATGTCATCATCTGACTTAAAGTGGGTACTAGAAATGGCCTTTATAGATGAAAGTCTAATGGAGCAAGATCAGGCGAACAAGGCAGATGCTCAGTCAATTTAAAACCATAATCGTTAATGGCAGCCATAACAGCTTGGATTCCTTAAACTAACAGCAGACAGTTGAAATTCCAAACATTGACAAACAATTTACCAACAAGAGATGAGTTCCTAAACACTGACAAACTACCAAAAGGATTTGTGTTATTCACCATTATCAAAATTTCTATTGATAAGAGCTCTGTTGTGTCACTACACGATATTTTCCATGATAGGAATATAGTGCGATAGATATTTAATTAAATTGAAAAACAACCTGACAGCAGTCTTGTCTCCGAGGTCTTCAGGGACAGACTCTACAAATTCTTCATTATCTTCTCCATACTCCACTCTGCTGAGTAGCTGCAGATCATCATCCCCTTTAGAACACCAGTAAGAGGGCATCAAAAAGTACCAAGGCTTTTGTCTGGCTCCATACTCCCCTGTCAAAAACAAAAAAAGTGTTATAGGAGATAAAGATATGTATTAACAGACATTACATGCAAATATTATGCTATCAAAAATAAAAATTTCAGTTTTATGTGACCAAAATAAAAAGCATTCCATTTATTGTTGCTTGACACAACATGATGGCAAAGACATTTTCAGCAGTACAAGAGCAAGCTGCAAATAGCATAGAACATGGTAATGTGTATAACCTTTATTCTACATTTGGCCAAAGATGCCAATTTGGTTCGTCAGCTGCATAGTGGAAGATGAAGTAAACCTCTCTATCCCTCTATTGTGCCACAATTTTATAACCTGTTTGGAACAGCGGAGTTGAAAATATACCTGATGGGTCTCCTTTGCCAAACAGTCGACATACCTGGTAGGACATTGTCCAAGTAGACTGCCAGGAAGAAGTACACTATAGTATCTACAAGCAACATCACCATAGGCGCATATAGCGGGAATTCACCGTCATTTATGGTGCTGAAGTTCATTCCACCATTCAATGGCTTGTCCAGGAATATAGCCTGTTAAGAAATCATGAACAAGTTATTATCTACTGGTATATCATTAGTTGCATTATTATTTTCAAACTTCTCTAAATTCTCTTACAATTGCTTTTTCAAGTACAAATATCTTGAAATAACACTGAATGTATATAGAAATCTTTGGAAAGGAGACTGATTTATAACACTGAATATATTTGAGACCTTAGCAACAAGAACAAGTGTTACCATTTAGTGGGTACTTTACTAAATTGTCTACTAGTTTTGCCTCCAGTCGAGGCTTCATCAGGACAATTTCGGCTCCCTGAAGTAGTTTTTTCGAGGTGAATATATTTTGTACATGGAATTGTTGGAGAAACTGATTATGAGGGCATGATCAATTGTATCATCACAGGTACTATTCACCTACATATTGTATATCATCACATGTACCCAAAATATAGAATTACATGAACTTCAACAAACTGTAATTGCATGAACCGTAACAAGTAATTATATGAATATTAAAGACCATCTTCAGGTATTGCTTGTATTGTGAATACTTCAAGAGGTAGAGTCCTCCAATATAGACCTTTTTTTTCTAAATTCTATTCAAAAATATTAGTAAATGGCTACATCAGTTTACATAGTCAAATTGACAGTGTTAATAAGATAAATTAGGATATACATTTGTAAGGATAAGACACAATGCCTATATTAACTAAAACAGCTGTTCCAATGGTCAATATCAACTGTAAATCAGTATAACTAGATCAGGTTACATAAAAAAGTCTGTCTCACTGGGTCAATATCTACATCACTATATAACTAGATTAGGATATGTATATTGGCTAAAGTAACTGTCTCACCTGGTCAATAGCCAATGCCACAGCTACTGGGGAGAGAATACACAAGAGCCAGCGCACTCCTGGACTTATACTGTAAACAACAGCACCTGATGGCAGCATGGTGCGGGTCTGACTCACAGCCAGGTACAAACAGCTAAAGATTATACTCATCAAACTGGCCAAGCCACCAGCAGTCTGAGCCTTGCTGAAGAAGGGTGTCAACATATATGCAAAGGTGATGATGGAAAGGCCATAGAAGAAAAGGATGAGGAAGAATAGGAAGGCATTACTGTTTGCAAAGAATGACGTTGCAATCATAAGAACTGTGATAACTGCTGTTGATATGGCAATCACAACTAGATAGACGAGTCCCCATGACAACCTGTCAATATAAAGAAATAAATTATAGGTTAATATGTTTTATAACTTCAACTTAAATTTGATTCAAGGTCATGTAAAGCTATGAAGAACTCCTTAAAGGTCACCAGTAATATTTTTTTATAGATATCTATATTCTGACATGTCTATCCTTTAGGTAGTACCCTGAATTGATTTTCACCTCTCAATACTGTTGTAGCAAAGTGCGCTGGCTACAGGTGAGTTTGATTACCTGTCCATGGTTTGGCATTCTCCTGTAACTTTTGGAAATAATTGACACCCGAAATCTGTGATGTCATTTCTTCCAAATATAGATATGCAGTGAACAAATGAAGTTAAAATAACTTAAATTCACCTTACCATTCATCAAAATACTATATGCCTATAATTTTTGCCAGCATCGGCACACAAATGAGAATCCTTGTTTTACAGAAAAGAAATAACTCTGGATATTTTAACTTCCTCGGTGGTTTACAGTTAGAATTAGTGCTATCTGTATAACGTGTGATACACTCATAACTTTTTTCAGACATTATCTACTTTTCACGATGCATTAACTCTTTATTTTTGTCGCTGGTGACCTTTAAAGTAAATTCATCATTACTAGGTAAAATACAAAAACAAAAATATCAAAATTTCAGCTATTGATTTACATATAACTAAGTCTGAGCCTTGCTGGTTAGATATTGAATGAGTCATTGGGTTAAGTGAGTGCCAGTCAAGTTACATCAATGTGTGCCAGTGTTGTAAAAGAAATACATAGACATTTTGTTAAAAAATTATCCTTTAGTCAACAGGCACTCAAATTTGTAATCTCGTCTTATCAAATCTATCACCCATGAGACCTTACAAGTAGGTTAAGGAAACATAGTTCAACAACTAACAAAACTGAAAGCAATTCAACCCAGTACAATTAGCATAATGATTAACCTGTGAACAGAATAGCTGTATCATCATACAACTTAACAAAATATATTTTTCTCAAAATCAAGCATGTATTTACCAAAATGCTGAATCACGCAATCCCATCATTTTCATGCTTTCCTTAATCTTCTTCTCCTTCTCAGCCACAAGATTAGTGGTGAGGTAGGAGACAAACGGGGAGTATGCTATCACAAAGTAGATGGAAGAGATGGTTTGAAGGTAGCTTGTATCAGGCGTATATGATGGCTTAGGCATCATCTGAACAGAAATTTCCGGCACAGGAAAACTGCTGTCACCTGTTTGAATCTGTAACACAGAAAAGAGTACTGCTAATTTCAAAAGCTCTCTTACAAAATTGATTTTAAATGAAAATAGGAAAATCAATTCAAATGATTTACATCATGAATTGACTGAGTGATGATTTACATCATAAACTGACTGAGTGATGATTTACATCATGAACTGACTGAGTGATGATTTACATCATGAACTGACTGAGTGATGATTTACATCATGAACTGATTAAGTGATGATTTACATCATGAACTGACTGAGTGATGATTTACATCATGAATTGATTAAGTGATGATTTACATCTTGAACTGACTGAGTGATGATTTACATCATGAACTGACTGAGTGATGATTTACATCATGAACTGATTAAGTGATGATTTACATCATGAACTGACTGAGTGATGATTTACATCATGAACTGATTAAGTGATGATTTACATCATGAACTGATTAAGTGATGATTTACATCATGAACTGAAGTGATGATTTACATCATGAATTGACTGAGTGATGATTTACATCATGAACTGATTAAGTGATGATTTACATCATGAACTGATTAAGTGATGATTTACATCATGAACTGACTGAGTGATGATTTACATCATGAATTGATTAAGTGATGATTTACATCTTGAACTGACTGAGTGATGATTTACATCATGAATTGACTGAGTGATGATTTACATCATGAACTGATTAAGTGATGATTTACATCATGAACTGATTAAGTGATGATTTACATCATGAACTGATTAAGTGATGATTTACATCATGAACTGACTGAGTGATGATTTACATCATGAACTGATTAAGTGATGATTTACATCATGAACTGACTGAGTGATGATTTACATCATGAACTGAGTGATGATTTACATCATGAACTGAGTGATGATTTACATCATGAACTGATTAAGTGATGATTTACATCATGATGATAAGTGATGATTTACATCATGAACTGACTGAGTGATGATATACATCTTGAACTGAGTGATGATTTACATCATGAACTGAACTGAAGTGATGATTTACATCATGAACTGTGTGATGAATTACATCATGAACTGACTGAGTGATGATTTACATCATGAACTGACTGAGTGATGATTTACATCATGAACTGATTAAGTGATGATTTACATCATGAACTGATTAAGTGATGATTTACATCATGAACTGACTGAGTGATGATTTACATCATGAACTGACTGAGTGATGATTTACATCATGAACTGACTAAGTGATGATTTACATCATGAACTGATTAAGTGATGATTTACATCATGAACTGACTGAGTGATGATTTACATCATGAACTGACTGAGTGATGATTTACATCATGAACTGATTAAGTGATGATTTACATCATGAACTGATTAAGTGATGATTTACATCATGAACTGATTAAGTGATGATTTACATCATGAACTGACTGAGTGATGATTTACATCATGAACTGACTGAGTGATGATTTACATCATGAACTGATTAAGTGATGATTTACATCATGAATTGACTGAGTGATGATTTACATCATGAACTGAGTGATGATTTACATCATGAACTGACTGAGTGATGATTTACATCATGAACTGACTAAGTGATGATTTACATCATGAACTGACTGAGTGATGATTTACATCATGAACTGACTGAGTGATGATTTACATCATGAACTGATTAAGTGATGATTTACATCATGAACTGATTAAGTGATGATTTACATCTTGAACTGACTGAGTGATGATTTACATCATGAACTGATTAAGTGATGATTTACATCATGAACTGACTAAGTGATGATTTACATCATGAACTGACTGAGTGATGATTTACATCATGAACTGACTGAGTGATGATTTACATCATGAACTGATTAAGTGATGATTTACATCATGAACTGACTGAGTGATGATTTACATCATGAACTGACTGAAGTGATGATTTACATCATGATGATTTACATCATGAACTGACTAAGTGATGATTTACATCATGAACTGATGAACTGACTAAGTGATGATTTACATCATGAACTGACTGATTTACATCAAGTGATGATTTACATCATGAACTGATTAAGTGATGATTTACATCATGAACTGACTGAGTGATGATTTACATCATGAACTGACTGAGTGATGATTTACATCATGAACTGACTGAGTGATGATTTACATCATGAACTGATTAAGTGATGATTTACATCATGAACTGGCTGAGTGATGATTTACATCATGAACTGACTGAGTGATGATTTACATCATGAACTGACTGAGTGATGATTTACATCTTGAACTGAGTGATGATTTACATCATGAACTGACTGAGTGATGATTTACATCATGAACTGACTAAGTGATGATTTACATCATGAACTGACTGAGTGATGATTTACATCATGAACTGACTGAGTGATGATTTACATCATGAACTGACTAAGTGATGATTTACATCATGAACTGACTGAGTGATGATTTACATCATGAACTGTGATGATTTACATCATGAACTGACTGAGTTATGTTTCTCCACATGAACCGTCTGAGAGATGTTTTACATCATGAACTGATTAAGTGATGATTTACATCATGAACTGACTGAGTGATGATTTACATCATGAACTGACTGAGTGATGATTTACATCATGAACTGATTAAGAGATGATTTACATCATGAACTGACTGAGTGATGATTTACATCATGAACTGACTGAGTGATGATTTACATCATGAACTGAGTGATGATTTACATCATGAACTGACTGAGTGATGATTTACATCATGAACTGACTGAGTGATGATTTACATCATGAACTGACTGAGTGATGATTTACATCATGAACTGATTAAGTGATGATTTACATCATGAACTGACTGAGTGATGATTTACATCATGAACTGACTGAGTGATGATTTACATCATGAACTGATTAAGTGATGATTTACATCATGAACTGACTGAGTGATGATTTACATCTTGAACTGAGTGATGATTTACATCATGAACTGACTGAGTGATGATTTACATCATGAACTGACTGAGTGATGATTTACATCATGAACTGACTGAGTGATGATTTACATCATGAACTGACTGAGTGATGATTTACATCATGAACTGACTGAGTGATGATTTACATCATGAACTGAGTGATGATTTACATCATGAATTGACTGAGTGATGATTTACATCATGAACTGATTAAGTGATGTGATGATTTACATCATGAAGTGACTGAGTGATGATTTACATCATGAACTGACTGAGTGATCATGAACTGACTGATGATGATTTACATCATGAACTGAGAGTGATGATTTACATCATGAACTGACTGAGTGATGATTTACATCATGAACTGACTGTGTGATGATTTACATCATGAACTGATTAAGTGATGATTTACATCATGAACTGATTAAGTGATGATTTACATCATGAACTGACTGAGTGATGATTTACATCATGAACTGACTGAGTGATGATTTACATCATGAACTGACTGAGTGATGATTTACATCATGAACTGAGTGATGATTTACATCATGAACTGACTGAGTGATGATTTACATCATGAACTGACTGAGTGATGATTTACATCATGAACTGACTGAGTGATGATTTACATCATGAACTGACTGAGTGATGATTTACATCATGAACTGACTGAGTGATGATTTACATCATGAACTGACTGAGTGATGATTTACATCATGAACTGACTGAGTGATGATTTACATCATGAACTGATTATTTACATCATGAACTGACTGAGTGATGATTTACATCATGAACTGATTGAAGTGATGATTTACATCATGAACTGACTGAGAACTGATGATTTACATCATGAACTGACTGAGTGATGATTTACATCATGAACTGACTGATGAACTGATGATGATTTACATCATGAACGTGATGATTTACATGACTGATTTACATCATGAACTGACTGAGTGATGATTTACATCATGTACTTACTGAGTTCTGATTTACATCATGAACTGACTGAGTGATGATTTACATCATGAACTGACTGAGTGATGATTTACATCATGAACTGACATCATGAACTGTGATGATTTACATCATGAACTGACTGAGTGATGATTTACATCATGAACTGACTGAGTGATGATTTACATCATGAACTGACTGAGTGATGATTTACATCATGAACTGACTGAGTGATGATTTACATCATGAACTGACTGAGTGATGATTTACATCATGAACTGACTGAGTGATGATTTACATCATGAACTGACTAAGTGATGATTTACATCATGAACTGACTAAGTGTCCTTTACTGCAATCATTCTGATCATATCATGAACACAATAACAAACTGCATGTCAAAATCTGAATAAAATTGACAAAACGGTAACCCCACTAAGAAACCAAATGATTGTGTTTATTGTATTTTTTCAGTTAAAACTACCAGGTATATTTGACATCTGTCCTGGTAGTGGAATGTGATTACAGGTATTTTAATCCACAACATCATCTTAGTTTGGTTTTCCTTGACTTACCCTTATGATTGCTGCATCCACTGCAGCTTGGATAAGACAAAATCCACTGTTCAGATACTTATTGGCATCACAGTTTGTAGTGTCCTGTCCATCTCCATTACGACATTGATCTGTAAAACTAAATCTAGTCATCATTCATAGCCAGATTTTCATTACTAATTATGTTTTACACAGTCATAAAGTGTCTAAAAACTATACCACTCATCAAAATTAACCACTTTCTATATGACCCAAAGATATACAGAACGCAACAGAAGGGGCTCACATAGATGTAACCCCCTACCCCTGGACCAAAGGGGCCAAGGTGACCTTTGACCTTAAACCTTGACCAATGATCATCAAAATATAATCAGGTGTAGGCCTTGGTAGTATGATGTTTTGGTGTGAATATAAACGAAATCTGATCTCGGGTCCATGAGATATGTTGTACATATCTAAGAAATGAATCATTACCAGACAGTAATATACAGTCAGTATGAATACAATTTTTGTGACAGATAATATAAAATGAGAAATTTCAGCAACATTAGCGATTTACTCATGCATAACCATTGAAGCACTACATATATATGGCTGATTAAATTTCCATGATGCTTGAAACAGATTAACAAAATTGGAAGCTGGAAACACACTTATGAACACCAATAATATGTTCAACAGTCCAGTAGCACAATGTCCAATGGCTTGGACATGTACATTTTCATGATGTGGATTTATGTGGTTTGCAGAACAAGATAACCATTGCAGTTCTAAATGGAACTTGCTCCTGCCAATAAGCAAAGGCAATCATGAGAATATTTTGTTTTCTAGCGGATTCCATGTTTCGACTATCAGATCAACTTTAACAGATGACATTGACAAACTTGGTGATGCTCTGTGTTAAGGTGCTTATATAGATATTGTGACAAACTAGGTATAAGACAAGAAATTTGTTCTGCCATAACTTTGAATCTGGTTTTTGAAGAGGTCTCTAATTAAAGACTAACAACTTTTGATAAGATAGTATAATGATACCGAAAATGACAGGCAACGTTTTTGTTGAAATATAGTTAATTTCCTATTCAAATCAAAACACTGTCAATGGTAGTATACAGTTTCAGTCACTACAATTTGTTATACTAATGACGTATATACTAATGACGTACAGGCAAATGCAATACAAATTATAAATATAAGGTTATCATGGATGTATGTATAAAATGTGTTCCTATATATCCACCATCCCAGTTTACTCCCCGTATATAAGTGGGGGTGTAAAAAGGAAAAAATGCCCAAATACTAAAAACAGAAAGAAATCACAACCATGACGTTATACTGACCTTGCTGTCTTATCCAACTGGTTGTATCTGCAGCATTATCATGTGGTGTCCGTATGGCGTAGGAAGTGTTTGTCTTGCCATCATAATAAAACAGGAGTCCAGCACTGATGTTACTACTGTGTGCTGTATAGGCAGTGTCCATGGAGTTTTGATCAGAGTAATACAGAAGTGTTGGCAGACTTGGTAAATTCAACATCTGCTGAAGGATGGCCACAGAATCATTTGCGATGGTCCGGATTTCTGCTGTGTCTGGGGACACCAGAATGTTCTTTCCTTGGAAAGTGTCTGGATACTGGAGTGTGTTGTTGTCAAGTGTCCGGGCTTTCATGAAGGATATCGATGACAGTGTATCTGTCTTTGTTGTTAGTTTAATGACAGAAAGGATTGCAGCAAAGTATATGGGGTAGAACAACTCCTACAAAATAGTTCACATTCTAATATTATATACAATGATACAGTGTATATCACAGATGAAGTACAATCGTAATCACAAACAAGCAAGAAGCTTTATCACTATAGTTATAAATCGATGGGTCAGCAAGAGCCACATGTATTTCTGAACTTATACATTGTTAAGCAGAATGACAGGAAAAAACAGACCAACAGAATAAGTGTTAACCAATACTTAAACAGTGTACAGAATTTGATAGCCAAGCAATGATAACATAGTTAAATGCACAATATTCAGTTGAATCCTTGCTGAACTCTTAGCAGAATCCTGAAGGGAATTCGGTGAATAAATTTATAAATGATGAAATGGTAGTTTTCAGCCTATCTCCATGTCATAAATCACTGGTTTAATTTCAAGTCACAAATAATTATGAAAAGTACAGCATACCATTAAAAATTGTTTTTTTGCCCTTTTTTTCAAAAGAATATTCTTCTTCAACAAGGCCTTAAACTGGCCTCCAAATGACACCTGCATCTTGATTTGCTTTCACCCACTCTGCTCTAAAGATCTGGAAAATCAAAAACAAACTTTATAATCTTTTCAAGTCAAATTGAAACATCAACTAAAATTTAGACATCCTGTTCAATTCTTTGTGTTAACCATATTTAACTTAAATAAGCCCAGGAGGTTAAATAACCAATAGAAGGGAAATGAATTTATAATTGTACAATATATTTAAGAGTATTGACTGGCATTTCTACAAAAATAGGTATTGATGGACTTATACTTAACCAGAAATTCAGTATCTCTCTGTATCTACATTATGTAAGCATCCATTGTGCTTTACAGTTTTAAATTCAAAACACAAAATCTTCCATAAAATCAATTCACTTTCAATTTTTTTTCCACAGCATAATTGAAAGAAACATCCATTTTTATACATCTTGTAAGTACAATATATATCCAACACTGTGGTATGTGACCCATACAGCCATTTGCTTATTATATTCTAAATACCAATTTCTATTGTCAAAGAAGTTTCATAATAGACCTTTGTTATACATTACGTAAATTTAATAAAGGATATGATAAATAAATAAATAAATGAATTACTGATATTTAATCCTCATGAATTTCTAAATTCTAATGCATTAAGAAGAATCCTATATGTTGGTAAAATTACAAACCTGACAGTTAGGATTCCATAATTAGAGGTCCAAGTAAAGTTTACTAATGGCAGTAAAAACATTCCATTAGTTCACAAAAGTAAAGAATATCACTAGTTTAAATACGGGTAATCACACATTTAATTATTTATCAGTATTATGTTAATTTGATGTATTTTCCATTTTCATGACTTAATTATGACAATGCAACATTACGCTAAATTTCAATGTATACTGGATTACTGGCAAATATCTGGGGAAGTTATAAAATGCCATTCCTCTGTAGTAACAGACACTGAAGACAGCACAAAAAGAAAATGAACTGTGTTTTAACAGTAGGTCACTAAGTGTCAGAGGTCAAATTCTTATCAATTCCAACCTATAGGATTTACCAGAACATGGTTTATATACTGTATTATCAAAACAATCATATCATATTCCCAGATAATATGACTACATAAAAATAATTATGTACAAAATGTCTTCCTGATTTGACAGAAATATGTTGTCATCTCCATGTCAGCTTGGCTGATTTTTAATATCCTTGCAAGACTGTATCATACTAACAATGTACATTCCAAAATCAGTGTCTGTTGTCAAGATGGTATGGATGGTACATGTGGCCACATCGACTTATGAAGTGAATATTACAATGTGATTAGTTATGTCATAGAATCACTGGCCCACTTTAGAAAAACAATGACCCTGTATATGATGTACACAATGTGTTGAGCTGTTACGTCTTTACATTCACTATTAAATAAAAAAAAAGTGTAATCTTTTACATCAATGTGATTTCAACAATCAATCATATGCTGCAGAGTAACTTACATTACTGTATAGAAGTCTGCTAGAATATGGATACCGTCCGCCTTTATCACTATAGCAGTAATACTGAGACAGATAATATACCTTTTCTGAACATAAATATCACTGCCAGGTATTTCGCAAGATGTACATTGTGCAATGTTTTATCACAAGATTATTTGTAACAAGAACTGGACAAATTCCATTCAACTATTACTTATTTTTGCTCTATTTTTAAACACAGAATAGTAAACAAAGAGATTGTCAATCCTTAAAGCATACTGTTATGTGGATGCTTACGTCAATAACACAAGTGCCGGCAAACTTTACCAACTTTAGGGAATAGGAAGTGCCTGAACTTTTAAGACTGGATGACAATATGGAGGATTTCCTGGTGGTAGGAAAATAAGTTTAACCTTTTATGCGTTCATGCTGAGAACACTGGTTTCATTAGACAGTCAATGAGGACATGATGTACAGTTGTAGAGAAGTTTATATACCATGACCAGTGGAACATTTACCGTAAGTGTGACATTACACTACAAAAGTCAGTGTTAGTACACTTCACACTGATCATTTGCCTGATAAAGTGTATTCATCGAAATGTAACCCTTAATTCTTCTAGTTGTGTTATATGAGCTATTCTATTGACATTACCAACCTGAAGAATATTTGTTCCAAAATATCATACACAGGTCTCCTACATAGGTGAAACTACAGACATTATCAGAAAAACTGGGTGTTAATAGTGAAATTTGTCACTCAAGTGTAGAACCCTTTGTTACGGCGTATCCATTGTGCTTGTGACCCTGGCAATGCACTAAGAAAATATTCCTCTTTGAATTTTTCCATGACATCCTCTACTGAGTCCACAAATCTAGTAAGATATTGTTCAATTCTTGCCATAAGTCCTCTGTATGTTTCCTTAGGTTCCCTTTGGGCTGTCTGTAATAGCTTGAAATATTGGTAGGGCCTTTTCCCGTACCTGTCCATTAGGGCTTTACAAAGTTCTTCAAATGACCCATGTGCTTGAATAACTACCTCTCTGGCCTTACCTGTTAACAAGGCTCTCAGCTGTAGCATTTTTACTTCTTCTGTCCATCCAGCCTGTGTTGATAAAGCAGTAAACTCTGATAAGAATGTCACTATATCCTCACTTTCAGTATGATTGTAAGGTTGCAGTTTCAGTCTAAACGGCACAGGGTTAGAATTTGTGTCATTTCGTTCCTTTTGAAGTTTTGCTTTTTCAATCTCTAATTCTAATTCTTTCACTTTCCTTTGATGTTCTCTTTCCTTTTCTTCGGCGTCCGTTCTCATCTTTTCTCTTTCTAAGTTCATTTGGCGTTCTTTTTCCTCTTTCTCTGCTTGAAGTTTTTCTTTTTCTAAGTTCATTTGGCGTTCTTTTTCCTCTTTCTCTGCTTGAAGTTTTTCTTTTTCTAAGTTCATTTGGCGTTCTTTTTCCTCTTTCTCTGCTTGAATTTCGAGTCTTCTTATTTCCAGCTTTGTTTGTGCTGCTGTCATCTTTGCAGTTTCCGTTTCTTCAGGCGTCGACATATTGAACAGTTCTAATGAGCGTTATATCTTTGATAACCGAGTCCTTCTCCTTAGAATGATCCCACCGTTGCCACCAGAATATGTTACCCCTCTATGTTGTCTTTCCTTATGTTATACAAAAGACCAGCAACAACCGTTCTCAAGTACAAATGTTGAGTATTAACACAAGTTACAACAATGATAACATGTATGGCCTGAGTATCGAGCTTAACAAGTTACTCCTTCCACGGCCACACCAGGACTGACTCTATTTGCTGTGATCTTACAGTTTATCCTAAAGCAATTATAATCTAATTCTGATAGGGAAAGTGTCTTCTACTGATCTACAATTAAACCGTGACCAGTTAATGTCTCCATGGTGGAGAGCATGTCCAGCCAATGTTTCACGGCATGATTCTGACACTAAGGTGACCGCAATTAAACTATCTGTCTGATAAGCCAGCCAGTCACATTAAGATTTAACACAAATTATGTTCTACACTTGAGTGACAAATTTCACTATTAACATCCCCCTGCCTAAGAAAACTTTTACGGTCTAAAAGTTCAGAGATAGCAAACTGCTCATGATACTCAGGCTGAGATAATATTTAGTATGTACACAAACACTGGTAAGTTTACTTGAACAACAGTTAATTCTAAATTCTACAATATACTGTTAACTTCCTTGGATAAGGAACTTCTGTTAGACTGTCACTGTTTGTTCTTAAGGTATACACATCACAAAACCTTAAAACACATGTCCGTGTTCACAATTGATGATACATCCAGAGTCAGTGTTCCTTTTTTTTTTCTTCTTCTTCTTTGTTCGAGACAGTGGCCCAACAATATCCATAGATATTTTGTAAAATGGCTCACTGATGATCGGTGGTTGTCCTAATGGAGCTTTCTCGTCACCACGTCTTCTGGCGGTCTTTTGACATACGTTACAAGTACTACAATACTCTCATATGTCCTTAAAAATCCCTGGCCAATAGAACGCATTAACGACACGCTCTTTGGTCTTTTCTGTCCCTAAATGTCCCGGAAGTGGTCTATCATGTCCCAATTTAATGATATTGAGACGTAGTGCCTCTGGTAGTACTACCTGGACTCCATGTTGGGCTCCATCACTAGACTCCCATTTCCTACGGAGAATCCCATTTTCCCGGTACAGGGCATTCCTATCTTCCTGCACAGATTCCTCTGAACTTGCAGCTTTTCTCCGAATGTTGGCTAAAGTTGGATCTTCCTGCTGAAGCTTACTAAGCACTTCAGCATTTACAGCAGAAAGTTCAAGCGGTTCCTCTGTTGTGATGTTAACTGTATCATCCCCATTGCTGTGAGATACAGTCTCACTGATGTTGTCAATGTCCTCACCAACGCCATCGCCATGGTCCAGGTCCACATCGTTCGCCTGTCCAACATCACTTCCCTTACTGGCATCCACTTGGTCCGTGTCGGGGTCCATTCCAACTTTTACATGGCATTCCTTTGCCTTGTCCTCAGCTAGCCTTTCTTCAGCAATGTTATTACGATGTTGTGCACGCGTAACAACATTCACAGCCTTTGATTGTCTCTCTATGATGTCTACCCCAACAGGGCTTCAGCGACAAGGTCAGGCACTAATCCGACCTGAGCATGTCCCTTATAATATGGCGTGTCCATATCAACGATAGCCAGTTTGGCTGAAAACGGCTGTCCAGTCGCTGTACACAGCGTCTCCCGCTGACCCTCCAATACACAACTTGGGTCCACCAGATCTTCCCTAATCAAGGTCATCGCTGACCCAGTGTCTTTCACGAAACTAATATCACCGCCATTGACCTCTCCTGGGACATGGATAAGTCCTCCCGTGTATTGTCGCACTAAAAATCCTGCAAGATTTTTACCTTCTCTGTTTTTTGGACATTTCCTCGCGAAGTGCCCGTACTTGTTACAATTGTAACACTGCACACTTTTCATTTGCTCTGTCGATTGCTCCTTTCTCTGGTCCCGATCAGAGGTAAAAGTTTTTCCATTTATACTTTT